GAGGGAGACACGTGGGAGAGCCGATTTCATTCGCCCCACTTCTCCAATTGCAAACTCTGCACTCTTTTTATTTTTTATTTTCTCCTTAAGTTGTGTGTGAACTAGTACCTTGTGAGTTATTTTTGTTGAATCGTATTGTGAACCCTTGCTATGTGTAATAACCTTTTTTTTATCAGGGTGAAATAATATTAGAAAACCAAACCAAACAAGGTCCAGGAAAAAGAAACGGAGCACGAAAACAAAGACACAGAAAAGAAGAAACAAAGCTCAAACGAGCAAAGAGAGGAAAAGGAGCAAAAAGAAACAGAAGGGAAAGCCTAGGAGAGGCAAACGGGTCGCAACAGACCGCCCAAAGAGCAAATCAGATCTGAATCTCGAGAGGTGCCGGCATGGGAAAGAGACGGGTCTTGATGATTTGAATCCACGCTTCAGAAACTCTCCTCTCGACCTTGTTGCCAGCACACAACCAGTCTGAAATGATGCGAGCAATCTTGAAGGAGACCACACAGGAAGAAGCAGACTCATCACGGAAGATTCTTGAGTTACGCTCGAACCAAATGCGCCAACAGTAAGCGTGGAAAAAGACTATGCTACTCCAATCCTTGGGGCTTTGAGAAGAGTTGAGAGGCCAGTTGTTGATCATGGAAGGGATGTCCTATGAAGGCGAGCTGATATTGACGAAGGCACTCAACATACGCCAGACCTCACGACTAAAAGAGCAAGAAAGAAAGAGGTGATCCAGAGTTTCTTCACAACATCCACACAAGGCACACCGGCTAGGGAAGGACCAACCCCTAGTATTTAAGACGTCGTGGGTGAGTATTCTTCGGAAGTAGACAGTCCATAAGAACACGCACACCTTGGGAGGAATAACTGATTGCCAGACGTATTTGAAAGGGAAATCAGGGTCCACAAAATTGCTCTCCTTCACCAGCTCAACATACGCGGATTGAGTGGTAAAGCCACCGACCGGAGCAAGATCCTAAACAATCCTAGAAGGACCTGCAGTGAAACTAGAGTTAAGGAAAGAATTAAGCAAATTAATCAGGTAAGATCTCTCAATATCAGCCCCTCCCCTAAGATTAATAAAAGTGGAAATATCCCAAGAAGGACTTCCCTCGACATCTCCCCAAAGGTCGGCGATGTGTGCATTCAGAGTAGTGGTGGCAGCAGCAACCTGAGGGAACTCCAAGGCAAGAGTTTGAGAGCGATCCTTGACCCAAACATCAAACCTGAAAGACGTGTCATGCCCGGACCCCAGATCCACATAGGCGAATTTCCAGAACTCATCTCGAAGTTTTGAAATTACAGCCCAAGGGCTGTATCCAAGGCGGCCACGAATAAAGCCAGAATTCCAATCCGAGTTAGGATTCGGGAACTTAAAATTAATCAATCCTCTCCACCACGCACTCCTTTCCACAGCAAACCTCTAGCACCATTTCATAAGGATAGTCTGGTTTCTGACTTTCAGATCAGGGATGCCAAGACCACCTAATTTCCTCGGCAATTTGCACCTTTCCCACGCCACGAGGTGTAGATGTCTATCTTACCCAGTCCCTGACCAAAGAAACTCGTGAAGGATTTTCTCCAATTTTTTGATCACGACAGCGGGTGCTCTGAATAGACTAAAAAAGTAATTAACTTGGACAGCTGATAACGTCGTATTTGCACATGTTTGCACCCTCGTTTCTTGATCATTTTGGCTTGATTTTTTTTATTTCTTGGACTATTTTACGCTAGGTTGTGTTCCTTTGTCACATTTTAGGTCATAGCATGTAAAGTGAAGCCTAGGCGCAAGTTTCAAGTCAATAGGAGATCAATTGGCGACTCGGGGTGAGAAACTCGGGAATGACTTGAGGAAGAATGGATTTATACCTCATTTTGTTGAAAAATAATCATGAAAGCTTGTCATGAAAAGAAAGAGGACAAGACTACGAGCATCTGGGATCAAACGACACCTGAATCGTGCACGGCCGTGTGAAAATCTGCACGGCCGTGTGGGTTTCCCAGGGGGTTTGCACGGCCAAAAACTCAATTTGCACGGCCGTGCAAGTAGGGGGGTGTGAGTTTCAGCTGGTATAAAAGCTGTTTTGCGATTTTTGGAGAGGGAGAGATGGTAATCTAGAGCCATTCTTGGAGCTATTTTGGAGGATTTCTTCACCATTGGAGCTAGAGAATCAAGCTTGGAGATGGAGATTGAAGATCTAGATCAGATTTCTACAGTCTCTCTCTTCTCCATGGAGTAACTTCCCTTCACTTAGGGTGTGAGGAACCCTAGTTCCATATGTTAGGATCTTTCTTGTATGAAGTTTTGGATGCTATATTGTGTGATTATAATCGATTGAGGCATGATTTATTGAGTCAATTGAATCCTGATTAAATTCTCTTGATTTGTGCTTTAACCTTTGATAGATAGAATCTGATTAGGTTAAGAGAGCTTCCTTGATTGATAGTAGTGAATTGGTTGTGCGAGAGTCAGTCAATTCACTGCTTTGTACTGGAATTCATTCCAGTAGTGGATATCTGTGTGAATCGCCTTAGTAGTCTATCCCGGTGAAGGCTAGTCGCCTGCCGGGTATTCTGTCTAAGAGGGCTTGGTCAGCTTAAGAGATTCAAAGATAATCTAGGATCTTCAGCAGTTTAATCCACAGTAAAACAACCGAAAGGAATTACAACTTGGACCTAATTGAGGAGCTAGGGAAAATCATACCTAAGTGAGTTCCCAAACTGTAATTAGTAGTTTTGCTTAGTTTAGTTAGTAGAGTAGTTTAGTTAATCAATCCTTAATCAGATTTGCTAGATAATGAACTGAAGCTGAGTAATAGTACATCTAGAGACCCGAGTATTCGATATTTATTACTTGCACCACTATACTGCAGTCCCTTCCATTGGTTACAATTGGCCATTGTTAGGTGTTGTGTCGTAGCGTGTCAAGTTTTTGGCGCTGTTGCCGGGGAATTTCTAGATTATTAGGAAAGACAGAAGTTTGTTACTTTAGCGTTTTGTTTTGTTTTTCACCCTTGCTTTTCACTTGAGTGTTTTTGTTGGTGTAGATCTGAATCATGGATCCTCATGGCTTCTCCAACCATTGGGGGTATCCACCACCACCCGAGTGGTATTACGCTGAGACATCCTGGAACAATCAAGCATGAGAAGACTATGGATTCAGGTTTCAATACTAACCCCCCTACTACGAAGAACATTCAAACCCCTAGGCATTTCAAGAACAATCTCCTTATCAAGAATAATTTCTCCCACAACCAGAATGGCCATCAGATCTTGAGTTAGCCACAGCCTTCACTGGCCATCCGGCAGAGCCATGCTACAGTCCAAAGCCAGATCCAAATTATCACTTGAGGCTTCTCGTGGAGAAGATTGCTCGAGTACCTGAGAGACCCTTTCCCGAGATGGATCCTCATATCCAGGTCATTTCCCAAACTGACTTCTCCTTCCCCCATGAAACAGAGGAGACCCTTCGGAGCATAAAGAAGCACATAGAGGTTATTGTGAAAGCTTGTGCACAGTTTTCTCAAGACAAACTTTTTGCTACAACACAAACAGAGAAGGAGAAAGAAGAAGTCAATCATGAGGATGTCGTAGAGCATATAGAAGTTGTCACGATGAGCTCCTGTGATGATCATGATCAGAAATTTCCTGTTGTCGCTGACCATACCTTTCCGCATCCTGCACCGAGCGCTGAAGAGGCGTGCATGAGCGAGGAGATGCAAGCTGATCTTATTGAAAAGATTGCATGGCGACTTGCTCTCTAATCTGTGCTAGAAGAAGAAGAGTGAGAAAGGATGAGGAAAGAAGTTGTAGAGGATGACGGAAGTGAATTAGAGGAAGTTCTTGATATTTTCCCAGGGGAGGAATCAAATTCCAAGGAAGGAAGGGGGGTTGAAGAAGCAATTGGCATCCAGGCTGAGGACGAAGTTGAGGTGGAAGAGGCTTGCACCGACTATGAGTTACTTGTGATATCTCCACCAAAATTCGAGTAGTTGCTTGGCAAGGACCCATTTGCGGTGTCTCTTTGCCAGACCAAGGCCACATCGACATCGGTCCCTCTTGGTGGACACGATGGTGGTCAGTCAATGCTGTCATATATGGTTTGGGGCAATGAGACGAGAGAGGAAGAAAAGAAGAGGTCTCGCGGGTGTAGACTTCATATTCATCAAGTACACGAGCCTACATCACCAGTCATACCACATGCTCGTGACTTGAGACTTCGCCTCGCCAACGAGAACCTCAACTTCAAGGAGGTTCTAGCATGGGCCGAAATTTAAGAGCCATCGTCTGGCATACGACGTGAAAGAAGCGCTTGTTGGGAGGCAACCCAACCAGTCGGTTTGCACTTTCTTTACCTATGTCTCTTCGGTTGAGTCAGTTTGTCTTTTGATTTTAGAGTCAATAACTCAACATTTGTGAGATTTTTTGTGGTTTTTGTGTTTTAACTACTCTCTCTCCTCTTGGAATGCACCTCCTGGCCCGTCCACCATCATTCACACTTGATCTGGTAACTTCATTCTACCCTCCTTATTTTTCCTCCATTGAGGTCAATGTCATGCTTAAGTGTGGGGGGGATGTTCCATTATGTTTGCATGTGAATGTTTGGTTGTTTGTGTATGTTTGGAGCCTAGTCCACTGTCCAAATTTCGATTTGAGGGCTCCAAGCACGTGCTCCTTGCAACTGCCTGCTCAATATGCTTTGAATTGACAGTCTTTATAGTAATATGCAACCTAGGGAGGTAGTGTAGCACTATGGAGGATGTTGATGCATTTAAGAAGTCTCCTTTTTTCTTCATATTGTGTTGGTTGATTGTGTGAATTAGTGATCTTAGGACCCTTGATTGTGTTGTATTGTGGACTCTCTACCTGTCATGGACTCCTGTATCATGTTTTGAAATAAAAGGTGCTCGAAAATGTGCTTTGAAATAACGTCTCCCGTGCGAATAGGTCGAAAGTGTGTAAGGGGAGATAGGAATCCGTTCCCAACTTCCACCTACTACCCCTTACATTTCTTTCGCCCGCACGAGGCTCGAGACATCTGCTCCCGGCATGGCCGGTAGGAGCTGCTCTTGGCATGGCCAGTAAGAGCCGGGCTCCCTCAAAACCGTTAATAGGTGGGAGCCCAGTTTTCTGGAAATAACAGGTTAGGACCCTTGGAAAAAAACAAACAACAAAACAAAGAAAAAGAAAAAAGGGGTTCCAACCATCTTTAAAAGGAAAAAAATAGAGCACCTAAAAAAGTGAGTCCATGACCTTTCTGTTTTTCAGAGTCTCTTTGTCACGAATCACTTGTCCTCTGATCACTACTTGGCATGATCCCGACTCGGGTCTAGAGTTCTCGGCGAAGAAGCTAGGAGGTGTCTTGTGCGTTGGTTGACCTCGTAAGCGGCTAAATGACTTAGAACGTCCTCTACCACCAATTGCGGTTGCATGTTTCTATAAAGGTCTGGAGAGTTGCATTGGTTTGAGTCAGGTTTGCTTTGGGACAAGCAAACGGTTAAGTGTGGGGGAACTTGATAACGTCGTATTTGCAGATGTTTGCACCCTCGTTTCTTGATCATTTTGGCTTGATTTTTTGATTTCTTGGACTATTTTACGCTAGGTTGTGTTCCTTTGTCACATTTCAGGTCCTAGCATGTAAAGTGAATCCTAGGCGCAAGTTTCAAGTCAAGAGGAGATCAATTGGCGACTCGGGGTGAGAAACTCGGCAATGACTTGAGGTAGAATGGATTTATACCTCATTTTATTGAAAAAGAATCATGAAAGCTTGTCAGGAAAAGAAAGAGGACAAGACTACGAGCATCTTGGATCAAACAGCACCTGAATCGGAGGTCAAACGAGCTCAAACGAGATCACCGAAGCTTAGGTGTGCATGCTGGAAATTGGGCACTGCCGTGTGAAATTCTGCACGGCCGTGTGGGTTTCTCAGGGGGTTTGCACGGCCAAAAAATAAATTTTCACGGCCGTGCAAGTAGGGGGTGCGAGTTTCAACGGGTATAAAAGCTGTTTTGCGGTTTTAGGAGAGGGAGAGCTCGGTTTTGGATCCAAATACCCAAGGGACGATCCAAAGAGAGAGAGGGTAATCTAGAGACATTCTTGGAGCTATTTTGGAGGATTTCTTCACCATTGAAGCTCAAGAATCAAGCTTGGAGATGGAAATTGAAGATCTAGATCAGATTTCTACAATCTCTCTCTTCTCTATGGAGTAATTTTCCTTCACTTAGGTTGTGAGGAACCCTAGTTCCATATGTTACGATCTTTCTTGAATGAAGTTTTGGATGCTATATTGTGTGATTATAATCGATTGAGGCATGATGTATTGAGTCAATTGAATCCTGATAAAATTCTCTTGATTTCTGCTTTAACCTTTGATAGATAGAATCTGATTAGGTTAAGAGAGCTTCCTTGATTGATAGTAGTGAATTGGTTGTGCGAGAGTCAGTCAATTCACTGCTTTGTACTGGAATTCATTCCAGTAGTGGATATCTGTGTTAATCGCCTTAGCAGTCTATCCCGGCGAAGGTAGTCGCCTGCCGGGTATTCTGTCTAAGAGGGCTTGGTCAACTTAAGAGATTCCAAGCTAATTTAGGATCTTTCGCAGTTTAATCAACAGTAAAACAACCAAAAGGAACTACAACTTGGACCTAATTGAGGAGCTAGGGGGAATCATACCTAAGTGAGTTTCCAAAATGTAATTAGTAGTTTTACTTAGTTTAGTTAATCAATCCTTAATCTGATATGCTAGATAATGAACTAAAGCTGAGTAATAGTACATAGACCCGAGGATTCGATATTTATTACTTGCACCACTATACTGCAGTCCCTTCTATTGGTTACACTTGGCCATTGTTAGGTGTTGTGTCGTAGCGTGTCAGCAGCAAGCACAGAAATACATAAGGTTACCCTTCCACCAATGGACAAATACTTCCCCATCCAACCAGCCACCCTACACTCCACCTTGTCAATGACTTTGTTCCATATACCATTAGAAGTGGGATGAGCCCCTAGAGGTAGGTCGAGATACTCAGTGTGAAGGAACTTCGAATCGCAACCCAGAATCTCCACCATGCGATTCACATTAGCAATCTCACCAACTGGGAACAAAAAACTTTTCCCGAAGTTCACCTTAAGGCCAGTGATGGTTTGGAACCAAACCAACGCAGCAGCAAAGTTGAAGACAACTTCCTTCGTCGCGTCACAAAAAACAATGGCATCATCAGCATAAAGGAGGTGATTAACTCCATCCACTCTATTAGAATCATCCATGAAAAAACCCTCGATAAGCCCAGAATCATGAGAGCTTTGAAGAATAAACGACAATAGATCCATAATGAGACTGCAAAGGAAGGGGGAAAGGGAGTCCCCTAGTTTCAAACCCCTTTGCATCTGAAAGAAACCTCTTGCTTTGCCATTGACAAGCAGCGACAGTTTAGAGTGACTAATAATACCCTTAATCCACTTACAGAACCACTAGCAAAGTCCCATGTTCTTCAAAGTGTTAAACAGACAACTCCAGATGACGGAGTTAAATGCCTTCTCAATATCCAATTAAAAGTTGATTTCCGGGTGCCCACTTCTCAGTCTACTATCAACCAGCTCATTGGCAATAAGAGCGGCTTCATGAATCTGTCTATGCCGCAGACTAGCGAACTGATGGCAGGAAATGAACCGTCTCATGAAGGGTTGAAGAAGCAAGAACAGAAGCTTGGACAAAATTTTGTTCAGACTACTGACGAGGCTAATAAGGCGGAAGTCACCAACTTCTTCAGCAACAATCTTTTTGGGAATGAGGCAGATAAAGGAGTGAGCCATTGAGTCAGGGGAGTAAACCAGTAAGGTAAAACTCATCCACAACTTTCAAGATGTCCTGCCTAACCACGCCCCACACTTATTGGAAGAATCGCAGGGTAAACCCATAAGGGCCTGGCGCTTTATTTCTCCCCCCCGACAGGAACATACGACTTTCCAGGTTTCTGCTTCCGAAAAAGGGAGTGTGATGAGGTGGTTCTCCTCTAGGCTTAGTAGGTTACGCTTAAAGTTAGAAGGGAACGGTCTAACGAAAACATCCTCAGAGAATCTGGATTGAAAGTGGTGAAAGAAAACATGCTTGAAAGCTTCTCCATCGGTAACCACCTCATTGGCCACTTTCAGATACTGAAGGTGTTTCTCTTGCGATTACAATTGGCCATGCGATGAAAAAACCCCGAATTCTTGTCCCCAACCTTGATCCACAGCTCCCTGTACTTTTGACGCTAGGAAATTTCCTCCATAAGGAGAGTCTTATCAAGATCGCACTTTCACAAACTTCTAGCAATAATATGAGACTCCGTGATAGGCCAAGCTTCCTCCAGCCTGTCAATCTCGCTAATCTTCTTAATTAATGACTCGATTCTGAGTTGAACTCTACCGAAGACTTCCACATTCCAAGATTTAATGAGTTTCTTACTCTGCTTAAGGCGCTGACTAGCGCATAGAAGAAATCCCTAACCGGAAACAGGGACATTCCACTACCCAACGAGACCCTGCAAGAATAACTCCTCAAGAAGCCACATGTTTTCGAACTGCCAAGGTCTACAAGCACGATCGGCCATTCCCCAATGGACCTGGATGGGATTATTTTCGGACTCGACCCTTTCAAAGGGAAGCAATGGTCCTGGCGAGAAGGTTCTTCAAAGCTTGTATTGACCAAGGCGCGATCAATGCGAGACAGGCTCGCGTTGCTACCACCACTACTTCTAGTAAAGGAAGCACCCTGCAAGGGAAGATCAATGAGGCCGTTACGATTCACCATGGAGTTGAACTCCGCCATCATCATTCCGCCATCATCATTCTACATCTCGGAGCACCCCTGACCATGTTAAAGTCCCCCATAAAACAAATGGGATCCTCATATCGGTGGTATATGAAAACGATCTCGGATAAGAAAGCTAGCTTAGCATATCTCTCGTGAGGCCCATAAACAAAAATAATGGCGAGGACATTAAGAGTTCGAACGATCCGAAGACGAATAGCCAACGAGAAACGACCTTCCCAATAATCTATCTGATAAAACTCTGAAGACTCCCAAAAAGCAGCAATACCGGCCCTTGTGTCAATAGAATTCTTGGCCACCCACGTACTGGACCTACTACCGCTGACCGACGTAATCAGAAGCTGGGAGCACTCATTCAACTTAGTTTCAATCAACCCAACCATTGATGCACGACAACGGCGAATCATGGGCTTCACTCTCGCTCGTTTATCAGGATCGCCCAGACCCCTGACGTTCCACGCAAGAATAGAGTTATTCATTGGAAGAAGGAAAAGAGGGACCTCTTCTAGCACGATCACCTGGGCCGTTCCTTCACCTAGGGGTGGTGACACGCTATGACACAACACCAAACTGCGACCAAGTGTAATCGCAGTCCGGGAATGCAGTAAAATGGCAAGTTCTATTATCAACCCGGGGTCTAGATCTACTGCTTACTCCGTGAGTATATATTATCTAGCCAACTAAGTTAAGTGATTGTTTTTTAAAGCAAAAGCAGAAAGAAAGCAGGAATTGGTACGGTTTTCTCAAGAAAAGAAGAGTCACTCGGGAATGAGTCCCCCTAGCTCCTTAGTTAGGTTTCAATTGTAATTTCTTTGGGTTTATTTACTGTTGATTAGACTGCGGAAGATCCGACAGTAGCTTGGAATCTCTTAAGCTGACCAAGCTCTCTGAGTCTAACTACCCGGCAGACGACTAGTCTTCACCGGGATAGAAAGCTGAAGCAGTAGGAACAGAACTCCACTACTGGAATTGAATTCTAGTACAAAGCAGTAAACTGGCTAACTCTCGTATAGCCAATCTCCTACTACCGAATGATGAGGCTCTAACAACCTAATCAGATTCTATCTATCTCAGGTTGCAGCAAAAATCAGGAAAAGCTGATCAGACTTCAATCGACTCAATAAACATGCATCATTTGATTAAAACCAAGCAGTAATATCATCCCAAGTCATTACAATCAAATCCCTAACACATAGAACTAGGGTTCTTCATACCCAAGTGAGAGAAGGGTTCTACTCCATAGAGAGAGAGAGAGAGAGAGAGGAAAACAGAATACAGAGTAGTCATACTCATAAAGATGAGGAAAATCTGCTCTAGGATGATGATTTCCACTCCTATGACGATCTCCAAGCTTGATTTGATGAAACCCAGCTCCAAGATAGCTTCTAGGATGTGTTCTTCGTACTTTCTCTCTCTAGGGCTCTGTTTTTGCTCTCAAAATTCAATTCCCTCACTTGCAGCCCGAAATTGGGTAAAAACCAGAAATTCCCGACTCACACGGGCAGGGCCACACGGCCGTGTGGCATACCCAGTTACCCGTGTGAGGTCAAAACGCCGCGTTCCGATTAATTGCACTTCAGGCTTCCTACACGGCCAGGGTCACACGGCCGTGCAGCTCACCCAGCCTGGCCGTGTGAAGCCTCGCAGAATTCCACATGGCCAAAATGCAACTTCACACGGCCGTGTGAATATCAGGGCTGGCCGTGTGAAGGCTCGCACAATACCACACGGCCAAAGTGGTCACTTGCACGGCCGTGTGGATTCTGTGTGTGCCCGTGTGGCTTCCTTTTTGACTTGCCTCGCGCCCAATCTTCGTCCAATCGACCCCGAACTCGCTCCTAAACCTTCATTCACTTGCTAGGACCTGAAATATCATAAACAAACACAACCTAGCATGAAATCAGCCTAAAACACGAGAATTACCATCTCAAACGGCTCCAGAATAGGGGTAAAAACATGTGCAATTAATGGCTTATCAGGTGGAGACGCTAGTACTTTGATGCCCCAGTCGATGTGTAATAACCTTGCCTCGAGCGAGAATGTGTTGTGTTTGTGCTTTGTTTTTTTTCCTCCCTTGAAGCTCAAACATTCTACCCCAGGAATTTCTCCAACTTTCATTCACCAAGCCATGCGGTAACATCGTTCTACCCCCTATGTTGAGCTTAAGTGTGTGTGTGTGTGTGGGGGGGGGGGGGGGTAGTTTACTATTATGCTTGTGTGTGTGAGTGAATGCTTAGAGGCTTGATGTATGCCTAAATTTGAAAATTTTGAGGGCTCCAAGCAATGCATGATCAAAAGGGCCCGTTGGTGGGTGAAACTCGTGCTTATTTGGCATCGATCTTAAGTTACATGTAATTGAGTGCATCCTATGATGATGACTGAGAATGCATTAGGGTTGTGCAAAAGCTTAGTTCTCATGTGTGCTTGAATGAATGGTTGTCTTGACTTGGTTACTTCCGGATTACAATTGCCATGCATTGGAATTTTTTGAATTGAAATAGATGATTGGGTGGCTAGGTAGCCATGTGAATTTTGTGTCGATCGTCTTTTTCATGTGAGATAGATCTCTCTCACCATGGCGTGTAACATTCACAGTTGTCACTAGTGGGTATGATGGAGGCATAAGATTAGTCCACGCCCAAAAGTTTATTGTCCAGAAATATTTTATCTCCTAGTCAACCCCTTTGAGCCGTGTGACTGTGGGGTCGTTCTAATGCTAGGAGCTTCGTGCTTGTTGAGCTTAATGGTGATTGAAAGAACGAATTCCACATATCCTTTCGTCGTGTCAAAGTGCGAGTCATCCTTGTGTCTCGAAGTTCTCGCTTTTGAGCTCCATTGAGGTTCTACATAGGTGGTTTTGCACGGTTCTTGCTAGAAATGAGAAGGTAGTGTTGGAGGAAAGTTCTTATATCGAGAGCATTGTTCGTTAAATGAAAGATGTGGCATGTTTTTAGGTCTCTAGTACCCCCCTGAGAAAAAAGAAAGAAAGAGCAAAAAGAAAGAATCGAAAAAGAGTTAATAAAATGGGGTAAATAAAAGTAGAGAGTGGCCACAAAACTCTAAGGGGTCGTTTGCTTGAGGGTTTTGGTCATGGATTTGGTCATGGAAATATATCCATCATGGACTTGAACCGAAATCCATCGTTTGCCTTAGGGAATTAGGTAGATGGAATTTGTGGGGCCCACCACTTTTGGGGTTCCAAATCCGTGCATCCCACGGACTTGGAAGTTCCACCTCTTGAGGTGGGATTTGGGTGATGGATTACAATCCATGATGGTAAATTACCTTTCTACCCTTAATTATTTCTTTAATTACAAATTTGTCCTACTTTAATTCAATGGTCATGCAACTGTAAACTTTTATATAATTTCGTATTTTATAAATATGAGAAGTTATCATTTCATTTTGTTATATCGTATTTTATTTAAATATGAATGTATATGTGATTTGTTAGATTCACCTAGAAACACTTTATGCTCATCTTGTACATTATTATTTGATTGATTGTCAGATTCCACATCGCTGAGTTAGCAAGAAGATGATGAGTTGTAGCAATAAAGCGAGCAATTGACCGCAATTGATACATAATATTGCGTACATTATTAGATGAATTGTTTTTTTTTATGAAGGATTATTAGATGAATTATTAATTAGTGCCAAGATGAATTGTTAATTAGTGCCAAATTGTAATACATTTCTATATTTGTAGTTGAATTATTAATCCACATAGTGGTAAAGAGTTTAAAATTTCTTTCTATGTTTTGGATTAGGTTTAAATGATAGATTTGGATTATAATATAAAAATATAATTAAATAAGGGTAACTAGGTAATTTGTATTTAATATCCACAAATCTAATCAAACAAAGTCCATAATCAAATCCATCAAGCAAACAATAGACTTGTTCAAATCCATAATGCCACCAAATCCATCATATATCCATGGTTTTCCAAAACCCAGGTTTTACCAAAACCCTCATTTTTCAAATCCATGAAGCAAACGACCCGTAAGTGTATGCTTTAGAAAGGGGTTCTTGTCACTCAAGCCATTGAAACACCTAAATTTTTTGATGACCTCCTTCACTACTAGGTTCAAAATGTGGATAGCAAGATAGGCCAAAGAAGTGTTCTTGAATGCACTTCGTGATTGGTAGTGGTTTAAAAGAAGGGAAGTGTGGTTTTTGGACGATGCTAGTTGCCTTTATTGTAGGAAAGGTTCTTAGTCGAGACCATAGAACCTTGGGTTTTAGGTTGAAGATGTAGGACCTCATGCCATGTTTGCCACCACCTAAAAAGCCTTTTCCCCATGTTTAAGACAATGGCCAGTCATTTGAACCCGTGTCTAAGACCTCCGGACAAGCTAGTGATGACAACCGTCCCGTGAAATCTAGCATTTAGAGGTTGCCGCCATGGTGGAGAGACGATAGGGCTGATTGTTGATGATTGTGCACATCTTTTGCACCAAAAAGGTCCTGACCCCACTAGTCGAGAGTGAGTGATTCATTCTTGTTTTGCATGTTCAAATCACACCCCGATGAGGACCTATGTTTCTCCATTATCAGTTCCTTGGACTTGAGTTCTATGCCTGGTTAGTTGTGGTTGGTGAGTAGTCTGGTGAAGCCTTGCATTGATTCGTGAACATGGTGAGAACTTTTCATTTGCCCGTTTTGATACAATCGAATGTCGTTTGTGGTGGATGCCAGTATTGTTGAGGCGGTTCATGTGTTGATGTCCAAATAGTTATTGAGATTCACCGTTTTGTGGCTTTTGATTTGTCCCCAAGTCACCTTGTTAGGTCGAGATATTACCTAAGTTGAAAATGGTTTGCTTGGGGACAAACAAACGTCTAAGTGTGGGGGAGTGATTCGGGATCATTTGTACACTTTTTACCCCCGGTTAGTTTAGTCGTTTGATGCATTTTTACTTTGGGAGGTTTGGTTTTTAGCCGGGTTGTGCCTTATTTTGGTATGTTTTAGGTTTTGGCAGGTGGAACCAACCCCAGAGTCGAAAGTTGGACGAAAGGGCGAAAGATCAAGTCAAACAGTGGAAACAACAGAAGTTCGCGGTTTGGGTTGTGAGTTCACGTTCACTCAGACCGTGAACTGGAGGCGCTCCCCGCAAACTTCCATAAATCCATAGCACATAAGGGCTTCACTAGACACAAGCCAGTTCACGGTCGTAAGATCGTGAACTCAAACCTCCGTCCGTGAACAGAGTTTAGTGATGCGGCGCGTTTCATTGTTGGTTCACGGTTTGGGCTTTCAATTCACAGCCGTGAACTGAGCCAAAGAATAAAGGGGGAGACCTAGTGTGAGAAACTTCTTCTTCTTCTTCTTCAGATTTCTAGAGTGAGAAAGTGACAAACCAAAGAAGAGGAGAAGCGAGGGTTTCATCTTCACGCAAGGAATTGGGAATTCTTCCCCAAAAGGAGGATCTTTTCAACACAAGGAGCAAGGCTAGCATCTCTTGGATGGTTTCTCATCTTCTCTCTTGTGTTTTCTCTTCTCTTAGCATGGAGTAGTCGCTTCTTTCACTTGGGTGTTTGTAAACCCTAGCTACAATTATGTGAATGCTTGTATGGATTGAATGATTTGTTTTGTGGTTGTGTTTAATGTGAATTTGGAGGTATTATTCATGAATGATTGTGTTGTGTTGTGTGAAAGCCTATCAATCTAATTGCCATTCTAATATAGGTGGAGAGAAAACACCCTTGTGAAATTTGACGAAATGATAAGCAATGATAGGGGAAAGAAATAATAGAAAGGGAAGAATAGAAGTCGACTTATGAAAAAGTGGCAAGGGCATAATTGAAAAGTTTGGACTAATTGATGAGTCATTTAAAAATGACTCATGAATAAGAGGCATTTGTAAATGAATTGATAGATTCATTTGGGCCTATCATATGAACGAAATGACTCGTGCACTTTTTTTTGTAGCAAATGAGACGTTTGATACCAAATGAATCAATTTAGTCATTTGATATCAAATGAATCCTACAAATTCCTCATGAAAATGAGCCCTTACTAATAATAAAATGTGACCAAGTCACATGTACCAGTTATGAATTCTCCATTAAAATTAGATATCTCTGTTGGACAATCTAATATATTAAAAAAAGTCTAAAAGACCACACGGAGCGTCATAGACCATTATGTTCCAAAGATAAACATCATCGATTAAAAATGAGCTATAAATTAAAATGGTCAAATCAAGGACATTAAAACTATAGGTGTCAAAACTTCATCCGACCCGAGTAACCCTCCTAACCAACCCGATCCGCGACCTGCCCGCAACCCGATTGGACTAAAAGTCAAAGACCCACAACCCGCCCGACCCACAACCCGATTGATCCACAACTCGATTGACCCATAACCCGATTGACCCGCAACCCGCTTGACCCGAACCCGATTGACCTGTAACCCACCTAACTCGCAACCCGCTTGACCCATAACCCGACTAACCCAAACCCGATTAACCCAACCCGAACCCGCCCGATTGGCACGAATAATACTACATAATATATTTTGGTGCATAAATATTATATGTAGATAATATATATATATATATATATATATATATATATATATATATATATATATATATATATATATATAAAGCTTACATGACTTGCCCTATTATTTTTTCATCTTTCTCACCAAGAACAAAGCTTTACTTTGTGTTGACATTTTACATTTGGTTGATGTATATATATAATATATATCGATAAAACATACATATGAAAAACATGATTGACTTAATTAAGCCAATCTTATACCAGTACCTAATAATTACAACATTTTTTCTTCCACACATAATATAACTGGTCACATAACATTGTCAAAATATTAACCTAGCATACGAAGATTCATAATAGTAGAATTAGATCGTCGACTTATTATTTTTCACAACCTAAAACCTTCTAAAATGTAAATACAAACAGGAAGTAAAATTATAATAAATTAATTTCATGGACTAGATGGCTATTGGGTTAGTCTTTTTAATGCAATGTCCTTGGTTCAAACCCTATTAGAAGCAAGTTTTTTTAATTTTGTAAACATAATTTTGCTTCACAGCTTAGGAATACATAAAATTCACTTTGGTTACAACTTACAAATTACAACATGTACTTATAAATAATAAATCATTGAGACAATTTAATCAAAATCTAAAAGGATTCGGGTTAGGAATCTTAAGATTAGGACTTATGTTCTTCACAATAATATGGAATCTAAAATTTACTCAACCTACGTTATACCACCAATTTCATGACATGTAATGTAACTAGAGTTTAGGTTTTAAGGTTAGTGTATAAGGTATACGGTTGATGGTCGTGGTTTAGAGTTAGGAGGATTTGGACGTATGTTCTTTCCAATAACGAAATATAAAATTGACTTAACTTACATTCTTCACATACCATACAATATAGTTTATACCAACAATTTCATAAGATATAACTATAGTTCATGGTTTAAGGTTAGTGTATAGGGTATAGAGTATAGGGTCATGGTTTAGAGTTCAGTGTTTGGGTTATGGACTGACGGTTAAGGGTTGAGGTTAGTTTTAGGGTTAATTACTTAATGTTGTGGTTTAGGATAATGTATGGTTGGTGGTTAAAGTTAGTTTTAGGTTTAGATTTACAATGGTGTTATACGTATGGTTAGGGTTTCTTCATGGTTATGCTTTACGATAGATATTTTGATTTTTATAGTTTATTAATTAATTTGATTTTAATGATTAATTTACCTTGTGAATGTACATCTTAAAATATCATATTCAAATGACATTCCGAATTCCGACCAACGGATCGAACAACAAACTAATTGATCGGTATAAAATTTATAATCCGTAGACTATAATAAATATCATAAAAAGGAAGAACTAGATGTCCAGGGAAAATTTTTGAATGCAAAATTCAAAACCCCCCAAATATTTGCTCGAAAGTTGACTCCCAATATTTCATCTAAAATTGAAAATTCCCTCCCATGATCCCAGCGGACCCAACCTTATTTTCTGCGACCAAAAAATATATATTATTAATAACTTTTTTAATTCTTTAATCAATTGAGGATGGAAAATATTGGTCTTGAACGAAGGAAAAACCAGTCTTCCTTTCTGTATTAAAAAAACCTCCCTTTCCCTTATCCTTTCTGCGCCTTCTCTCTCCTGTAGCCGCGTGCGTCAACCTTGTTATTCTGCTAACTTGAAGATTCGTTAGTATATACTAACTAATATCCAAGTCTGCTAAGTATCTAGATAGCACAGACTAGTATTCAAAAATCACAAACTAGTATCCAGATAGCATATACCAACTAATATCCACAATCAACCAACTAGTATTCAATATGGATACTCTTTTGGGTTATCTGGATACTCATATGTGTTATCTGAATACTAATTATGTGTTGTTTGGATACTATTCTGTGTTGTCTAGATATTAGTTTGTGAATTTGGGATAATAGTTGATTCATTGTGGATATAAGTTAGCAAACTTTGAATGCTAGTATGTGCTCTTTAGATACTTTAGTACTTGGATATTAGTTCGTGTATTTTGGATATCAGTAAGTATCTGTTAACGAATCTTCAAGTTAGCAGATTAACTTTCCCCCGCGTGCGTGCCCGTCTGGCCGTCGTCGTTCATCTTCTCCGAGCGAAGGAAGTCAAACAATTTCACTCTCAATCGGCCGTTCTCCATCTCCATATTCTCACCACAGCTCTCAAATCATCCGTTTGACACCTTTCAATTCTCACCACGTGCTCGAATCCGCCCCGTGAGTTAAAGTCAAACCTAGAAGTTAAGTCCAATCCCAGCAATATCTATGGATTTTCTCAGGTACGTGTCTCCCGCTCTCGGCTCTTCATTCTGTTCTCTCCTTCTTGTTTTTTTATTTCTTTTAATTGTTTTGTTCTTATTGTGGTCTTGGTTCTCAGTTTTTCTCTTTTGGTAATGTTTTTCAGTAGCAATACGGGATGAGTTGCAACTGCGGTTGAGGGGAAGAGAGCTAAATATTGTATTTGTTAGAGGAGGAAGAGAAGGTAATGTCACAGCCTGGTCTATTTTTCCTGTAATAAAATTCCAATTAGTTCAGGCTTCCTTCTGCTACACATTCTGATAATGGAGAGTAATACAAACAATACATGAATACAAGGACTGCCTACGAAAAGCAGTAACTCGCCACCAAGAACACCCTCAAAGCCTATTCAAGAACACCACTCAAAGTGATAATTTTACCTAACAAACAACCTGCAAAAGATATCTACCATAGCTAAACTAATTGGTAAACAAGTAACAAACAACCTGCATTCAGTGTTAGCTGTGAACTTCTCAATATTTCTTGTAGCCGGTCATTGTTACTCTGTCTATTTATTCAGTAGCTTCTCCTGGTTGATTCCTGACACTTCATGGTCAAAACAACCTTTTCCACAAACTACAATTGCACTTTCTGTGTTGAATGTTTTACTTCCTCACAGAAGGTTGTCATGTTTCCATTTCCATTTTTACTATATTTTGCTCGCAGTCATCTTGTTCTGTCAGGGAGCCCTTTTGTTCTTTTTCTGTTCTCTCCTTGTTTCTCATGGCCTTTGTCTCGGCTGGTTTTTCTTTATTTTTCAGGTTCAGTTTTGCCCTTTTGTTCATTGTTTAATTTAATTTTCATCTTCATAAAAAAAAGGAACCAGAGGAGTTTGAGGAAATTGCATTTTTGGGGGTGGTGGCATTTTTTTGAGGAAATTGCATTTAGGTTTGAATGGGGTTATGAACATTGGTGGGATATGGTCATATGGATGTTGTTGTAGCTATTCTTGTTGGGGTTTATGGGTATGCACGTTGTTGTTGTTGTTGTTGTTGTTTCTGTTGAGGGGTTCTTGGTTTGAAAGTAGTTTGATTTGGGCAGGGCGTTGGTGGTGGGTTGGATGGAGCTCAAGCGGAGATCGTTTGGTTTCAGCTACATGGACAGGGTGGTTAGAAGTTAGGACTTAGAAATTCATTGTTAGGCTTGCTGTAGGCTATAGCATTTACGTTAGTGAGGGTTTCTCAATCATGGGAAAAGAGATTGAATTATTGGTAGTGGTTCTTTGCCAATACAATTGTCAAGAGTGCTAACTGTATGCAAACCCTCTAAAATTAAAAACCTGCATCCAAACTACCCTAGATGAAATTTCAGCAGTCATGTTATTGTGTTTGTTGCTTCTTGTTTGATTGATTATGTAATTCTTTTCGTTTATTTTTTCAGAAGCAATGGACGCCAGGGCTAGAAGAAGCAAAATTTGGAAGAATTTCACTCAAGTTGAATAAGAGGAGGAGGTCAAGCTTCAATGCAACCATTGCATGAAGGTTTTTGGATGCAATCCTAATAAGAATGCACAGTTTCACTGTGGAGGCATCTTAAGATGTGCACTAAGAGAAATCTTCAAGATTAATGAAGCCTTATGTACTTTATTGTATTTAATTCTATTATATCTGCTTAAACATCATGTAATGATCTCAACTATCAAGACTCAACAGATTGTTTCACAGGTTTATGATCAAGCAAGTTGTCAGCTTTTTACTTTCTTATGTTGGTTTTGTAACTTTAATGAATTCTGTGCAACATCAAACTTGTTTATGATATATTCAAGCAAAATCTATTCACTCATTTGTTTAATAATGTACCTTCATGTTTTTTTCATTGCAATATGGTGATCGGTGAGTTTGTTTTAAATTAATGTAATAACTAATTCTAAAAAAAACTCGATGGTTTGGACCGAACAACCCGCAACCAGTGGCGGATCCAGGGGGTGGCCAGCCCTTCCCTGGATCCGGAACTAATATATCCCTTATTAGTTTATCGATTTTAGCCATTTGACCCAGTGTTATTTTATAATAAAATTGTGTATAATTAGGAAAATGGGTAAGATGAACATATTCAAATCAGAACTCTAAATTTAGCCTGAAAGTTCCAGCTCCAATGATTCTCATGTAAAGAAAAACAAACAATGAAACCTAAAACTCTAAAGCGTAAAAGACTAAAAGAAATATGAGGCTTATTCCCTTAAGAAATTACTAGAGCAGCTGATGAAAATAGGAATTGATACACAATATATATTGATTAGTCGATTGATTTGTCCAGTGTTGACATTTGCGTAACAAAATAAGCGATGAATTTCTCGCAAATTGGTTAACTATTTTATCTTAAAGAGAGTATGTTATTGGTATGGATGTAAACTCCATTATTGATGAATTCACTATATTAAAATTTTAAAGATCGACGTGTACAATTGATATTGTAAAAAAAACTGTGATTTTTTTACTATATCTAATTTTCTAATGAAATGCGGCCCAGTGCTCTACTGTGTCCTGGATCCGCCGCTGCCCGCAACCCGACCTGTTGTAACCCGCAATTTGATCAACCCGAACCCAATTGATCTGCAACCCGATCAATCCGTAACCCGACTGATCCGCAACACGATCAATCTGAACACGATTTTCCTGCAACCCGATCAACCCGTAACCCGATCAACCCGCAACCCGAACCCGCTTGACCAGCAACCCGATTAACCCGCGACCTGACTGAACCCGTCCCGAACCCGCCCGATTGACACCTATAATTAAAACTCAAGAGAAGTAACCAAGAATAAAGTAAGATTTTAGTTCCACAAGAACACAAGTAGCTGAAAGCTATGAAAGTGAATAGATCTTAAAAATATCTTGGACACAATACTTGAACCATAATTAAGTCATTGTCAATGAAATTTCTGTGATACTGCAGTATTGAATATGATGCATGTAAAGTATGATGTTATTGGCCAATATATAAAGAAATAACGAAACTTCTTCAAAGTGCATGAAGTTTTAGGACCAGGAGTCATTTATACCTAAAGATATAAAACTTGTGAGATGCAAACAAATTCTTGTTGTGCTTAAGGAAAGTGTAAAATAGTAAGAGATGTGTTAGTGATTAAACCCATGAGTTAGGCACCATTTCATTGCATCTTGAAAATGCTAATAACTCCATAAGAAACGTGTCAGTTATACCTTATATAATTTCGTAGAGGAAAAAAGAAGTTGTTTATCATGCCCATATCCCACCATCCCTATGCCGCATGCGATACCACTGCAAAGGGAACCATCAAATTGCAGCAAAATAACTCCTTCAAGACATAATCCATCACCAACCTGTCGATAAATAGGTCTTCCCAAAGATGGACTAGTGGATGATTGCCCAACTCCCGCAGAGGTAGTGACTTGATGAAGTAGATGAGGGGAAGATGTTGTAGACCACTCATCCATCTGAGCACAATAACAAGACTTCCATACCCTCCAACATATGAAGACAATAGCGGCAACCTACAGTTTAGAGAGATGACAATAGAAGAAAATATTTTCCAACACAACTTAGGGGGCAGACTAGCTAGATGTACTCAAATGTGAAGGTTTTGTCCCCCTCGAAACACACTAGACAAGTAGACATGTGCTATCTGTGAGCAATGTCTTTATCACCAAAACAGTGTATAACAAAAGGAACTTTGACACAAGCCTACATAAGAAAAATCTAAGTTTGGGCAGTAAAGGAAGGTTCAATAGAAACTTCCAAAACCTGTGATCATAAGGAAACTGAACAGAAGGATGGGTGCATTGAGTTCAATAGAAAGGAGATGGCACCCAATTTTGATTGCGCCAATGAGTGGAATGGAAAGGATGATCAGTAGCGTAGCAAGAAATTTATCTAAGGTAGGTCACCAAGAAAAGAAAAAAATATAACCAAAAGTTTTAGGATGTGTTTATCTTCTTAAATTTTTGAAAATACATTCATGCAAATTATGAGGGATGTTATGATACCACAACGAAAAATCGTTCATGATTCCACAACTCATCTTATTCTGAAGTTGTTAAAAATCGTTCATGGTTCCACGACTCATCTTATTCTGAAGTGTTTCTTCACTTCGCTTATGACAGTAAATGCTCTTTCAACACTTGCATTGACAGTTTATAGCAACAACAACTCCTCAGTTTTGAGTTTTTGTTTGTAGTAAACTAACTTACAGAAAATGTAAATATGAATCACAAAATATTACATTTTTGTAAAATTGTCTACAATAATATGAGGATTTTGTATTTAATCCATAATTACATAAAAATTTATCTACATTTTTTGGTCCAAGGTGGTGCAAATGACCCACCTTGCTTTGAGTGGCTCCGCCACTGATGGCCATGATTGATTCCTGCTAAAAGATTGAGCAAAGTAGTGGATTATTCCAATCTCGAGAATAAGGACAAATCAATTCAGAAATCCATTGATGGTAGAGAGAAACCCCCCCCCCCCCCCCCTTTCTTTCTTTGAAAGATGCTTGAATGTTGGGTTTTCTTAGGTAATTCATTGTCTCCTAGTTAGGTTAATGCAGGGAAAACCTCCTATTTCGTATTAGCACTTAGGTTTGGTTTTGGGTGGCGGTCGAACTCCAATTCGAGGGTGAAGTCTAACCAATCCTTATTCAATAGGTTGAGAGAGTGACATTAGTGGTTTGGATCGTATCCCCTTTCCTCGACCTAGAGACTAATAGGGTAGCTTTGGTTACTTGCTGGACTTCCCTACGGTTTACAACCCCCTCACCACACACGGCCATTCGATCCATCAAGTTGTAATTTCTATCTAGGGGGAGCAACACCCGGGTGAATCCTTCTCAATTAGTGTCAAAACCATTTCTCTTTGCAAGTACTTTAGCTTTAAATCTTTGTTTTCACCAAAACCATCCGCTAGATAATGTTTCAAACAATTGAAGTAGCGGTACATGGGCCGGCCCGGGTTGATATGTAAACATACTTGCCCTATATTTCACCCATCTAAGGTTTATACTTGGACCTTAGGTGGAATTTTATTGTGATAGTCGGAGCGAGTCAAGTTTTTATGCTTGTGCTAGACGTGTTGTGTTCTTTAAGTGTGTGTAGGGAGGTGCATTACCCCCAGCAATCCAGCGCCTTTAACACCATTGAACAAGAACATCAACCGGACTCTCCAACTTTTAGCTCGTGAGAGGGAGCTAGCAGAGGCAAGAATGAGAATTGAAGAGAGGGGACATCAAGTTGGTCCCAGATTTGAAGGATTTGAAGGAGAAGTTGAAGTTGAGATAGCAGGGAATCAACATCGAGGTGCTGATCCACTTCAAAACCCAAATGAGGAAGCGGGAGCCGAGGAAGAGCCAAGGACTATCGGTTATTACATGGCTCCACGGGCAGTGCATATCCAATCTCCCATCTTACATTCACCTGTGGCCGCCAATAACTTTGAAATCAAGCCCGCTCTTGTGACGATGATTCAAAACAACGCCTTATTCCACGGGCTTGCCAATGAACCACCACGAGAGCATGTCCAAAGGTTTCTTGAGCTTGCGAGAATCTTGAAGATAAATGGAGTGCTCGAGGAAGCATTGCAATTGAGGCTTTTCCCTTATTCTTTGGCGGGGAAGGGTATCCGATGGCTCAACAACCGTTAGGCTCGATCCATCACCTCTTGGGACTATTTACTCAACAAGTTCATGACCCGATATTTTCCTCCTTCAAAGACGGCCAAGTGGAGAAAGAAGATCACTCACTTTGAGCAAGATGAAGATGATACGTTGAGGGATGCATGGGAAAGATTCTCCGACTATTTCCTTCAATGCCCACACCATGGATTCAAGGAGAAATTTCGGATAAAGACTTTCTATGGAGGTCTCATTCAAGATGATAAGATTCTCATCGACTCTCTTTGCCAAGGGAAGTTGATGAACATGACCCCACCTCAAGTGACCGAGTTGCTCAAATATATGTCTCTCAAGGGATATCATTGGGGCTTGACAAGAAGTGGGAAGATAAGCACCAAAAGAGGAGTGCAAAGTGTGGGAGCAAGTGCTCCATTTGAAGAGAATCTTGACAAGTTGATCGAGGTGATCCTTGAGGACAATAAGCAATGGAATGGAGCGTTGATGTTTTGTAGTTGGTTTTAGAGAACTAATCATGAAATTGTGGATTGCCAAGCGATGAAGGAGACAAGTACCCCCGAGGAGCAAGTGAGTTTCATTGCCAATGCTATAGGGAACAACCCTTATAGCAACACCTACAACCCCGGGTGGTGCAATCATCCAAACTTTGCTTGGTCTTCCCCTACCAATCCAAGACCTCCCAGTTTCCAAGGTCTAATTGGAAACTATCAACCTCGGCAAACTTTCATCCAACAAAGGCCTCAATTCTAAAACTCGAACTTCCAAAAACCATACCAAGCACAAGGTGGTCAAGGGTTCCAACAAAAACAACAAGTTGACAAGTTCTCTAGGCTTGAAGACCTTGTGACCACCTTTGTGAGTACAACCTCAAAGTTTACCTCAGTTGAGGCAGGATTCTGAAGTCATCAAGCAAGTCCCCAAAACTTGGAAGTACAAATCGGTAGTCTTGTCGGGATCCTCGCCGAGAGACTAAAGGGATCCCTACCCTCTCAAACCATTACCAACCCCTAGGATCCTGCCAGGGTGAATGCAATTCATTTGAGGAGTGGGAAGGTGACTGCGGAGGTAGTTGTCAAAGAAGTGAACGAGAAGGAAGACCCTCTACCCGAGGGTGGAGAAGAAGAAACCTCGGGAGAAAAGAGAGGAGTGGTGAGGAAGGCATCATCGACGAGTTCGAAGACCTCGCCAACGTCACTCTAAGTGAGGAGTGCTCAGCCTTCATCCTCAAGAGGTTTCCCAAGAAGCAACCCGATCCAGGTAGTTTTTCCATACTTCTTTGCATCGGTACTCATCACATAGAATATTCCTTGGCGGGCTTAGGGGCGAGCATAAATGTGATGCCCTTTAAGCTTTTTAAGTGTCTAGACATATGCGAACTAAAGACTACGAGGCTTAGTGTCATATTGGCCAATCGCTCTTGCATTAGTCCTATGGGCATTGTGTAGGACGTGCTGGTATGGGTGGGAAATTTTTGTTATCCGACGGATTTTGTGATCCTGGATATAAGTGAGGATTCTGAGATGCCAATCATACTAGGACGCCCTTTCCTTGCTACCGCCAAGGCATTAATTGACGTAAATGAGGGAACTTTGATTCTGAGGGATGGTGAGGAGAGAATTACTCTTGGAATTGAACCTCAGCCGAGGAGTGATTATGTGAAGGAAGTGGAACCAGGTGATATGAATGAAAGTGGAGGAGAACCTTGCAAGTTGAACCCCACTATTACTGTTGTTCCTTGAGATGATGTGAAGCAGGAAAGCAAAGAGGCCATCTCGTCCATAGAAGGAAGGAAAAGAGCTTGTAGGGAACGGATAAGTCTTGCTAATGCCCGGAGGAAAGAAAAGGGCAAAGCGAAAGTCATTGGCCAAGAAGGTCACCCCATGGAGAGTAAGTTAGGAGGTGACATGACTCGCCTTGAGATCGTGGTGGATCCACTCTTAGTGGCATCACGTTCAAAGGCATGATAGATCCGCACCGTCAAGCTAGTGACGTTAACTTAGCACTTGTTGGGAGGCAACCCAATGTAGATTTTTTTTTCTTTTCCTTATTTTTGTTTTTGTGTCGAGTGAAGAGTTCAAGTGGTATCCCCATGCCAGGTCTTTGTGAATGTGTGTTTTGAGTTGGTCGTGAATGATAGTAGGCACGGCGGAGTAGGTCGAGTAAATTTTTTTTAAAGTGCCATGTTTTCACTGTCGTTCACGGACGGATTGCTCTATTCACGGTCTTAATCAACCGTGAATAGTCAAACGTGTACATGAATCTGGGCGCTTCCACGTGTGTCAAACCCACTGGTTTGCCCTCGTTCACGGACGGACTGCGGTGTTCACGGTCTTAACGACTGTGAGCTGGCAAACGCGTCCTTGAACCTGAGGGTCTGCCTATAAAAGTGTCGTGAACGTTTTTTCTTCACTTCGCGACCCAAAACTCGCCAGAATCCTCTCAATCTCGCCAGAAAATCACGATTTTCGATGATTTTTGCCGTTTTCACCCACTTCCGGCTAGCCAAACCAAAATCCAATCGCATACCCATTCTCCCCTCGTCAAGGGCGGCCTTCGCCAAAATTTTGTGGGGATTTGGAGCACATTTTTTTGGTGATGTCACCGCCAGTGAGGCTCGGACGAGCTTATGGTGAGCTTCTAGCAAAGCTCCGACGACCCTCCTCCGGTTTGTTTTCGGCCAGTTTTTCGCCTTTCTCTCTATCTCCTCACTTCCGCTACCCTTCCTACTTGAGTCTCCAGGTTTGTTTTCAACTCTACCTTGTTTAATTTGGGAGAATCGGATTAGGTAGTGATGCGAGGAGAATTTTAGTGAATTGAATATTGTACTTAGCATTAGGGCGAGGAATTAGGTGAATTGTGGTGAATGAATGATTGGATGATGTTGTCATGAGCTTAGTTGAGGCTTGGTGGGCATGTTTTGATTCGAATTGCTTTTAATTGTGGAATTTGCCCACCAAGTGCTAATTTGTGAGTGAATGTGCAATTTTTATGCTTGAGTGGTGGATTGTAGCCACCGTGGCATGTTTCGAATTTAATTTTTGTGTGGGTAATCCGTGAAACACCTAGAACCATGCTGGTGTGTGACTGGCACGAAACTACACCACAATAAAATCCCGATTAGAGACCAAGTTTTTAAACTCTAGCTGAGTGTAGTATAGAGCAAGTATTTAGATATCAACCCGGGCTGGTCCGTCTACCCCTACTTCAGTTGTTTTAATCATTATCTAGCAACAAAGTTTTGGTTTAAAAGTTTGCTAATTGTACTAAAATAGGACAAAGGTAAATGGGTTTTGAAAACTCTTTTGTGGAAGGATCACTTGGGTTTCGCTTCCCCCTAACTACTACCATGATATGCGCATTGGAACGATTGTTGGGGCAAGGTAATCGCAAATAGCAGGGGGATGCATATAGGGCCGAAGACCACAATCTCAATTGCTAAACTGAGGTAAACATCAAAGGCTGTGTCACTCGACCCTCTCGGTTTAGGCAATCGGTAGTTGACTTACTCCCTCACTCAACTCAAAGGTCGGACGGCTTGATCGCGATTAACCGATGCTTAATTCAACTTTGAGGGTTGCACTAAATTAACCTAGTTAGGTGGCTTAAAAAGCTGAAGGAAAATCAACTCGATTGAGTCTCCCTGGGAAGGGGGATTTTCCTCTCTAAGCTAGGTTAAGGTGGCTAATTAGATTGCTAGCCCCAACATGCACAAACCTAAGGGTGCTAAGCACAATTATGCACAACCCCTAGGATGCTAAGCACAAGCATGTACAATCAACATGAATAATACCTCAATCATTGAATTAAACAACACCCATATTCAACTCACATAACAAAAACTACATGGTAGATAGTTAGGGTTTCACAACACCCAAGTGAAAATGAAATCTACTCCATTCTAGAAATGGGAGAAACACAAGGGGAAGAGGTAGAAACCATCATGGAGAGGCTTCTAATCTTCTTTGCACTTGTGCTGAACTTCTCTTGTGGAGAATCTTCCCAAATCACCACTTGGAGCAAAACCCTGGCCTCCTTCTCCTTTGGTTCATTCTATCTCTCTCTAAAATATGAAGAAGGCAGTTTCTCACTCTTGGGCTCCCTCCTCTCTCTTCCTTTCATCTCTTCTTTTAAACAGGGGTCGTGGTCAATTCACGGTCGTGAACTCTGAAACGCGTCCATGAACTCAAGATGGCCGTCGAAACGCACCGCTTCGCTTGCACGGGTTCATGGGCAACAGCTCTAGTTCACGGTCTTAGTGACTGTGAACTCAATTAGCGTTAGTAACTTGAGATTTGGCCATGGGCGCCTTGATGTTCATGGGAAACAGCTCCTCTTCACGGTCTAAGCAGACTGTGAACATCCAAGGAAAGCCGTGAACTGCCTTCTTTTAACCTATTCTCCCGGTTTTTACTCCTTTTCGTCCAACTTTCGACTTCGGGGCTGGTTTCACCTGTTAGATCCTGAAACATGCTAAATAAAAGAAACCTCGCATAAAACCTCCCTTTTAGGAGTACAATTTACATAAACGCCTAAGGAAAACGGGGATAAAATATGTACAATTAAGCCCGAATCACTCCCCCACACTTAGACATTTTCTTGTCCCCAAGCAAACCATTTCACACAAGGTAATATTTCAACCTACACAAATACTTTGGGGACAACTCAAAGGGCTCAAAGTGGGAATTCCCAATGGCTATTGGCAATTAATACATGGACCGTTGCAAGCAATACCGACATCCACCACAAACGACATTCGAGGCCAGCAAAAGTGGGCAAACGAAAAGTTCTCACCTTGTTCATGGATCAATGCAAGTCTCAACAAGATCACTTATCAACCACAACCAACCATGCATAGAATTCAAGTCCGAGGAACAAATGGAAAGGCAATAAAGGTCGTCACCAGGGTATGATATGGCATGAAAAACAATAATGATCACTCACTCTCAAGACCAGTGGGGTCGAGACCTTTTTGGTGCAAAAGATGTGCACAATCAACAACACTCATCCGTATCATCTCAATAACATGGCGGTAACCTAAATGCTAGAGTTCACGGGATGGTTGTCACCACTAGCTTGTCTAGAAGTCTTAGACACGGGTTCAAATGATTGGCGGTTGTCTTGGACATGGGGAAAAGGCTTTTTGGGTGGTGGCAATCATGACATGAGGTTCTACATCTTCAACCTAAACCCGAAGGTTCTATGGTTCCGACTAAAACCCTTCTTTTCAACCAAAGGACACAAGCATCGGCCAAAAACCTTATTTCTCCCTTCCAAACTATCACCCATCGTGAACTACATTTAAGCGCTCTTCCTCGGTCAACTCTTGCTATCACATTAAGGTTTCGTAAAGGAGTTTTAAAACAATGTGGAGGTTTCAATGGCTTGAGTGCCAAGAAATCCCCCCTAGAGCATACACTTTGGTTTTTCGTGGCTCTCTCTACTTTATTTACCCCGTTTTATTACCTCTTTTTCATTTCTCTTTTCTTTCCTTTCTTTTTTTTCTTTTCTTTCCTTTTTGAGGGGGGTACTAGAGAGTAAAAATTTGCCACCTATACATTAAACGACCAATGCTCTCTTTTCAAGAACTCACTCCAACACTACACTTTATTTTTCGTTTCTAGCAAGAACCACACACAATCCTCCTATGTAGAACCTCTATGGAAACTCAAAAGTGAGAGCTCCGGGACACACAGACGACTCATGTTTAGACACGAAGAAAGGATAGGGCGTCGTCCTATTAACACCATTAATCTCACAAGCGCGAAGCTCCTAACTTAAGAACGACCCTCGAAGTCACAAGGCTCAAAGGGGTTGACTGGTGGACAACACATTTGGGCATGGACTAATCCTATGCCTCCATCATACTCCCTAGTGACAACTGTGATGTTACTCGCTATGGTAAGAGGGATCTAACACAAGAAGAAAACGATCGGCTCAAAGCTCACATGGCTACCTAGTCAGCCAACCATCTATTCAAATTCACAAACACAATGCATGGCAATTGTAATCAACAAGTAATCGAGTCAAGACATCCATTCATGTATGCACACATGAGAACTAAACTTTTGCAATATCCTAATGGACCTCTCAGTCATCATCATAAGATATACTCGATCACATGCAACAATTCAAGATCAATGCCAATAAACACAAGATTTTCCACACACCGGCCACCTTGATCATGCAAACATTGCTTGGAGCCCTCAAATTTTCTGAATTTGGACATACATAAGGCTCCAAGCATCAATCACACTCACACAAGCATAATAGTAAACTACCCCCCCCCCCCCCACACACACACTAAAGCTTGACATTAACCTCAATGGCATAAGAAAGGGGTAGAAAGATGTTACCGCTTGGGCTTGGTGAGTGAAAGTTTGAATCGATTTCGGGGTAGGATATTTGGAGCTTCAAGGAGAGACAAAAACACACACTTAAACACAATACAACTCGCTCGGGGCGAGGTTATTACAAAAACAATAGGATAGTAGTAGTTTATGGTCACACACACAAGAAAGAAAAATAACAAAAACAAGTTCAGAGTTACAAGTGGAGAAGTGGGGCGAAAGAAATCGGCTCTGCCACATGTCTCACTCGTCGGCTACCTCTCGCGGGTGGATGGACCTTCCCTCTCATCTGGAAGGAGGGGATCACCGTCTATTGCAGATGGTGGTGGCTGGGCTAGGCGCTGGAGCGCGGGACATCGGTGGCGGCATGGTGCTCGAGCAGGTGGCTGCTCTACTGGTGTGGGACCTTGGGGTCAAGCTCCACTGAATCCGGGTCAACTACTGCTCTGATGACTCCTCATGGTCGGAGTCCCTCGAGGTACTCCACTCCCCGTTCTTCCTGGAGTACCAGCTTTTAGTTGTAAAGTGTCTCCACTAGGAAGCATAGTTAGTAAAATACGGTACGGGAAAGTTACGTATAAAATACGTACGGGTATTATACTTCATCTCTTAGCTAATCTTACGTTTAATAGTACGTTAATAGTCATAAATATATAAATTAATTATTTTTATAAATAAATAAATATGTAAAAGATAGTAAAGTTAATAATTTATTTCATTAAATACGGATATTAAACGTGTTATACGGGTTTTGTACGTGTTTAGTACGGGAACAGTCAAATGAACGGAAACTAATGAAACGGCTTGACAATAATACGGATACGGAAGTTTTAAATGGATAAAGTACGTACGGGTACATATACGTGTATTAAACGGAGTATTTACTAACTATGCTAGGAAGGGAACCGTCCTCCCGACTGACTCACTTCTACTGTCACTCCAGGAATTGGCCAAGTGAAACCACTTCCTAAAGCGTAGTATAGCGGGTTTAGGTTTAAATGTCAACCCGGGTCCTAGATTTGATGACTACTCAGTGAATTCTTGTTATCTAGCAATGAAACTTTAATGAAAGTCTAAACTACCAAACAAACAAAGCAAGTAAACGGTTGTATTCAATTTAAGAGAGGTCACCCGGATATGGTTCCCCCTAGACTGCAGTTAAGCCGGATTGCAATTACCAAGTTCAGTTTCTATGATAGTTATACTGCGGAAGGTTCTCAAACAACCTGAAGTCTCGACTAAAGGTCTTCATACCCTCTCAATCTGAGTCTCTAGCGGGCGACTAACCTCCACCGGAGTAAACAGATTGAGGCCTTAACAAACAAAACCTCCACTACCGGAGTGAATCCGGTACAGAATAGTGAGTTGGCTCCTCGACTAAAGTCACCAACTCCCTACCTTCAATCAAGGATGCTCTATCAACCTAGGCAGATATTCTCATTCTAGGTTAAAGCAGAAACAACAGGAATTTGATCAGGATTCATGCCATTCAATCAATCAAACCTCAATTGAATATAATCAAATCATAGAATCAGTACTTGGGTTCATACAATCAAACCTAACATACAAATCTAGGGTTCTCCATACCCAGATGAATGGGAGAACTAATCCATGGAGAAAGAAGCAAAAGCAGATTCAGACGCGGAATTCTTACTGTGAAGGATGGATTCCTGCTCCTGGACGTTGATTGGCACTCCTCCAAGCTCAAGCTGGCCTCCAATGGTGATGAAGATCAAGCATGGACACGACCGTGCTTGTGGTGGCCACGGCCGTGCTTTGTCTCAGCCCTGCCCGTGTTTTTAGCCAATGTTTGCCAAACTCATATTAGCTCTCGGCAGTAAAAGCACGGCCTAGGAACACGGTCGTGTTCTGTTTTAGGTGTGCCCGTGTTTTGGCTCCAGCTCCACCGAATGACTTCCGAATGCCCCGAAACTCGTGCTTAGCCTTCCCTTTGACGCATGGGACCTGAAATATGACAAAGTAGCACAACCCGGCGTAAAATAGGCCAAAAATACACGACTATGCCCCTCAAATGGATAAAAACTAGGGGCGCAAATATGTGCAATTACATCGTTATCAAATTCCCCCACACTTAACCGTTTGCTTGTCCCCAAGCAAACCAAGTCAGACACAAGGTAAGCTCAAAACAGGGCATGTCATACCGGCACAAAACACGTGGATCATACTGGCTTTCGATCAGTAACACATGGACAACCTCAATGACAACCTAGAAAACCACCACAGATGAATTTCGAATGCAGTAAAATCGAGCAAAGGAAGAGTCTCCCTTCTGTTCACCAACCAACATAGACTTGACTCAACCACTTACTCAAAACAGTCACTTCATGCACAAAGCTCAAGATATCAGAATTAAGACCGAGCAATCTAGGTTCTCACCGGGATAAAGAGTATAGAGAATAAGAGAAAATGAATCGCTCACTCTCGACCGGTGGGGTCAGGACAATCTGATGCGAAAAATGCGCATGCTTAATCTCTCAATCCCTAACATCTCTTCACCGTGAATGCAGCCTCTAAGTGCTAGAGTTCACATATGGGGTGTCACCACTAACTAATCCGGAGGTCTTAGACACAGGTTCATATGACTGGCTAGGGTCTTGGACATGGGGAAAAGGCTTTTTAGGTGGTGGAAGTATTCATACAGCACAAGGTTCCACATTTCCAAACCCGACAGACTCGCAATCAATCAACCTAATAACTTTCTTTCTGCTATTCTGCATTACTCAAATTCAAAGCACAAGAGCGAAGGAGGTTACATAAATTCTAGTATCTCTAAGCCAGACTGCTAAGAAATACTACTTAATGGGCATTACTCAGATTTTTGGTGGTGGCTCTCTTTTGCTTTCATTTTTTTCTTTGTTTTTCTTTCATTATTTTTCATTTCTTAAGAGAACCACCGCCTCTGCACATTTTCAAACACCTGCCCAACTTTTAAGCACTACCTCCAACCCTCACATTACATTTAGCAGAAACAGCAGAAAACATGAAAAAATCACTCTGTGGAACCTCCTAAAAGATGCAAAAGGGTGACTTTTCATTGAAGACCGAAAGAAAGGAAAACACACGGCTCAAAGGGGCTGACTAGGGGGGTATGACACACCAGGACAGTCAATTTGGTCATGGGCTAATCCTATGCCTCCATCATTTTAGCTAATGAAACGTGAATGCTGCACATCATGGAAGAGGGAACTATCGCACAAGAAAGAAACGATCAGGCTCAAATATCACATGGCTACCTATATGCTCTATCTCTCGTTCTGATTCCCTGAACTAGATGCATAAATGACTGTCAAAAGCAAGTGATCAAACCAAGTCACATTTGGTGAGCAGACAGCTGAAAAACTGAACCCCTACACAATTCTACTACACATCTCAGTCATCACAATAAGTTGTCTAAGTCACACTCAAGTTGTCATGTATCGAGTCAAAAGCCATTCAATTTACTAATCACATCCACAGTGCCAATACGATCAATCATCAAGCAAACAGCCGTGCTTGGAGCCCTCAAATCTCAAGATTTGGACAGTGGACTAGGCTCCAAGCACACATATATACATTCCGATTCATACAAAGAACCCCCCCACACTTAAAAACGACAATGTCCTCAATGGAGCAGAGGGAAGGGGAACGATGTTACCGTGAAACAGTGGTCAGGAACGTTGACTGGATGGCGGACCAGTCAAAAGTAGGAGTCACAGAGCTAGAGACAACAAAAAACACACACACTGGGTGATAGGAATCAGAGTACCAAGTCTACAATCCAAGATAATAATAAAAACAAAACAAAACGAAATCACAAAACACGGAGTCTGTGTCTGGAACACAAATAAAGCACAGAACCCGCTCTAGAAGGCATCACCACCATCGCCGGTGGGGGGAGGGTACTCATCCTCAAATCCTGGGGACTGCACGAAAGGGTAGTGGACTGCGTTCGGGTCCAAGCCCAAGTAGGACATGATGTAGTGCTGCCCCGACATGAGACGACGCCCTCGGTCCCGCTCACGATCAAGGCGGGTGTGGATGCGCTCCTGGCCGGCCAGGATGCGCTCGTTCTGCAGAGTGATCGCCGCCAACTGATCGGAGATGGGCACCACCACTGGAGGAGGTGACCCTGGAGAAGGAGACCGGGGAGAAGGAGAGGGGCTCGCGGGAGCCTGGTCACGACGGGGAACTCGGCGCCCACCAGCGGCGCTCGACTCGACCTGGTCGCCCTCTGCAGGTATAGGTGGCTGAGGAAGGCCCGCGATCCAGCACACACGCCCGTGGCGAGCAACCAAGTGCTGGTGGCGGAGAGTAGCCTCGCTGAGTGGGGTTGGCCCGTGGACCAATGTCATCCCTGTGTATTCCACCCTGTAGTTGCGGGCCAAGGCGGTGATCACCGGGCCACATACAAGGCTACAAGTCATGCTGATGGCTGCTTTAGTGAACGTCCGCGCGAGCACAGAGCCCAGCTGAATGGTGTCCTCACCCATCACATGCATCAACCAGAGTGTCCGGAGTGTGACCCGGTTGGCCGAGCCCCTGCTGGGTGTGTAAGAGGTGCACATCAAGTGGTTGAGGATCCGCCACTCCGGACGGAGGAGAGCAGCCCGCGTCTGGCTAGCCACGTACTCTTCATCCACACTGTTCGGCAGGCAGATGCTCTGAAAGTACGCCTGGGAAGCGAAGTCTGTGGGATCATAGAGATCCAAGCGGAGAGGCGGCCCGCTGGCTTCCCGGGAATTTAGACGAAGTGCATTGGCGAACTCCCAGTAACTGAGGGAGTGCTCCACCCCGCCGAGGGTGAACTGAACTGCATCAACATGGTCGGAGTTCCCCTTCGAGTTGTGGTGGAAGGTGGCGTAAAACTCCCAGACTAGCTCCTTGTAGTCGGCTCGGCGAGGGTGAGAAGACGCCGCCAACCAGGGGAGCGGATCACGACCTCCATCTATGGCCTGGCATGAAGCTCCTCGAACACCTCCCAATCGAGGTGCAGGTGTTCCGCGATGGTGCGGTTACGGAGGTTCCGCAGCTTATGGCGCTGGGTGATGCTCATATGGTCGAGAAAAACCTCCATGATCCTGCAAAACACAATGAAGGACAAAGTGTACACAAGCAAACGAGGTCAATGTTAGGCCAAACCCACACCGGGAGCCCTCATATCGAAAGATATGGACAGTGGACTAGACTCCCGGCGAAATAAGCATACCCATCATACGAGATTTACACAGCAAAATACACCAGGGACCCTCAAATCGAGCGATTCGGACAGTGGACTAGGCCCCCGGTGAAACAAGCATACCCAAACCCGTACGAAATAAGCACCAATCGATGCACCACACAAAAACCACACTAGCCCGCTTACAATGCAACATGCAATCATCCCAATCATCCCCCAAACCCAAATATCCCCAAACCATTCCACAATCAAAAGTTCTTCACCTAACTCTAGGTATCGATTCTCCATAAATAAAAGAAAAGACGAGGAGAACACACCTGGAGACGCGAGGAGAGACCACGAGAGAGGTGAAGAAAGTGGAAAAAGGCACCCAAAGTCACCGGAAAACACACCGGAGACTCGCCAGAGAACTCACCGCCGGCGACCCAACCTCGGCCAAACCAGCCCAAATCTTTGGGGAATGTGCTCCTCGACGCCAGGAGCGTGGGGGCGTTCGCGGTTTGTGATTTGGAGGTCGGGAGAAGGATTTATGGCCGGAAAATCGACAGAGAATATGAAGGGGCCGAGTTTCCGGCGAGGGGGCCTGGAAAAATTTGAAAAAATCTGATCTGAAGGGTTTGGGGGCGAAAATTTGATTTTATAGGGGGGGGGAGCGAAACACGGGCGGGGCAAAGCACGGCCGTGTTCGGCCTGCTCCGCGCCCTTGTTTTTACTGCCGAGAGCAGAATTGCTCACCTATTAAAACACGGGCGGGCTCCTTTCAAAACACGGCCGTGTTTTCGAAGGGCCCGTGACCGTGCTTTTTATGCCGAGGCCAAAAGGCAAAACACGGGCGGGGCAGGGCAAAACACGGTCGTGTTTTGGCCCCCTGCTGCCCGTGTTTTTACTGCCGAGCCTAAAATGCCTTTTTTCAGTTTTTCAATCTCAAACTACCAAGACTCATTCGTGCCCCGGCTCTAAAATTTACCCAATCACACATTAAAAGGAACCTCCCAAGGCACGAAAAACTTTCTAGACTGACTCCAGACAGACTCAAAGACTCAAAAACCGACAAAAATGAAACAAATAAATAAAAACAAAGGGTAGAAATGCAAACCGTGGTGGGGTTGCCTCCCCACAAGCGCTTCTTTACCGTCTTTTAGCTGGACGCCAATTTCGGAACTAAGGGTCCGCGAGCTCCACTGCCAACTCCGCACGTTCGACCTCGTCTCCCAGGTAGAGCTTGAGACGATGGCCATTCACTTTAAACGGCTCAGTTTGCGGGTTGGCAATTTCAATCGAGCCATACGGGAACACCTGTGTGACCGTGTACGGTCCAGACCACCGGGAACGGAGTTTTCCGGGAAAGAGCTTCATGCGAGAGTTATAAAGGAGAACTCGATCACCAACCTGGAACTCTTTCGGACCCCGCAACCGTGCATCGTGCAGGCGCTTAGTGCGCTCCTTGTACAGCTTGGTGTTCTCATAGGCGTGATAACGCCACTCTTCCAGCTCCAACATCTGCATTTTTCGCTCAACACTCACAACACTAACATCCAAGTTTAGCAGCTTAAGGGCCCATAAGGCCTTGTTCTCTAGCTCCACGGGCAAATGGCATGCCTTTTCATAGACCAGCCGGTACGGTGAGGTACCAATGGGAGTCTTGTAGGCAGTGCGATATGCCCACAGAGCATCATCGAGCTTGGTGGACCAATCTGCGGGATAGGTTCACCGTCTTCTCCAGGATACGCTTGAGCTCCCGGTTCGTCAGCTTGGCCTGACCACTTGTTTGAGGATGGTAGGCCACGGACACCTTATGAGTTACACCATAGCGAGACAACAATTTATCGAACTGACCTTGGAAATGGGTGCCTCGGTCGCTTATGATGGCTCTAGGTGTCCCGAACCGGGAGAATAGCTGCTTCAGAAAACCACGAACACGTCTAGCATCATTAGTGGGCAAAGCTTGCGCCTCAGCCCACCTAGAGACGTAGTCAACAGCAACAAGGATATATGTATTACCAAAAGATGGAGGGAAGGGGCCCATGAAGTCGATACCCCAAACATAAAAAAATCTCACAAGTTATAAACACATTCTGGGGCATCTCATCACGGGCAGAGATGTTACCTGACCTCTAGCATCGGTCGCACCTGCGTGCGAAGGCGTCTGCGTCCTTGAAGAGCGTGGGCCAGTAGAAGCCCGACTGGAGCACCTTCCTCGCCGTGCGGTTCCCTCCGTGGTGACCGCCAGCAGGTCCTTCATGACAGTGAGATAGAATGCCCTCCATCTCACTCTCCATAACACATCGACGGATGATCCCGTCGGCTTCGATCTTGAAAAGATGAGGGTCATCCCAGAAATAGTACTTCAGGTCGGAGAAGAACATCCTCTTGGCGTGAGTTGTCATCCTCTTGGGCAGCTACTGGCCCACAAGATAATTTGCAAAATCAGAATACCAGGGGGTGACACTCTCCACCAGGCACATCATCATCAGTCTCTCATCTGGGAAGGAGTCGTTGATCTCCTCCTCGAGGTTGTCCGCAGGGGGTGCATCCAACCGGGAGAGGTGATCGGCAGCAACATTCTCCTCTCCCTTCTTGTCCCGAATCTCAATGTCAAACTCCTGCAGCAGTAAGATCCATCGTATGAGCCTAGGCTTGGCATCAGCCTTGCTCATCAAGTATCGAATCGCGGAGTGATCTGTATACACGGTCACATGGGACAAGACCAGATAAGGACGAAATTTATCGAAGGCAAACACCACCGCGAGCAGCTCCTTCTCCGTGGTGGTGTAGTTCTCCTAGGCATCATTCAAGGTCTTCGAGGCGTAGTAGATAGGTATGAAGTGCTGATCTCGCCTCTGCCCCAACACAGCTCCAACAGCAAAGTCACTGGCATCGCACATAAGCTCAAATGGCAGGGACCAGTCAGGAACAACCATGATAGGAGCTTGTGTGAGCTTCTCCTTCAAGGTCGTGAAAGCCGCTGTGCATGCATCAGTGAACTGGAAGAGGGCATCCTTCTCGAGAAGCTTAGTCAGGGGTAGAGCAATCTTCGAGAAATCCTTGATGAACCTCCTGTAGAAGCCTGCATGACCAAGAAAACTCCGGATCCCCTTAACAGATGTAGGAGGAGGCAGCTTGCTGATAGTCTCGATCTTCGCTCTGTCCACCTCAATCCCCATCTTGGAGATCTTATGCCCAAGAACTATGCCTTCTCGAACCATGAAGTGACACTTCTCCCAACTCAGTGCCAGGTTCGTTTCTTCACACCGTTTAAGGACAAGCTCCAGGTTATGGAGACAGTGAGAGAATGAGTCTCCATAAACCGAGAAATCGTCCATAAACACCTCCATAATCTCGCCAACCAGACGGTCAAAGATGGCGAGCATGCATCGCTGAAAAGTTGCCGGGGCATTGCAGCACAGGCCGGTTTTGATGAAGGGAGAATGGGTATGAAGTTGGTTTTGGGTTTTGCTCGCAGGAAATGGGGGAAAATTGAAAAACCGTCGGAAGTTAGGGATTTTCTGGCGAGAATTCGAATTTTCCGGCGAGATTTGGGTCGTGAAGTGAATAGTCGCCTTTCGCGTCCCTTTTATAGGCACAACACGGAGTTGGTCGACAGGTGGTGAACATGCAGAAGCGCCCAGTACGCAGACGGGTTTGCTTGTTCACGGTCTTGTAAGACCGTGAACGCAACAATCCGTATGTGAACATCAGTGAAAACAGGACACTTCTGAGCAAAATTTGACTCAATCTATTCCACCGTGCCTCCTAATCAATCACAACACAACCTTAAATCGCAAAACCACAAACATGGCACGTGGACACCACTTGACCAATCGAACTCTTCACTTGACACCAAAAACGAAAATAAGGAAACGAAAATAAGGAAACGAAAACAAACCTCCGTTTGGTTGCATCCCAACAAGCGCTAAGTTATCGTCATTATGTTGACGTTTGGGGATCAATCATGTCTTGGAACGTGATGCCACCGAGAGTGGATCCACCACACTCTTGGGGCGAGGCTTATAGCCTCCCATCTTATGCTCCATGAATTGGCCCTCTTGGTTGGCCAACTTTGCTTTGGCCTCCTTCTTCCTTCGGGCCAAAGCTTCCTTCATCTTTTTCCTCCAAGCATTCTTCCTCTTTTCCTTGGGCATAGCACCCTCCTTAACTTCCTGCTCAACATTAGCACAAGCAACACAAGTAATGGTGGGGTTTGCCTTTAGAGGCTATCCTCCACTCTCTTTCACATCATTTGAAATATGCCGCGTCCTCGCTTATATAGAGAAGCACGAAATCGTTCGGATAGCAAAACTTGCCCACTCGCACCAACATGTCCTCCACAATGCCTCACAGGGCTAATGAGCGAACGGTCGGCTAAAGTGATGTAAGCTTAGTGGTCTTAAGTTCACCCCGGCATGGTCCTTGGGGTTTGCCACAGTTAGGGAAGGTAGGGCTCCCTTTGGTCTCTCGGTGAGGATGCCAGCAAGATTGCCGATTTGATCCTACAAAATTTGGAGGCTCGCTTGATGGCATCGGAGACCCGCCTCGACTGACGTAAACTTGGTGTTTCCACATACATAAATTGCTCTATCTTCTCAAACTTTTGAGCATTCGTACTCACGAAGGTGTTCACTAGGTCTTCAAGCTTAGATAGCTTGTCGGGTTGTTGCTGTTGTTGAAACCCTTGGCCACCGTGTGCTTGGTACGGTTGTTGGAAGCTTGAGCCTTGGACTTAAGGCCTTTGTTGGATGAAGGTCTACCGAGGTTGGTAATTTCCTGTGGGACGTTGAAAACATGGGGGCCTCGGATTAGTCGGTGATGACCAAGCAAAATTTGAGCAGTTCCTCCATCTGGGATTATAAGTATTGCTATATGGGTTGTTAGCCCTAGCATTTGCCATGAAGTTGACTTGTTCCTCCGGAGCGGTTGCCTCCTTCATTGCCTGAAACTCCGCCATCTCATGGCTAGTGCTCGAGCATCAGTTGCACGACATCACCGGCCTTTTTCCTTGCCTCTTATCTTCAAGCAATACCTCTATCAACTTATCAAACTTCGCCTCAAGCGGAGCGTTCGCTCCCACGCTTCTCACTCCCCTATCATTGTTTCTCCTCCCACTTCTACTCAATCCCCAATCATACCCCCTGAAGGCCATGTCTTCAAGTAGCTCGGTTACTTGGGGCAAAGCCATATTCATCAATGTCCATTGACACAAGGAGTCAATGAGAATTTTGTCTTCTTGGATTAGACCTCCGTAGAAGGTTTCAATCCGAAACTGTTCTTCAATCCCGTGGTGAGGGCACTGAAGAAAATAATCGAAGTACCTCTCCGAAGCGTCGCTCAAGGTCTCGTCCTCTTTTTGCTCGAAATGGGTAATCTTCTTTCTCCATTCTGTCGTCTTCGAAGGGGGGCAGTAGAGAGTCATGAACTTGTTGAGGAGGTATTCCCATGAGGTGATTGACCAAGGTGGGCGATTGTTTAGCCACCGGAGTGCTTTTCCCACAAGTGAATAGGGGAAAAGCCTTAGTTGCAAAGCTTCAGCCGACACACCATTGATTTTCAAGCTCCCCGCGAGCTCCAAGAATCTCTGCACGTGCTCTCTTGGTAGCTCGCTCTCAAGGCAATGGAACAAAGCATTGTTCTGTATCATAGTCACTAGAGTCGGCTTGATCTCAAAATTGTTTGCTGCCACAAGAGGGTGTAGGATTGACGACTGAATGTCCGCCGGCCGTAGGGCCATATAGTACCTCATTGTCCTTGGGGCTTCCTCTTCCCCCCCCCCCCCCCCCCCCCCCCCCCCCCCCGCGCATCGTTTAGGTTATGAGCTTCGGCTCCATCTTGTCTTTGGTTCCCCACCATTTCTACTCCAATGTCGGGTTCACCTTCCACTTCTTCAACTTCTACTCCACTAACACCGGGACCAAATTGTTGTCCCCTTTCTTTACTTCTTCTCCTTGCCTCCGCTAGCTCCCTCTCCAAGGATAGGAGTCGTAGAGTTTGGTTTATGTCCTTATCATGGGGTAGCAAAGTTTTCGGATTGCTCCGGATTATATACCTCCCTACACACAAATCAGAAAACAACACCAAGTTGATTCGGGCCGAAATGTCCACATTTTACCCCTCATTTCTTATTCGCTTAGCTTAGTATTTCATCATTCCTCGACATATTTCACGCTAGGTTGTGCTTGTTTTGATATATTTCAGGTCCTAGCATGTGGGGAAGGGTCGAGGACGAGTTTAGAGATAATTGGAGGACAAAAAGCGCAAAAATCGAAGAAAAGTCCAAAGTGACCGTGACAATTGCCACGTAACAGTGAAGTGAAGGCGTCCTAGAAACACCCACAGTTCACGGTCGGACAAGGGAGTTCACGATCTCTAAGACCGTGAACTGGTGCCATTGACCGTGAACCCAGGAGAGTGAAGCGGAGCATTTTGGACGACACTGAGTTCACAGAAGCGTTTAGGTGTTCACGGACATGAACTAGCCAACGCGTCCGTGCACTGGTCACTTTCGGGAAAATATGAAGACAACAGTGGGGAGAGAGAAGGGAGAGCTGGTATTTTTTGGAGAGAAATTCATTTCCCTCTCTCAGGTTTGCCCAAAAAAACCAAAGGGGAGTTCTAGTGTGAGAGAGAGAGAGTGCTAGAGTTATCTTGGAGCATTATTGGAGGCTTGGGTGGATCTTGAAGACAAGGATTCAAGCTTAGAAGAAGAAGATCTTGAGCTCAAATTTGTAATCCCTCTCTCTCTCTCTCTCTCTCTCTAGAAACTCACTCTTTTCTCTTGGGTGTTGTAGATCCCTACTAATACTTTGTAATTACATGTATAGATTGAATGATTTCGTATGGGTTGCATCATTTTGAGTATTAGAGGTGTTTTCATGGTGGTTGTGCTTAGTTGTGCTTTCCAAATCTTGTGTGCTTGCCTAACCTAGATTAGAGGAAAACCACACCTTTTTAGGTAGGCTTGACAAGCTTGGTTTTCCTGGGCACTTTGTGCCTACTATCTAGGTTAGAGATGAGCACCCTCCTTGAATCAAGTTTGCATCTGTCGTGATTAAGCCGCTCAAACTCCGGTTTGAGGGAGAGACCTAGACAAACCCTAGAGACCGAGTGAGCGGATCGATCTCGTGACAAATGGATTATTAGTTGCTCCTCCTAGTGGTTCCCCTAGACTTGGTGAGTGGATCGATCCCGTGACAAATCGATCGCTAGTGAATTGATTCCATGACAAATCAACCACTAGTTGCTCGCCCCCGCGGTTCACAATTACCCTTCATTAAAATTCACAGAAACAATAAACTCTAAAATCCCTAATTTACTCTCTGAACAGTGCCAACCTCCTCCTCTCTAAACACCTCTGCCACCGTTTGCCGTCGTCATTCCTTCTCATGTCTACACCCTTCTTCTGATTCCTAGCGGCACCATCCATCAAGGCGTAGAAAGAAGGCCTTGGCGGGTAAACTTATTCCCAGAATCCATTACTCCCCTGTTTTCCTTATGTCCCACAAACCTTTACTCTGATTATGCCATTTCCCTCCTAAAGGAGCACTACAATTGAAAGAAGCTCCCTCCATTGCCCCATCAACTTCAATGCTTCTTTCATTATTGGGTTTGATTTTATTGTTTGTGTAGCATCCTAATCCAATAGGAAATGCGATGCCTGATGATGCGATGGTGGAAGTGGCCAGCCACGATTGCATTGTTCTCGGTCTAGTTACCCTCATTCGTTTAACATGGTGGCGGGCGGCAGAGTCACGGTCGACGGTGGTGGATGAATTGTGTTTATTACGATAAAGATTATTTTTTATATTTTTAACCATAAAAAAGAATGACAAATAGGTAATAATAATTTATAAGAGGGCGATTATATAAAACTAGGGCGACAATTAGCAACCCTTAATTTTTATGTGAACTAAAAAAATGGGCAAATAGTATTTTGTTTACAATATAATTTATGAATATACGTGATAAAAAAATAATGCGCAAAGCTCTGTCCTCTCTCTTCCTTCTGGGAAATTGGCTTGGCCGCCTGCTGCTCCGGGTAGTGGTGGCCGTTTTCCGTGCTAGCCTGCTAAATCAGCAGACGAATCAACAACCGTGAGGAAAGACTGGCCTTCAACGAGATTCAGGGAACCACAAAGTTCAGCCATGGTGGGTGGCTCGTCGGCGTTCTCTTCAGTCTCTCACAAGAAGGGTCCGTGATATCGAGCATTGTTGTGAATCGCTACGGCGCAGCGTTCGAAAACGTAAAAAAGGGGGGATAATGGCGAGAGATCCATTCCCCCCAAGAAACTTCGGGTTTCTAAAATGAAAGAATGGCGATTTTGTTTGTCGTCATCGTCTGATTTGGAGAATGATGCGTCTCCATCCACCAGCATATCTGTTGAGGGATCGATGGAACGTGAGTAGGGCAAGGAGTGTGTCGCAAGATCGTCAGTTGGGACGATGACGGCCCCTGTTCCGGTGGAAAAGCCAATGTTGGTTGAGCCGGACTTGGGGGGTTACGCCGCCGGCAACAAGACATGGGGTAGGATGAAGGAAATCATGGCTATTCCGAGCACAAATCCTACTCCTCGTCCGGACCCCACAAGTTGCGGTGGAAGGGATATTTACAATCCCGTAATTTTGGGAGATAATATCTCCCTTGATCTGCAGGTTACCGGCCGAAACAAAAAGGAATCTAGAAACTTATTTCAAATTAATTCTCCTAGCTCACCTCAAACTCTTCTAGGGCTAGGAAAGCCTAGTACGTGGGTTTGTGGCTTAGTGGGGTTAAAGTCCCCCTATAAAAAAACAACAAGGCAGAGGCTCTCCTACCAAGGACTCGAGCTCTCCAACGAAACCACAAAATCGGCTGCCTTGTCTTCTTTGCTTCTACCCGACGACGTTCGATTCCCATGTATGAGTCTGACTTGTGCCCTCCCTCCCATTGAGCGATTATTCTTGCGTCCCTGCCCAGGAATTCCGGTCCGGGTTGATGAATGGGTGGTTTTTGTTGTGCAGCCCATCATCGAAAATGGTTGCCTTTTGGAAACGAATGTAACTTGTCCCAAATCATCAAATTTGTTTCAGGTTGCGGAGATGGATCATATCACGGAGGATCAAGTTGTTCATTTCTCCCTTGAGGACGTCCAGTCTGTGCGTTTTCGATCTTCCCGCACTCTGCTGGGTAGAGTTTTCAATGAAGCTGCCATTACAATTTCGGAGCTTCGTGATGCTGTGAACTCGCACTGGCAAGGACGAGGGCAGATTCGAATCTCCCAGGCAAAACATGGCTTGTTCGAGTTTGTTCTGCCAAGCACGAAATCTAAAATCTAGGTGCTAAAGCGGACCCCCTGGGTTGTGCGCGATACTCTCATCAATCTGCGATCATGGACACCATCTGTCACTAAAACGACTTTCGATGATCTGGCCATCGCACCATTTCGTATTCAACTCTAGGGGATCAAGGAAGATTGTTGCATTAAACAGTTCGGGCAAAAATTGATAGCCCCTACCATTGGCCAGGTCTTGGAAGCTGGGGTTTTCGCCACTAAAGAGACCTCAGAGTATTTTGTGAAGGTTCGCGCCATGGTTGATTTTTCGAAGCCTTTGAGGTCTCAACTATTTGCGGCGAGCGAGGAGATTGGAGGTTTTTGGGAATCACTCAAGTACGAGTTTTTGCCAAGTTTCTGCTTCCATTGCGGGAGAGTGGGACATATGCAACGTGAGTGTGTATATGATCCCCTGAGCAGAAAAGAAAAGTTTGGCCCCCATATGGTCTCAAAGAAACCGGGGCGGCGGATTTATGAAGTAGATGAACCTTCTCATGCCTTTGATGGAGCACCGAAGACAGTCTGGATTAACAAGGAAGTTCGCGAGAATAAAGGGGCTCACAGAGCGGAACCTGGTCCCGTTCCCAATCAACGGGAGGAGAAGCTAGATCCAATCGCCCGAAACATAACAGGCGACTGGAGCGAGGACAGACCGGGAGAGAAGCTCCGATACCCACTGCAAACCATAAAACTTTCGGGCAAAGCAGCCCCCACAGCTTCCACGTCGCGAAATCGCCTCGACTTCGGGCTCGGAAGGGTAGTCGATGTGCGTTGCATACCCAGTCGGCTCGACAGGTGATGGGGGTTCTGGCCGAGCCCCAGCGCCTGAAACTCGCGACGGGAAGAAGAACCGAGCGTTGAGGATGCAGGGTGATAATAACCCTAGGGTGGAGAATGAGGTGGTGTCTGATTCTCGGCGGAGAAGGCTGATCATCGAGGAAGATTCTTGATAGACCGTTAATTGCACATGTTTTTACTCCTAATCTTACACCGTTTGAGATGTTGATTCTCGTGTTTTAGGCCGATTTCACGCTAGGTCGTTCTTGTTTGTGATATTTCAGGTCATAGTACGTGAATGAAGGTTTGGGAGCGAGTCCGGGGTCGATTTGACGAAGATCGGACATGTGGCGAGACGCTGAGGAAGCCACACGGGCATCCTGGAGATTCCACACGACTGTGTGTCCCTGGCCGTGTAGGTAGCCTGAAGTCTACTTAATCGAAACTCTGCATTTTGTCACTCACACGGGCAGCTGGGCAAGCCACACGGTCGTGTGGCCTGCCCGTGTGAGTCGGGAATTCTTGGTTTTAACAGAATTTCGAGCCACAAGTGAGTGAATCGACTTTGCAGTGCAAAAACAAAGCCCTAGAGAGAGAAAGTGCGAAGAACACATCCTAGAAGCGATCTTAGAGCTGGGTTTCATCAAATCGTGCTTGGAGATCATCATAGGAGTGAAAATCATCATCCCAGAGCAGATTCTTCCCATTGTTATGAGTATGACTGCTTTGTATTCTATTTCTCTCTCTCTCTCTCTCTATGGAGTAGAACCCTCTCTCACTTGGGTATGGAGAACCCTAGTTCCATGTGTTAGGGATCATGATTGTAATGACTTGGGATTGCTATACTGTTTGGTTTCAATCGAATGATGCATGATTCATTGAATTGATTGAAGTCTGATCAGCTTTTCTTGATTTCTGCTGCAACCAGAGATAGATAGAATCTAATTAGGTTGTTAGAGCTTCATCATTCGGTAGTAGTAGATTGGTTATACGAGAGTTAGTCAGCCTACTGCTTTGTACTGGAATCCAATTCCAGTAGTGGAGTTCTGTGCTTATTGCTTCAGCTTTCTGTCCCGGTGAAGACTAGTCGTCTGCCGGGTAGTTAGACTGAGAAGGCTTGGTCAGCTTAAGAGATTCCAAGCTACTGTCGGACCTTCCGCAGTTTAATCAACAGTAAATCAACCCAGGGTAATTACAACTGAGACCTAACTAATGAGCTAGGGGGACTCATTCCCGAGTGACTCTTCCTTTGCTTTAGAAAACCGAACCATTTCCTACTTTCTTACTGCTTTTAGTTAAAACCACAATCAATCAACTTAGTTGGCTAGATAATAGATATTCACGGAGTAGGAAGTAGATCTAGACCCCGGGTTGATAATTAGAACTTGCCACTTTACTGCATTTCTGGGCTGCGATTACACTTGGTCGCAGTTTGGTGTTGTGTCGTAGCGAGTCAATTCTAAAGATGATTTTGTGTTTCAAAATCTGGCGGGGAAGAAAAAGAACGCAGCAGTGGTGGAGGATAATATGCATGCGAACCCTCCCATTCAATCAAGACCGCCTCTAAATCTGGCAAAAGATGGTGGTGCGGTTGCGTCGGCTGATATGCAGGCTGGGAAGGTGGAGGCTGGGGCTCGACCGACCAAGGAGATGGCGGCGAAGCCTCGGAAGCGCTTGTCCAAAAGTAAAGGTGTGGAGGCGGGGGTGGCTATCACGCGGGCGGCCAAACTAAAGGGACAATGCTTGGCTCCCTTACCCCGTGACACCAACCCGATATTTGCTGCTGATTTTATTGATGAAGGAGCCCCAGATGAGACGGCGTCGTTGAATTCTCTTTCGGAGGATGATGCTGGTGTTTTTGAGATAAAGTGACGCGGTCCAGGGGTTGGAGGGTCTCGATGTGATGGGGTTATGAAGGGCTGGGTCCGGCAAGTGGTTGATGCTTTTGAATCAGGCCTTAATATTACTACGGAGGGTATATCCCCAGCTGGTGTGAAGATGGAGGGTCACTCTTTGGGAGAAGGGGGCACTTCGAGTTCTACCTTGGATGAGTATGGCTCGAACCTCTTAAACCCGGTGATTGGGAATCGGAAGACACCCTTTGTCGAGGTTGAAGGGGGCCTAGAGGAGTCACCCACACCCAAAAAACAGTTTGTGGAAGAGAATGAGATGAATGATTCGGTGGAGGAAGCCAGCCGTGAATGGCCCCACCCAGATAAATGAGGCTTTTGGCCTGGAATGTGAGGGGAATTGGACCATCACTCACATTCCAAACTGCTGTAGGTTTAGTTCGTTCGAATAAACCGGATCTTGTGTTCTTCTCGGAGACTCGATCGGGCCGGCGTGTTGTCTCTCGCCGTATTAGGGGGTTGGGGTTTCCTGTTGATCATTGTTACTTTGTTGATGTTGTTAATGCATCGGGTGGGTTAGTAATAGCTTGGTTCCCCGAAGTTAATGCTTCGGTGTTTTATCATTCAAATTTTTGTATTGGCGTTCAAATTAATGAAGTCGATTCTCGGTACATCGTGTTTTGTGTTTACATTAGTTGTCAAGCTAATATTCTCTCGAACCAGTTGGCTCAACTTCGTGAGATTGGTGAGGATGTCCAATTGCCATACGTGGTACTCGGGGATTTCAATGTCACATTACATGCCCACGAAAAGGATAACCCGTGGAATGCATCCCAGTCCATTGCCTTGCGTAACTTTGTTCAGAACCTTGGCCTCCATGACCCTGGGCACCAAGGTGACCTATTCACTTGGACAAATAAACGTATGGGGCCTTCCTGTATTCGGGAACGGCTGGACAGAGCATTGTGCTCCCCTTAGTGGATTGAACGATTTCCTGATACCCTTGTTAAACATTTTACGGATCAGGGATCGGATCACCGTGCTTTGCTCCTAGCGGATAAACCTTACATAAGAATAGTCGTCCCCTGTTCAGATTTGATGCCCGTTGGGCTGATAATCCAGAGGTTAAAGCGATGGTGACTTATGTCTGGAGTGAATCATTCCACGGTACCCCCCATGTACCAATTATGGGAACGGTTAAAGAAACTTCGACATCTTTTATATGATTGGAGTAGGGCGGGGACGACGAATTCCCTGCGGAACATTCGAACCCTCCAAGCTGAAATTGAGCGGATAAAAACCATTCATCTGATTAACTGGGATAAAGTTCGTACCCTTGAGACTGAGCTTAGTAGGCAATGGGAGGCGGATAAATAATACTGTGGCAGCCTAACAGGTGCCGAACATGACTTCAAGGGTGGAGGCACTCCTAATTAACAGATCGGTGAGTCCGGAGATGAATGCTAGCCTAACAGCTCCTGTTTCTCCGGATGAAGTTCGTCGCACGGTATTCGCAATGGGGTCCAAACAGGCACCTGGGTCTGACGGATTCACTAGAAAGTTCTTTAAGTCATTCTGGGATGTTGTTGGTGGCTTGGTGATTGACGCGACTGTTTCTTTCTTTGCGACAAGTAAGATGCTTCGCAGCTTTAATCATATGTGGTTGACCTTGATCCCTAAAGTGGAGAATGTGGAAACAATGAAGCAATTGCGGCCCATCAGCCTTTGCCAGTTTGTGTACAAAATTATTTCAAAGATCATGGCTGCTCGGATTGCTCTCATTTTACCGGTCATTATCTCGGATTGTCAAAATGCCTTTATTCGTGAGAGGCAGATTGTGGAAAATATCCTCATGGGGCATGAATTGATGCATTACTTGAAAATCAAAAATCGTGGTAAGAAAGGGTTTATAGATCTGAAGGTTGACATGGAAAAGGCCTATGACAGAGTTGAATGGCCGTTTCTGCTAGCGGTTTTGGAAAAGATGGGGTTTAATTCTACCTGGCGAGGATGGATTCAGGGGTGTGTTCGATCTGCCTCGTTCTCAGTCCTTATGAATGGCATCCCAGCAGGGTTCTTTGCCCCTTCTAGGGGACTTAGGCAGGGTGATCCGCTCTCCCCGCTAATGTTTTTCATTTGCACAAGGGGTTTGTAGCGCTCCTTCGAAAGGAAATTTGGGAGAAAAGATTAGAAGGTGTGAAAGTCGCTCCTCGTGCCCCCCGGATTTCGCATCTGCCAATGACTCGTATTTGTTCCTGCGAGGTTCCCTCCAAGAATGTGAAAATCTGATTGAGGTCTTGAATGAGTACGAGGAGTGGGCAAAAACTGAATCTGGCTAAGTCAGCGGTATGCTTTGGCAAAAATATTGTGATACCAGACCAGGAATTCTTGGCCCAGGTTTTAGGTGTAGGGGCGGTGGGGTGCATGATAAGTATCTGGGGTTGCCAACGCTAATTGCTGGATCCAAGATGGCAACGTTCCGGTACTTGGAGGACAAATTGTTGGAGAGATTGCAGGGGTGGAAGCAGCGAACGCTATCCTGGGCGGCTAAGGAAACATTGATCAAGGCAGTTGCAATGGCGCTGCCGTTACATGTGTTGTCCTGTTTTAAGCTTCCCCTATCCCTTTGTAGGATTCTAGATAAACATGTGGTCCGATTTTGGTGGGGGATGTCTGAGGGGCAGCCTAAGATCCATTGGATGTGTTGGAGGAATCTCTGTCGCAGCAAGCATGAGGGTGGAATGGGGTTTCAACGTTTTGAGCAGTTTAATCAGGCTCTCCTTGCAAAAATTGGATGGCGTATTCTGATGGAACCCCAGTCCCTCTTAGCGCAGGTGTATAAAGGGAAATACTTTCTGCGAGGGACGTTCCTTGAGGCAAAGGCGCGCTCTAGGCCCTCGTGGGGATGGACGAGTATCCTCTATGGGCGTCAGCTTCTTGTAGCTGGTTTGCCGTTATTGATGACCAGTTAGTTGCTGAGGGTTTGGCGCTTCGGGAGGCTGTGAAGTGGTGTCTAGCTCAAGGGTTTAATGTAGTTTGCTTTGAGGGGGATGCAAAGGTGATTATCGATAAAATTCGGCGAATGGAGGCAGAGGATAGTAGGATGGGGGCTGTTCTTATTGAGGTGGTGCAATTATTTGCCCTTCATCCTGGTTTGAGTATTCGATTTGTAGGTCGGTGTAGTAATAGGGTAGCCCATGTGGTGGTTAAAAAGGCTCTTTCGTTGTACCCGGCTGCGTATCGTGTTTTTGATTTTCAGGCCTGGCTGCATTCCAGGATGTAACTATCTTCTCTTTTTTGATCAATATATATCTTTTGTTAAAAAAAAAAAGTGAACTAAACAAAAATGAAACTAAACATTCCGGGCGGTCAAGGATCAACGGACCGGCGAGTAGTTATATCTTTAAAAGAACAAACTACAAGTTTACTGTTTGGTAGAGTCACTTCCTAATTACTGTTTGGCAGGCTTTTACTGGGTTCCATTTCTAATTATTGCCCCTTCTTTCTCTGTTCTCTTAGTAGAGACGTAGAGTCACTTCATTGGTACACTCTCCCATATCTTTGGCAGGCTTTAATCACTTCTCATTGCCTCTCTTCCCTCTGACAACAAAGACTTTCCTTCTTCACCTCTCTCTTTGTTGCTTTTCTGTACCACCTTCCCTTACACTCTGTTTTTTTAGGGTTGAAAGTGGGAGGAAAGGAAAAGTGTAAGGGAAAGCACAGAAACCTATATGTTTTCCCTAGTTTTTTAAGGTTTACAACAGTAGCAAAGGAAAGGAAAGCTATAGAAAGTGCACTGTGGAAGGCCATCCTCCATTTTGGAGAGAAAGTTGGGTGGAGAGGCGGAGATTATTTTTTGCGGGCTCTTTTTTGTTTCTTTCCCATATTTTCCTTTTGTTTGGGGTAAACTGAAGTTCCATGTGATCATTAGTTAGTTAATGATGGGTTTTCAAATTAAAAATATGGTTGTAAAAAATATTAATAATTTGGATATATTAATTAGTGAGATAATTAGTTAGTTAATGAGTTTAAATATTATAAACGTGTTAATATGTTTTTGAGAAGCGGTCTTAATGAAAAAAGGAAACTAATAAATTAATACTTTTTGGGTTTATTAATGGAATGATATTCTATTTCTAATCACTCCAATGAAATTCGATGGATTATATTTTATTCGTTTCGACTCGAATGTTAAAATTGTTTACAATGGTATTATCTCTTAATAAAAAAAATTATTCATGTGGACTAAGGACCAGACCGCATTATACTCGGTTCGGTGCGGTCCGGTCCAAACTTCAGTTTAATACAAGTATACATGCATGTACATATCTTTGTAACCATTATATTTTTGTTGCTAAAATGTTAACAAATTGGTTGCCTATTAAAATCAAAGTAGCAATAACCAAATAGAAAACGAGGAGACTAAATACAATACTCTTGAATCATGAACATAACATAAAATTGTTTTACATCACACATTGATAAGAAAAAAAACTACAAATTTAATTCACAATTCATAAGCAATGAAAATAATATCAATATATAGTCAAATTATTTTATTATTATATACCCAATTAAATACCATATTCATCACAATTCTCAAATGATTACGGTACCGTATTGGAGGTTATACCAGGAAAGTAGGGTATTTTGTACTAAAATCGTGATTTAACTATAGTTCAATCATTTTCTACCGATAAAATTGTCTACTGTCTAATATCCGATATTTCCAGTCCGACCAGCCGGTACAGTTGTGTTTTTTAAACATTGTATAATATAATTTGAATAATTTTTAATTGATTTAGAATGCTTGTTAGAAAGAAAGTATAAAGTTTTCCGGTACAATCTCTAGTGAAATACAAGTTGAATAATACCTTACCACTAATTTTTCCAGCCAATCTCTAGTGCAGTTTAGAAAGAAAATACAAATTAAATCACTATTCATAATTAGAATATTAACATACTATCAAATTATTTTACTATTACATAATCAATAAAATAACATATTCATCACACTTCCCAATACACACTTTCCTTCATAAAACAACATTTTCCTCCCAATTTCCTTCACCTCCAAATCTCCCCTCCCCTCCTAATTTTCCTTCACCTCCCCTTTTTTTCCTCCCTTCCTTCGGAAACATAGTGTTATCCTTCCCCTCTCTCTCGCATACCCCTTACTAGCCAGCAACCAAGAAAATGGAGGGAGGAAGCTCCGATCATGAAGACGATTGAGATGGAAGGAACTAGCAGGCATGACAGAAATGAAGCACAGATTTGAGTACAAAAACGATGGCGGCGACGAGAAGGCCGTCGACCGATTATGGTCCCAACTTCAAGAGGCGGTGACTCTTGGTTTTCCGATTATGACGAGAGAAGGAGAAAAAGTACAATGTTGTCTTCGACCTAACTTTTGTCTGCGGTAAGTTCTTTTGTGGATTTATTTCCCTTTTAGTTGTTGGTGTGTGGGGATTTTTGATTTGCCGCTAATCTGTCTTCTTTTTTAAGGGTTTTCGAGTTCATAGAGGTGGCAGGACAAAGGACAACCTGTCGCCGTCGGAGATTTCTGAAAGCAGTAGAGGCGACGAGGGCGGCGTCTATTGTAATTTCTTTTGTGGATTTATTTCACTTTTAACTGTTGGTGTGTTTGGATTTTTGATTTGCCGCTAATCTGTGTTCTTATTTTGGGTTTTCGAGTTCAGAGAAGTGGTAGGAAAAGGAGGAGCTGTCGCCGGCGGAGATTTCTGAAAGTAGGAGAGGCGACGAGGGCTAACCAGTGCTCTTTGGGCTTTGGCTAAGTTCCTTCTATTTGGGTTTTTGTTTACATTCTAGGCTTCGCCTTTCTTTCATGTGGTTCTGTTAAGTTTATTTGTACAATTTGATTCCAGGCAAGGGAAGAGGAAGAAGAAGTCGTCATTACAGTCCCGACCCATGCTGCCGACGACAGCTACGCCAGTGTAGATTTCCGGAGGCAGGAAAGCCCATGGGGGCTACCTACTGCTTTCTGGCACTCTCTAGGTAAAGTTTTCCTTTTCCTTTCTCGGTTTCAGTAATGTTTTTCATCTGCGGCTTCAGTCTTCTTTATTTTGTGGATTTTCAGGTCTAGCCTTTTTTATTATCTTTGCATACTTTAAGGATTTGGTTCATTATTTGGTTGGCAGGGGAAGAGGAGAGGGCCCGTTTAACAGAGGCGAAAGAAGGCAAAGCCAGTTAACTTAATTTTTGGAGGTTCATTGTTGAATAGATAAATGAGGTTCTCTGGACATTGCTTTGTTCCATGACTAATTCGCTTTTACCTTGATTTCCAGAACTTTGGACACTTACATAGCAGTATATCATCCCAACCATCAAACAACTCCACAACGGGTATGGTTGTGAAATATATGTTGTTATCATCTATGGTAAAAAGCAAGATGGTTCTTTGTTTTGGCTACAAATCTCTACTTTTGTTTGATTTGGTTGGGCATAACTCTAATTTCATTCTTTCTTTATCCCGATCAATTAAGAGAATTCATGTTGCGAATGAAGAATCTCCTCTCTTTCTTTCTCCGAGTTTGTTTCGCCTAGAACTCCCCTTTCTCTGTCTATGTTCTGCACCCTGTGTAGAGATGGAGTCACTAAGGGATGGAGAGAAACAAAAAGGTGTTGATGAAATGGAACATGATCTCAAAGATATCTAGGTTGTTTACTGCCATTTATTTATTTGCCATCTTTGAGTGGTCGAAGTTTTTCTCTTTAGAGCTTCTCATATTGATTACATTTGTGCTCCGTAGGAACAAGCTCCTTTCGGTTGGCGGTGTTAAAAGCTTTATATAATGAGAGGATAACAGTGCTTGAGCAGTTGTCTCATTACAGGCTGATTGGTCCTTGCATTTTAGGTCCGTTGACTTAAGAGTATTTTCTTGACGGAGCTGTTTTTCTGATAGACTCATTGAAAAAGGTACAAAAAATTGAACCAGGGAGGTGGGTTTTGGATTCCTGGAGTTCGTTAGTTGGAATTGCCATCAAAGAATTAGTGCAATATAGGAATTGCTCAAGTCAAGGAAGCCTTCTCCTCGGTGAGTCCTTTAATAGTGACAACATTGTGGATTTAATTATGATTATTGTGTCAATTTAACTCTATGACTGATGAACCAGGTTGTAATCCACCTTTGGAGATACATAGTGAGCACGAAAAGCAATAGAGTGGTTCTTGCTACTGGTTTCAGTTGTTAGGTTAGTTTCGGTTTATATGTTCTTAGACAAGTCATCTCCGAGTATCTTATAAAAGGGATAGAAACAATAGAAGCTATCTCACTTTGTAATCTGGTTTGAAAGCGGACTATGCAGACTTTTACTTTTTACAAATTGCATTGTATGATCTGATCCTTTTTCTTACTCATGAGTCATGACTTCAGTCTCATTGCAGTTGCCTCTCAGGAACATGATCCGAAGGATTTGGGCATAGGTAATGAGAAATAGGCAAGGAGATTGGAGTATCATCCAGTAGAGAACAAAATGATAGGAACACTGAGGAGTTACTAAGAGCAGGTGCATCATTTTTCCATTTGGTTTGCTTAGTCTATTTCCAAAATTCTGGATTTTATTAATGATAAGATTCTTTGTGAACCAGCTTTAGTTGTGGTCAACTAATTATTTTTATTGGTGCTCAGGGGTGTGTGTGGGAGAGTGCATAAAGAATGGAAGATTACCTCTTTATTAGTTTTTTAAACATGAAAGGACCATAAACAATCCAAAGAAGAGCTTCTGCAGAATATAATGGTAGGGGTTGAACTTCGCTGGTTTATTGATTGTTTGCAGTGCTTTTGTTCTGTGTATGCCTCTTTCGACCAGTAGTTACACTCTGTTGACTCCATCACTCATGCAAAAATCCTTTTCCTTTCAGGAGGGAAGAGCAATCGTTGAACAATGAAGGAAAGCGAGGTTCTCTTTTATTCCCTACTGTCATCGTACATATCTCACCGTTTCAAGAGGGAAGCGCAATTGTTGATTCAATAATAAGGACCATAGCAATGTTAGTCTTCTCTGCTCCGTCTCTATACCACCAATCCACAATTTGGTCCTTGCAGGTCAACACTTCCACTCCTTTTTGCCTCACAGATTCTATGTTGGGATTTACAGATTCTGCTTTTTAACTTAGGTTCAGTACTAATGCTCTGTTGTTGCTTTCAGTTACGCAAATAGGGATATGTTCTGCGAGATCGGGTAGGAGCAATGCAACTGAAAGTTTCAAAGCAAAGATATTTTTATCAGTGAATGTATGGATCACTATTGGGGAAGAGGTACAGCCTGGTGGGAACGATTGTTGTATGTGGGAACTTTCAGCCAATGTATAACTCTGAAGAAACCAAAAAAGGTAACGATCTCTTCCTCTTCGCTAACTTCCAGTTGATTGATCTAGCGAGGTGATGCATAATGAATAAACTGTTTTGTTTGGAATTTGCTCAAACAATCAAAATGGTTAAGTATTATCTTCTATCTACTTATGCCATTACGCTCTTTAGATTTCATTACAAGGCAACAAACTATTCCTTTTCTCTTACTTCTGGTGTCGCTTCATCTAGCTAGCTAACACATAATGAATGTCACTGTGTTTGCTTTGGTTTGTTTCTAATCCGGTTAGAGGAGGCTCGCATGCTATGCTTTTGCATCATGCTCCTTTGACACTGTTGGACTTGAAATTCGTGTTTCCCTTTCCTGTGATATGTTGCTCATTCTATATTTTGCTTACAGTTACGTTGCTTTTCTCCAAATGAAACATTGACATATACGAGCTCAAACAGGTTGCTAAAACAAATGCCGATAACGTGTGTATATTGCAGGCAACTTATGGTTGCTGCACAATGGTACAGAGAGCTCTACGATTAGGACTTGGTTTCTTTCTCCAATTTCTTTTTCATTAAAGCCACACCATGACAATGTATATTCTATTTCAGTATGGTCTCTGCAATCTTTGTTTCCATCTCACAGTACACACATCAATGTAAGGTTACGCTGAATGTTAAGTTCAGTCGGGTTTATGAATTTATTTTATTTTTACTTCATATTAGCTGGTTCCGTCTGTCTGCATAGGATCTCTCTGTGTGGTTGGTTTAATCCTTACTTGAATCCTACTGCCACATGTGAGAGCTGAGCTCGGGGTTTGATGGGAAGGAGGATTAGAAGAGTACACCAGGATCCTTAACTCTCTTAAAATCAGTGGGAGAGGTTAAGTCAACAGCTGAATTGCTTCACAATCTTGGTTTGCTCTATTTTGGTTTCAACTGGTGATATAAGAATACTGAACTGAGATATTAGTGTCGGAGTGGTATGCCTCCTTTTTGTATGACCTGAGGTAATCTTTTAGTTTATTCGTTAGTGACCTGTAGTCGCAATGATTATACTAGCCCCTGTATTGCTAAATTTAGAAGTACCATATGTTTTGGTTCTCGAATACTTAGGTTTGTTAATGTTGAAAATCTGCATTCTGTGTGTCTGCATGATGCCTTGGTCATTTTTTTCTTTCCCTTTCCAAATAAAGTCTTATAGATATTATGATATGGGATCGACATGCCAGTGATTCTCCTTCAGCACTCAGTTTTCATTGGAATGAGATTTTGCTATGTTATGTTATCACTCTACATCGTTGTACTGCTAAGATATGAGCTAGAAGCTTTCATTATCAAAGCTTACAATCATTAGAGTAGTTTGCAGAGTTGATTTGGTTTCGGGATGAACAATTGTTTATAGATGATTTTATGAAGTTTGTTTTGCTGCTTTGGATCATTGAGTTTTTTCATGAAATTTTGGCTTTTATTTTTTGGAATTAGCTATTATGCGGTTTAGAAAGTACTCACCTCTGCGTTGGATACTTAGGTTGATGTGCTTTGTGGAAGGGCTTCCATGAGAGGAGAAGGTGCACGAGCTCTTTTTCATTGCTTTTCCTTAACTTCGGGATGCGACAATGGACTCTTTGGGCTAGAGTGAAAGGGAGGACTACTTGAAGCAATCTTGTTGGATCCTTTACTTCATCTTGCGGTTTACAGAGTTGCTAGAGTTTATGTTCCTTATGCCTCTCGACCAAGCATAGCCACGGTCATCTTGGCTAAGAGATGTGAATCGTGGATCTTAACTAGATGGCTTTCTTGCTTCACTTTGTTGCAGGGTGTGGGGTGCCCTCTCCTCGATCCTTATTTGGCTGCATGCTATGTTGATTCAAGCTATATGATTGTGTTTTTTTCATGTGGTTTGCAGGTATGCAGTTGAGGAGTTATGGGCTGAACTGTGTCATCTTATCCTGGTTGCAAGGTATGAATTGGTGAGATTTCTAGCCTGCAAACAATATCAATTTCTTAGCATTCTGTAATTGTATGGAAATAGAAGGTTGATGCCTATATGGAATCTCAGAGTAGAGGAAAAAAGAAAGTTTCAGAAACTAAAAATGATCTTTCATGTTAATTTCTCCCCAACCCGCAGTTTCTTTCAAACGATATTGGTGTTTATGTGCTTTCTACCCAATTAATATGTGTATATGTTAAGCTATGGCATCATGTATAAACTAAAAACTCATTCTTGCAATCCCTTCATGTTTCATATGGTCGTGGCCAAGGTCTCAGATCCATTTTTTGGCAGTATAGTTTGTTCCTCTTCTTTTCTGAAAAAAATGCATTTTAGCCCCATGTTTGTATATTTGAACATATGCCTTTCTATTTGATTGATTAACTTTTTATGCAAAATTCGTCTGGTTCACAGCATAGCATGGCGCCAAAAAGACCAACAAAAGAATTGCCTGCATCAATCCAACATTTACTCGAGGATTTAACTCTAGGATCAATCCAAAATTTGTTCAGGTTTTCATAAAGTATCTGCATTCTTTTACTTTTATTCTTTGGACAACTCACTTGTGGTTTTAGGAGCTGTGGTGGTTGGATTGTGTTTAAAGTCTGAATGGTTGTTTGACGTAGTGAGATCTATGAATGGTCTTCCTCTTGCAAATTTCATTCAGTCTTCGCGTGAAATATTATTTGAATTGCCTTGTGGTCTGTGAAAAGTTATATATTATTGGAGGTGAGAATTCGTGTCTAAGTCCTACACTGTTAACATAGCGTTTCCTACATTATCCTTTTGAATTGATAGTGTTCTGATGTTTTTGTCATTGGAATTTCATTTTAGATGGCTTAAATTCTGTTTGGTTTGCCATCTATGTATACGAAGACAATATCAAATGTAGAACTCTACTGATTTGCCTAATGATTTTGCCAAAGCAAAGTAAGTCGAGTGCTTCTGAGATCCACCCAATATGTTCTTAGCTTTCTTTTCGATTAATTGTTCACCTTTCATATTGAAGTCTCTTTAGTTCTCATTCTTTTCGTAATGTTGACTGGTGTGATGTCATGATTTTTTTCAAGCCAAGTGGTTGTATATAGAGTACAGCGGTAGGAAACATGATTAGATCTCTTGCATTGTTCTAGATTGATATGTACCATAACTTATTAATCCAGTTGCGTTTAATGATTTGGAGTTTATGATTTTGTACCATTAATTTTGTTTGCTACAATCACTTCAGGAGGTGCTTGATTTCTTCGTGGTGGTGTGTAAAGGATTAGAGCAGTACAAACAAGAGATGAATGAAGTTGAAATATGTACAATGAACCGAAACTACCAATGCTTCTCCATAGGTGTTCCAACTGCTTCAGTTCTTGCTCCTTTCTCCGTCCTTTCTGCATTATTTTATTAGGTCATGTGTTCTTTATAATTTTCTATTTAGAGGATATGTTTCCTTATTTCATACACCTATGTAATGTTAACATTACAAAATTAGTTGTAATTCTTCTAATGTATGTTTGGACTTCTTTCTCTATTAACAGTGGTGATACTTGCAGTCTTAAGAAATTTAGACTTCATTTTCAGTTCTCAATCCTCGCAAAACGTAGCCAGCGGGTCATCCTAGTATATATAAAGCAATGTTGTCAAAACCGAACCGGAGCATGACCCGGTAATGCGAACGGCTCGCACTTTAGCGGTCCAACCGGCATTAGACCGTTTAAAAACCGTTAGAGAACCGCTATCTAATAAACTTTATCAGTATAAATAGTGGACATTTCTTAATCAGAGCTCATCTCTTTCCTTCGAAATTGTGAAATGGAAATAAGGATTCAATTTGAGAGCCCGACGTTTTTGGTTTATTTCAATTTTCAATTTTATACAATTTTATAATTAAATTTAGTGGCTGAATGGCAAAAACCGGACGAACGGCTCGATCGGCTCGAACGGTTAACCGCCTCGGCCGCTCGCTAACCGCTACATAAAACCGGAGCGACTTTTAGACTGTTCTGAGCCAGTTTTATGACCGGGTGGTGGTTTTACCGGTCGGACCGAGCGGCTATGTTCGGCTTTAATAACACTGATATAAAGTATAAACCGCAGAAGGAAGGAACAGCAGCCGAGATGAGAAAACTCGCAGGAGGAAAGGAACACCGTCAGGAAAAAAACGAAGAAGTCCATGATAGAGCAGAAATAATAAGATCACTCGTCAGAACTGCAGAGCTCCAACCATTATAGATAAGAAGCGTCCTCGAAAATCCAAAAAGGGCGCGTGGCAGCCCCACAAAGTCTGCGATATTTGTTTAATCTCACAAAAATCAACCGTACCTAAAACGAAGAAGCAGACTCTCTCCTCTCTATCTCTCTCGAGTACCTAATCGTTAAACGAGAGGACTGGTTGAAGAGAAACCCGGAGAGGGAGACGCCATGGCCACTGCTTCTCTGTGTTGTTCGGCTCGGATCAATGCATTCGATGGAGGGCTTCGGATTCAAAGGAGCTACCTTTTCCAACCAACTTCACTTCCTGTTCCCAGGTAGTACGTCTCGTCCTTTCCGCTTCTCCTTCCGATTGAATTCTAGTGGCCTCGGTGTATTTTGCTGCCGTGTCTACCTGATCGCGAGGCGAATTCTGATATGTTTGGGGGGAACCTAGTTCAATCAGAAATGCTGAGTTTTCTTATAAAAAAATTGGGGTTGATTGAGTTGAGTCGTGGAAGGTCTTTCTGGTTGGAGAACTGTTAGTTCTATGGGCCGGTGGCGGTAATTGAGGTCGCTTTGTGCTTGGTCGAGAGCTGAGGAAGGAAGTCGGTCAGTCTAAAACTAGCCTTTTTAGTGTTTATGATAATGCCTCTGTGACCGCTGGACTGGTTATTCGTGTGATGCGTCAGTTGTCACACCAAGGCAGATAGTTTAACCCAACCCAAGTGTGCGATTTGATGTTGAATTTCTGTTTTCACCAAGTTTGCTTTCGTGAAATGGTGAGAAACCAACACAAAAAAGGCCCACCCATCTCTGGGATTTGAAATGTTGAAGGGTGTTTGAGTGTGCTATTGAGCTGCAATTCGCCTTTCCTTATGAAGCAAAATTTATCATCATGTTCACTCAAATGATATATGATTCTTATGTCAACTTGCCATAGAGCTTCTTCAGATTGAGAGGCTGGATCCTATCAACGGATAATATCCATGACCCACTCCTGAGTACTTGTTTTACTGTAATATTGCTTTTGGACTTGTATCTCATCTCTGCAATCTCAAGAGAATCTTTTATTTCTTTTAAATGCTCTGAATTTATGCAGCTATTCAGTGCTTAGGCTAAATGTGTGCAACTTTAATGCAGGAGAAAAGTTCAGTCAATAGTGAGGGCAACTTCTCGTGTTGATAAGTTCTCGAAAAGTGATATCATCGTTTCACCATCTATCCTGTCTGCTAATTTTGCCAAGTTGGGAGAGCAGGTTACTTATTGCTCCTTGCTCTTGCTATAAGAGTGTTAAATCTATTAATGTTATGATCGGTTTCTATTACTAAATGGGTTGGAGAAATGAACTGGAGACTGTAAAATGAATCCATGCTATTACTGCTGGTTGCAGATCTATTTCTTGCTAATTTGTCTCCATTTGCTTCAGTGTTGAATATCTATGTTGATTGGTTTTTTAAAGTCAATTTTGTACATATGTCTAGGTCAAAGCAGTCGAGGAAGCGGGATGTGATTGGATCCATGTTGATGTAATGGATGGCCGTTTTGTGCCCAATATCACCATTGGACCTCTTGTGGTTGATGCTCTGCGCCCTGTGACAGATCTCCCCTTAGATGTGCACTTGGTACCCAGTTATGCTTTGTTTTCACTACTGTTTTGTCAAATTAAGAAAAAGTCCAATTTTCTCACTAACAATCATTAATTCAGATGATCGTGGAACCTGATCAACGTGTGCCAGATTTTATCAAGGCTGGGGCTGACATAGTCAGCGTTCACTGTGAACAATCTTCCACCATCCATTTACATCGTACAGTAAATCAGGTAATTTCTTTATCTGCTTTCTCGTGTTGGGTGAATGAGGTGTAAGAACTGGCAGGATGTCTTGGATACTTGAAATAGCTTGGCAGTTGCCTTATTTATCGTCTCAATTCACTGGTTAACCTCAGGGGCTAGGCAACTAATCGAAACACACACACTCTTAATACCAGACAATTCTTTGTATTACTTTCGTTTTTTTGTCTTAAAAACAAGAAAAAGTAGCAACCCGATACAGCACATGTATTTTGCCCCAAAAAATCATTTATAGCTGGCACTACTTTATTTTCAGTGGTTTTAATTTATGAAACCTAGTACTCTAATTGCTGTAAACTCTACCTGTTTCAAAGATAATGTTAGATGCCCACATTTACACGTCCTTTTTCGTTTTCGGAACTTGATCTTGACTTTCACATATTTCATCAGTTGTGGTATTTTCTCTGTTCATTTTCCATTCTCCTGCAACTAGATAAAAAGCCTTGGAGCCAAAGCTGGAGTTGTCTTGAACCCTGGCACCCCTTTGGGTGCTATTGAATATATTCTTGATGGTGAGTGTCGATGACCTTCCACTTATGGCCTCGAGAATATTCTTTACTCGTGTATTATTTGTTGGTTTGCAATGTCGATGACCTGCATATGAAGGGTTGAGCCAGTGTTCATCTATAAAAGAAATTCAAATGAAGGTGGTCAGCCTGGTGTTATCAAAGTTCTGTGTTTTGCATTTTTCTGAGGTTAACTGACGCTAAAAGTCCCGCGTATCCATGGATTAGAAAAAGGCTCTTAGAATAACAGTAGTGGAGGATATACTGAGAATCGAGAATAGCAGCATGAACGTAAGCGTAATGGATTTTATGTGGTTCCTATCACGAGCAGATACTGATGCTGCTCTGTTTGGGGGTATTTTGGTTCAACCTGAGTTAATCACAGGAAGCCCATAGCACTTCCTTAAGTACAGTGGTTGTCTAGCATCCCAATTTCCTAATGGGTGTTGGTTTGTTAGTATGAGCTCAGTAAGTGCATGCATGTTGACGTCTCAACATAGCATTTTAACAAAGGAACTATGCTAACGAATGTGATAAACTTGAAGCATTTTGAGCTACTGAAGAACCACATGGTCCTTTCATTTGGTAGTATATGCAATTCGATGTTACTGTTAAGTTAAACTTTGCATGTTGACAGTGGTTGATCTGGTCTTGATTATGTCGGTGAACCCTGGTTTCGGTGGTCAAAGCTTCATTGAGAGCCAAGTAAAGAAGATTGCTGACCTACGGAGATTATGTGTGGAGAAGGTAATCATCACTTTCCATCTGTACATATGAAATAATGTATTATGCGGGCTTGTGTACATAACTTTTGCTGGTAGTACTCCCTTTGGCTGTTAATTAGCTCATCCAATTGTTTATGCAGGGAGTAAATCCATGGATAGAGGTTGATGGTGGTGTTGGTCCTAAAAATGCTTACAAGGTACTGAATGTAGCCAAAATCTATATTGAGTCTGCTTGGAAGTTAAAAGTTAAAATTATCGTATAATCCTTTGTACTTGTATTAAATTCTTTTGCTCCATGGATCAGTTCCTAAAAGGTTGTGCGATATGATGTTAGAAGTCAAGCATAATGATGTTTTACATCCAACTACTTAAGCTCTCCCCCTTGCATTCCCACTACTAGCTCATCAGTTTTTCTCCGCAGAGTCGATTTAGGCCTATTTGTTGACTTAGTCCAAAAAACACTTGATGGTGGGCAGGTTATTGAGGCTGGAGCAAATGCTTTAGTTGCTGGTTCGGCTGTTTTTGGGGCCAAAGATTACGCTGAAGGTATGATTTTGTCAGCAAGCATCTTTATTTTCTCTGTCTCAAGTTCTTGAACACTTACTTTCTGCACAATTGGAATCTTGTATAGCTATAAAAGGAATCAAAACCAGCACAAGGCCAGTAGCAGTACCAGCATGAAGTTTGATCACCTATATCAACTTTGATTAGTTACTGGGAAGCTTCTTCATGTTCGCACGTAGGTCCCTACATTCCCTTTGTACTTCAGAAGTCTGGAATCTCAGATGGTCTTCAAGTTTGTCCCCTTTTGTGCGTGTTGCTGCTTGAGTGGGTGTATAGTAATAGAACCATCTATGACGTCTTTTATCCTAAGCCAGGGTGGTATTGTTTCCATTTTCAGATAATACGCACAAAGCAGATACAGGTGGCAGATTCCTCCTCTGGTGTTCGATGAGCAATTGTCTGTTGGTCCGAGTTCCTTGGTGGCCAACAGCAACAAAATAAAATTTTAAAAAGAAAAGAAACTTGGTGGCAAGAATTGGTGCCACAAGGTATATTTTGTATTATATCCAGTCCACGGGTACTGAATATTTCATGCCGCTCTGCTTCAAATCCAAGAAAAGTTTTTCTATCGGGTTCATACTTTTGTTTTGACTTAAAATTCACAGGATAGCCTGGAAAATTTAAGCAAAGTAAGCGAGCTACAATTTAGTTTACATCCTTCCTGGCGGCAAACAGAGCAGGAGCCCCTTATCCACACTTCCCAAGTGGAAGGAGTGTTGACATTTAGACAACTTCGGGCCATCTCCCCCTTTATGTAGTAGTCTCTTAATTTTTATTTTTTTGGTAATATCTAAAATTAAACTAATAATCAAAATTTTAAAAAATATTTTTAATTAAGAAAATATCCAATTAGTACAAGTTACACAAAAGTTAATGACTTGTTATCATATTTTGAAAAAAATTATAAATTTAAGTAGACTCCTGATATGATCCCAAATTGCCCACCATTCACGTCACAATTACTTGACGAAGAAGCTATCAAAGTTGGGAAGAAGAAAGACAGAATTTGGCTAAGTCAAAATCTGTGTTCAGGGTACATACTTTGGAGGCATGGTTCTCTCAATTGGCTTTGTGGAAATTCAACGTTAAGGGTTTTTTTTGCAGATAAAGTTGTCATGTTTCCAATGGTATGCTTTTTGGATCCAGATGATGTCATTAAGATTGTTTTCCAAGGTCTCAAAGTTGCTACCTCAAAACTGGAAAACTGCCAGAAAATGGTTAAGTCTGGACACTGTTTTGTGAAGTCTACTTTGGAGCTTAATTCGAGGAGTATGGATCTTATCAAAGTCCAAAGGCTTCCACAACATGAAACTAGGTATGTTTGTGAACAAAGGGAAGGAATTGGATGAAGAATTGGAGTTCGGGAAGGCCTCGAACAAAAGGCGCGAAGTTAGTACGAAAGCTGCCTTTTGACTGTTTTGCGGGCAGCTTACTTGTGCTTCAAGAAAGGAAGTTTGTGTCCGAATTTTGTAACCTTTTTATAGTAGAATTTTACTTTATTTGTTTCCTTGTTCATCTAGGTTTGTATTAGGTTTTCTTGGCTATAAATAGCCTTCTATTTTCGTTGTAAAAATCCAGACTTTGATTAATCGAAAAACAAACCCTTTGGTTTTGTGCAAGTTGCGACTTGTGTTGAGTTTGGTGGATTCCAAGCTCGTGAGCACTTGTATCGATTGAATAGTCACTTCAATCGTGGTCGGGCATCTACCGTTTATACCAATCGAGCGTTCCCCAGGTGTGGAATCGTCCTTTTGGTTCCGTTTTATCCAAGATCGTATTAAGAACGCTTTGTTCTTGATTCGAGCTCAATCGATTCTTCGATTGAGTCGTTAGCTGCGTGACTTTGATAAACATAATATACCCCCCCCCCCCCCCCAGGGGCGTATTAACTCCCTTGTCCTTAACAAATCTCCTTCAATATATCATACTAAACAATCATTCATGAACTTATAGCTATATGATTTCGAAACTTGTTCTTGATCTAACTCTAAGTTGGGTAAGGTCTCTCAATTCTTGACACACAACCGGTAAAATCAATACAATTTTGAGTAGCAAATTGACCCACAAATATTCATAAAAAAAAATTGACCCACGAATTTGATAGATTCAATTTTGTCTTAACTGTCAACTCAACTAATTCACCATTTTCACTTAATCCACAAAAGAACTCATCATTCTTAACACAATGATAATAATTCTCAAAATTAGAAAGGTGATCAAACTTTTCGAGATAAAATCATATGTTAGCGGTGGGGATAACAAATATTTCGTGGGTTTAATTTTACGCTTTGAAAATTTGGAGATCAGAGCTACACGTTCATAGTACTTTTATAACAAAATTACAATAACAATTGAAATGTAGTGGAATAGAAAAGATGTTCACTAATAACCAAAAATGCGCTAAGCGTAAGGCGAGCGTTCGGCTCCTGACTTGCGGCTTGCCCGATTAGGCGTAGCCTTTGCGTGCCTAGACTTTCAAAGCAGAAATGGAAAAAATTCTCAAATATTTCCTGCTTTCTGGAATACTTCATATGATCCAAGTGCATATAAAATTAGCAATGCCTAATTCTTAATAGTAAACACTTAACATAACAAATAACAAGCAAATAGTGACCACTTCCTGGAATCAAAAGTTCATAAAATGTCGAAATACTAAACAATAGTCAATAAGTTCATAGGAAAATATTCATTCTTCATCATCCAAGTAGGTCCGTCCAACCATCCCTTCATCTTCATCATCCTCAAAAGCAATCTCCTCACCCTCCTCCTCCTTTTCCTCCTCTTCAGACTCGAATTCTTCATCATGAAGTCCTCTCACTCGTGCACTCCTGCGAAGCTCACTGTGTTCACCAGCCATTGTAGGGGTGGGCATTCGGTCGGTTCGGTTTCGACCGAACCGAAATTATGAATATCGCGTCCCCGAATTCTCCCAAATCTCAAACCGAATTCGAACCGAATTATAATTCGGTCGGTTTTTAACACAAAACCGAATTTATGAGGCTACTTGTATCTTCTCACTTTTAAATTATTTTTCACCCCTAATATAAACAATAAATATGCAATTATATGCATCATCAATGATAAAATCAAACATTTCAACACATAAGTCGTAAAATATTTCAAATATTTAAGTATAAAAACAACTACAAACATAAAAATCCACCATTTGGAGGTTGCAATTATAGTATTTCGGTTTTTCAGTCAGAATTTTGGAATTTCGGTTTGGTTGAAAGAACCATGGCTTCCGAAATATCCATATTTTCCTTCAGAATTCCGAACCGAATAGCATTATTTCGGTTTCAGTTCGGTATAATTCAGTTTCAGTTTGGTTCGGTTTGGGTTTACCGAACCGTTTGCCCACCCCTAAGCCATTGCATCTGTAACAGTACTCGAGGGTGCACAATATGATCTCTCATCCTCATCCACGAATACATACATAGCATGGTCATCCCCTCCCTCAAATAGGGAGCCTTGTGCTTCAGTTGCATCAGTACTTAAGAGAATATCAAGGTTTTTCTTTTCCTTTATCTTCTTCTTCTTGGACATTAACCTCGAGTTGAACTGTATGTACACCAATTGATTGAGACGATCTATTGTAAGCCTATTCCTTCTCTTGGTATGTATCTACAAGTACAAATTTGTATTGCAAGACAAATTGAGAAGATGAAATATGAGTAATTGAATATAGTACAGATTGAGACTCTAATACTTACCAACTCAAAAGTACTCTAGTTTCTCTCTCAACCAGAAGAACATGAGGTCAATGAAAGAATCCTCATAGCCATTTTTTGTAAATTTGGTGTGTCAACTCCATACATTCTCCACCAAGCAACTAGGAAATATATTGGTAATTTGGTACTAAATTAGAGTCATGAAATAACAAGAAAAGAAGTCAAAGATATGTAGTAGTGTAGTACATAACTGTAGTGTGGATTCAACATGGACTCGTCAACATAACTGTAGTGTGGATTTAACTTATATGCAGTGCAATTCAATGAACCATCAAGTCTCCCCTTCATCTTCTTGTCAACAATAGCCATAACTTCTTTGTAGCGAATCTCCAAATTACTATATGCCTCTTTGATCTACCTCTTTGACTTCACAATTTCACCATAAACAAACCCCATAGATGGTCTCACATCACCATCAACCAAACGAAGAACTTTTACCAATGGTTCAAAAACCCTCAAGCAAATGTGTACACCTTTCCAAAATGATGCATTCAACACCGCTGCTATTGCTTTCTTGCCCTTCTTTGTTTGTGCATCTTTCAAGCTCTCCCACTTCATATCCACCACCATATTCCTAAGTGCATCCTTTTTATCCATCAAACTTTGCAAGGTGAGATATTGAGAAGCAAATCGAATTACTCCCGGTCTTATGATTTCTCTCTTCTTGGTGAAGAACCTCATGCATTCCAATGTACGATGATGCCCATAAATAAAGATAGTGAAACTTTTAGCTTGGTCAATTACCTTCTTGAACTTTGGCAAGTTGCCAATTCCTTGAAGCATCAAGTTGATGGTGTGAGTTGCACAGGAACTCCAAAAAATATTTGGTCTTTTCTCCAACAAGAGCTTCTTTGCTCCCATGTTATTGGAAGCATTGTCTGAAATATTTGAAAACTGAATAAACAAGAAACACACCGATTTAACGTGGTATCCTCGTTCTTCTTGAACGAGACTAATCCACGGAGAAGACGACCCTTCTCAGCCCCTCTTATTCATCGGTCTCACAAAACTAGAGCCGCATACAGCAAGAACAACAATATATATGGAACCCTATTTTACACTCGGCTAGGGTTACCACACGTAGGGCACATTAAACTATAAGGGGAAAATACTAATATGTCCCTACTAAAACACGTGACCTACTGAACTACTCCTTTACACCCCCCCCCCCCAAGCGATGCATGCAGGTTACAAGTGCCTAGCTTGGAGAGCAGAAAATTAAAATGATCACTACCAAGACCGTTAGTGAGGAGGTCCTCGGCCTGGTCATGGGTGTCGATCTTCTGAGGGAGGATAGCTTGAGAAACAACGTTATCACGGACAAAGTAGTAGTCAAGCACCACATATTTAGTACGTTCGTGGAACACAGGATTGGCTGCGATATGTAACGCAGCCTGATTGTCACAATGTAAAACAGTAGGACCCGCGACTGGAACTCCCAGATCACGTAGTAAAGCCTGTAACCAAATCACTTCACTAACGGTATGAGCCATGGCGCGATACTCTGCCTTTGCTGACGAACGCGCAACCACAGTTTGCTTCTTCGTGCGCCAGGATACTGGAACAGAGTCCAACATGACAAAATACCCGGAAGTGGAACGACGAGTCGTTTGACAACCCGCCCAATCTGCATCACAATAGGCAGTTAACCGAAGATCACCATCCGCAGGAAGGAGAATGTCGTGGCCAGGGGCATTCTTCAAGTACCCGAGGACACGCTCTGCTGCAGCGACATGGGTTGGAGTCAGAGAGTTAACAAACCGACTCAAAATGTTAACTGCATAGACGATGTCCGGGCGGGTAACTATAAGATATTGAAGTCTTCCCAGCAAGCGACGATATGCTGAGACGTCTACCGGAGGGGAATTAAGCAAAATAGCACCGTTCGGGGGTCGAGTAAGTTGGTGGTTTTGTTCGATGGGAAAGGAACAAGGGCGACCACCAGTAAGACCCGCATCATGAAGGTGATCGAGAGTGTACTTACGCTAACACAGAGCAATGCCACGGGAGGAGTGAGCAACCTCGATGCCCAGGAAGTACTTTAAGGGCCCCAAGTTTATAATGCCGAAACGACTATCCAAAGTAGTCTTTACCTGCTCCATGAAAACGGGGTCATTCCCGGCAAGAATCACATCATCGACGTAAATCAAGGCACTCACAAATGTTTTCCCAGACCGCCGAACAAAAAGCGAATAGTCAGCTCAAGAACGAGTAAAACACATCTCCATAAGAGTAGAGGCAAACTTCGCATACCAATTGCGAGTGGCCTGCTTAAGTCCATAAATCGACTTGTTCAAACGACAAACTCGATCATCACCGGGAGCTGCAAAACCTAAGGGAATTTTCATGTAAACTTCCTCTTCAAGATCCCCATGCAAAAACGCATGGTTTACGTCTAGCTGGTGAACTGCCCAACCCTTGACTGCAGCGACAGCCAGCAAACAACGGACACTGACCAACTTCGCCACCGGAGTGAAGGTGTCATGATAGTCGACCCCTTGCACCTGGGTAAAACCCTTAGCTACAAGACGTGCCTTGTATCGCTCTATCTCCCCATTCGGCTGATACTTGATCTTGTAGACCCATTTAGGCGTAATCGCCTTCTTTCTCGGTGGTAACGGTACCAACGTCCATGTCCCATTATCTTCCAGCGCTTGCATTTCTCGCTTCATACTCTCCCGCCATTCGATGTAACGGATGGCTTCATGAAAATAGGTAGGCTCGGAAACTTTCGAGATAGCGGATAAGTAAGCCCGGTGAGTATCAGAAAAAGCATCATAGGTGACGTGCTTGGCCATGGGGTGTGGGACATTAGACGGAGGAAAAACTGTATCGTAGACCTCCAAATGTTTGGGAACTGAGCGTTTCCGCAAACTTCGACCATGAAGAGCCGCAGAGTCATCTTGTGAAGCAGGCACCTCAACCCCAGGAGCATCAACCACTTCGTGATCAGCGGATGAGGAAGATTCTGCAGGGATACAATCACCCCCTTCTTGGTCGGCCTAAACGGAAGGTACCACCTCCTCATTGGTCACACTTGGAGGAGCGCGAGCTATGGGAGGCTCGAGTGTGGGCACTGCTGGTTCTCGAAAAGGAAAAACATGCTCAACAAACACCACATCACGGCTAACATAGAACCGTCTCCCCTGTAAATCCCAAAGCCTATAACCTTTCTGATTGGTTGGGTATCCCATAAACACAGAACGGCGCCCACGTTCAGCAAATTTTGACAAACCATTGTGAGTATCCTTCCCATAAGCCAGGCACCCAAAAACCCGGAGATGAGAATAATCCGGCAGCTTACCCAACAGCACTTCATAGGGAGTTCGGTTTCCAATTTCCTTTGATGGAAACCGATTAATGAGATAGGTGGCCGCGAGGATCGACTCTCCCCAGAAACGGAGAGGTAGACTAGCATGAAAAAGGAGCGTGCGAGCTGTCTCCAAGAGATGCTTGTGCTTGCGCTCGACCACACCGTTCTGCTGCGGTGTATCAATACAGGATGTTTGTAAAACAATGCCGCGAGCCTCATAAATAGCTCGCAGTCGCGCCGTCTGAAATTCCATTCTGTTATCTGCTTGAATTCGCATCACTTCCTGACCAAACTGTGTACGTCCCAAATTAAGAAACATCTCAAGATATCGTTCAACTTCAGATTTGTATTTCAGTAAATAAACCCAAGTCGCACGACTGTAATCATCGACTATGGTGAGGAAATAATGAGCTCCACTCTGTGTTGGAACCTTAAAACTCCCCCAAATATCCACATGAATGAGCTGAAAACAACGACTAGTCTTGATTGTGCTTTTAGGGAAAGGAGCACGAGTCTATTTTGCACGAATACAAGAATCACAACTCTCTATCATGCATTTATTCAGAACAGAATGAGACAAAAACTGAGTCTTGGAGTTCGACGGATGTCCCAGCCTCGAGTGCCAAACTTCTCCCATCTTGTTACTGGCGCCAAATGCTGCCAAAGCCTTCGATCCGGACTCATTAAACAGTCGAAGATAGTACAATCCGTCCCTTAGTACTCCGCTACCAATCATCCTCTTGGAGTGTGAGTCCTGGATGACGCAAAAATCGCGTAAAAAGATCAAGGCAACATCAAAATCTTGCGTCATTCTGCTCACGAAAAGGAGGTTGCATTTAATTAGAGGTATGCTTAACACTCGTCTTAATTTCTTGCCATTCATCAACTGAACTTCCCCAACTCGAGTGACTGGTATACTATCCCCATTTGGGATTTTAAACGGAAGATAACCCGAGGCATTCTGTGAGTTCTCTAACAAAGCTGCATTATTCGTAATGTATTCGTTGCATCCAGAGTCTATAACCCATTCAGTGTCAGAAGTGAACTTACCCGCCATGTTGGCCGCTGGTTCGGAATTTGGTGTTTCCCCACTACCACCATTAGCTTGACTCAAGAAGGTCATCAACTGTTGTACTTGTTCTGACGACAACCCAGGAATAGTAACACCCGCCATGGATGTAGTCTGCGCAGCCCAAAAAAAAAAAAACTAGAGGATAGCGCCTCGACGTCCACCCTTCTCTGACTGACGAGACTTCTTTTCAGGCCACCCTATGAGCTCATAACACGTTTCTTTAGTGTGCCCGGTCTTTTGACAATGACTGCAACGTGGCGGTTTGTCCCGCCGATCTTGCTTTTCACCTTGCTGCCCCGAATCGGTAGCTTCTCGCCCTTGCCGTGTCTGAAAGGCTGCCGACTCCACCGTTGGCCGCCGACTTGCAGTGATATTCTTGTGTTGCTCCTCTGCTGCAATCAAACGGTACACCTCGGCCAATGTAGGCGTTGGTTTCATAGCCAAAATTTGGGTCTTCGCTGTCGAAAAGTTTTCATCCAGGCCCATGAGGAAATCAAACAAATGTTCACTATCTTGATTATCTCGCACTTGGCGCTCGATATCACAAGTGCACAATCCTCACTTACACTTCGGGATCAGAGTGATTCTCTGCATCTCCTCTGTAACATCCCATTTCGGCTAAAACCCATATTTCGATCGTTAGAAAGTTCGCGATTTAAAATCGAGCGTTTTAACAATATTTCGACGAAAATCGGATTATCGATCGATCGGATAAGTATACGTATTAATTATATATATATATATATATATATAATTACATAAAGTGGACGGGCATATATATAATTCCACCGTCCCTATAATTGACAATTCTCATCATCGTTTATTTCCATTCTCGACCGAGAGAAACGAGAGAAACAGAGCACGCGCGGAGCTTTCGACCCAAAATTTCAAAGCTCAAATTCTTGAGCTACAGTGATCCAAAAATCCCGTAAGTAATGCCTAATTCATCCATTCATCGTGATTTATCGATTTAGAGCTTTAAAACGATTTTTTGGTTCAGGAATTTCTTGAATTCCCGATCTGCCAAATTAGGGTTTCGGAGTATCCGGAAGCCGGATTGAGCCCAAATTTCATATACGAGCTTCCTGCAGCGAGGTAATCAATCCTCTAGTTCTAATCCCTGAATTTCGGCTATTATTTAGGCCGGGGTCCAAACCGCTGAATTTAGCTCCGGCCAGGGTTTGATGTGTTTTTATCAAGAATTTGACCCGGAGCCTAGAACTAATATTGACGGGGATACTGCAGGGGATATTAGGACGGTCTCGGATTTTAATTCGGGGTTCGTTCGTGAAATTGACATTTTAGTACGGGAAGCTAAAACCAGTGTTTGAACGACCAGAACTGGTGAGGGATTAGCACGGCATACCGGGTTTGCGTATCACGATAATTATATTGATGCTTAGAATTGACCTAGGTGAACTAGAATGGCATGATTAGGGGTGTATAAGATTTTGTGCTATATGATGAACCTTGGACTGCTACTTGATATTATGGACTTGCCCTAATCGATATGAACCTTGTTTATGTGGATGATTGCATACATGTTGCCATTTGTGGCTTAACTGTTGATATGACTTCATGGTTGTTCGATAAGGGGTTTTGACATGGTGTGATATTATGGTTGTATTTGGATCCATAAGTGGTGGAATAAACTTCCCAAGGTGATATTATGATTTTTAAGGAGGATGACTTGCACGAGGGTTTATCCCGAGGAAATGCAATTATACGACTCCTGATTTACCTATGTTGAGCCAATTGTGGCCAGGTCAAGTACATGTGCAAGTAATGAATTATGATTAAGCAAGATGAGATATGAATCATGTATAAGGATACCAAATATGAGTGTTGTGGTCTCACGGTCAACTACATAGTAATTAGGGCTCCCTATGCTATTACTCTATTATGATATGTATGATAGTCACACCTCTCATTTGGTGGTGACTGAAGAATTCTTACGAGATATGACCACACCCAGAGCGGTGTCGGGGTATGACTACACCCATAGTGGTGTGGGGTATGATTGACCACATCCGACGGGATGCTGGGGTATGTATGACTACATCCGACGGGATGTGGGGTATGTTTCCCGGGAGAGTTATTAGCATGGGAGTAGCCAGGCGCCTATAAGTAAAACATGATAAGATGCATATGCATAAGTCAAGGTGGTTGAGTCTTTAGCCTATTGGGATGTCGGAGGGCTGAGATCTGATCCTAGTGCTTTGGCTTGTTTGCTAGATGTATGGTAGTGGTATGCTATGTTATGAACTCACGATGCTATGATTATCTCACTCAGCTATGAGCTGACCCTCTTTTATTCTTCTTCTCTGCTTATGCTATGTGTAAGCAGATCATCAGCAGCAGCAGTAGATAAGTGTTAGGGGAGAGGAGCTAGAGTTGAAGCCAAGATGAGGTATGGTCTTCAACTATTCTGTGCTTGGACGACTACTTGGGATTTTGGCCAGTGATCCACACCTTTTTGTAAAAATGTTTTGAGAACATTTTCATGTGCATACTAGCTTCGAATGTAGTGTGAGATATCCACAGGTGTGGAAAGTTGATGATATGTGTATATTTTTGTAATTGTGTAAGTTATGACGATTATGGCTTGTATTAGTATGGTATGCAGTTGTGTAGTATGAAACTGTGACTATGGCTATGAAAAGCCAATGCATATGGTTGTGAGTATATATGTTGTAATGAATTATTTTGCAGGATAAGTTGCAAGAACTGTTAGCCCATTACGCGAGTAATTCATGTCGAAATTTTATTTGGGTAAATTTTGATAATTAATGTAACGCCCGAGATTAATTCCGCTGCAATTGTATGAACAATATGATTAGGCAAAACGTATAGGGTAGGGTGTTACATCCTCCCACGTGCTTCTCAACTTTGTGAAGAAGGTCGAAACACTATCCTTTTCTTGCCGCAACTGGCTCAACCCTTGTCGCAGTTCGTACGCCCTAGGCGCTGATCCCTTGCCAAAACGCAATTCCAAATCTACCCAGATCTCCCTCGCAGTCCTAGCATATGGAATAGAATTACGTACATCCTTTTCCATGCTAGTCTATAACCACCCCTTCACTAGGGCATCGCATTGAAGCCAAGCTCCTAACAGTTCTTCTCCTTGCGGCTTAGCGATGGTTCCATCTACATTCCCATCTTATTTTTTGCAATGAGAGCCTCTGTCATATCCGTTACCCATTCCCCATAGTTGGAATCATTGAGTAACTCACCAACGAATAGATGACCAAGGTTGTTAGAGGACAATAGTCCCAGCACTGTGGGTATGATCGAAGTCGGCTGACCACCGCTTCCGCCGCTACTGTTAATCAAGACTTCTTCAGTCCCATTGCCAGTTCCGCCGATACTCATCGCAAACAATCCTCAAGAACGAACGTGCTCTGATACCATGAAATATTTGAAGACTGAATAAACAAGAAACACACCGATTTAACGTGGTATCCTTGTTCTTCTTGAACGAGACTAATCCACGGAGAAGACGACCCTTCTCAGCTCCTCTTATTCATCGGTCTCACAAAACTAGAGCCGCATACAGCAAGAACAACAATATATATGGAACCCTATTTCACACTCGGCTAGGGTTACCACACGTAGGGAACATAAAGCCATAAGAGGAAAAGACTAATATGTCCCTACTAAAACACATGACCTACTGACCTACTCCTTTATTGTCTATCACAACTTGCACCATATGTTCATCACCTAACTCCTCAATTGTTTTGTCAACTAGGTTGAAAATGACTTCACTTGTGTGTGACATATATGATGTGTCCTTTGACTTGATGAAGCTTGTTCCCTCAGCACAATGTGTGACCATGTTCATTATGCTTCTTCTCTTTGTGTCTGTCCATGCATCAGTCATATTAGAGCAACCGTTTCTCATTATCAAGATCCCTGAGCAAGCTTTTTGTTATTTTATATTCTAATTTCATCAAAGGCTCTCGAAGATCATACTGAGTAGGAGGCACAAATCCTGGGCTAAACTGACCAATAGCCTCACACATTTGCTTGAACTCATCATTAATAATTGCATTGAACGGTATAGTTGTAAAATAAAAGCACAAGTTGAAATATTAATTAATTTTGTAGGTTGCAAACAAAACTTCATAGAAAAATAGATACAAAAGTGCATATTGCTTACCATGTGTATACACCCATCTTGCAACATATTGCTGAACTTGAAGTGATTGCTTGAAGCGATTGAAGTGTTGCACCTGAAGACAACTTAGGATCAATAGAATGTGCCCACTTATCCATAGGTCCTAACTTGTGAGGTTCTGAACTACCAACACAAGTCATTTCTTCATCCTGTTGACTAGAGGAAACGATTACATCATCTCTTACTTTCTCCTTGTTATTGGGATCCACCAATCTTTCAAATTCCTAACCTATATCACCAGACTTCCTCTTAAAAGCATTGATATTCTCTTCATTTGTCACGATAAATCTAGTATAGAAAACAAATTAATAAACAATTAGGAAATTGATTATAAAGAAATGTCAAGCATACTAAATATATAGGAATCGCCTAGTATTACTATATTAGTTATGGTTCAAACATAACTTATTCTAGTCTTAATTCAAATTTCAAAGAGTGGCACGCATTAGACAAGTCTTCATGGCTCCTAATGAAACATAAACAATTCTTCATGGCTGCTAATAATAAACAGAAAACCAAGTAGAATAGCACAAAAGAAGACAAAAATAATAAACATATAACCAAGCAGAATAGTAGGTAACGCCAACTTCTCCATCAAAACACTATAAAACATAAACAATTCTTCATGGCTTCTAATTCCAAGTTGTTTTCGAGCGAGGACTTACAAAGTTGAGGAGCAAGCAGGAAGCATGAAGCAAAGAGAGGCAGAAAACCATAAAAAAGAGAGGCAGAAGACTTACAGAGTAGAGCAGCGAGATTCGGAGTTGGTCGATAGCGGTTGAGCGCCGGGGGGCTGCTCGTAGTTGTCGTCGAGCAAAGACTTAGCTGTTCCCAGTTAATGGCTAGCTGCTCCCTTTAGAAGTTAAGTGACTTATCTATAATTAACCCTTAGGGTTAGAAAGTCGGGCAGTATATAATGTTGAGAGGGCCGACCTGCTCTTGTAACTTGTACCGAAAATAATAAACAAAAAACTCTGCATTGTGCCGAAAACCATGTAAATCCGGTGTTCGAACTTTTTGATTGCTTTTGCGTTTATTGACATGGTATGAGAGCCTCTCAATCTCTGAGTTCGTGTTCGTGATTGTGTGTGTGTGTCTATGTGTGTGTGTGTGTGCTGTGGTGCGCTCATGTCTTTGTGTGAGTTCGGGTTTTTTGGGGCCGTTCATCATTGTTGGGCGCACTTCTGGGTCTTTATTTGCTTCTCGTTGGGACCAGTTCTGGTTCTTTGTTTGCTTCTCATTGGGACTCTCTTGCTCTCGTCTAGTTTTGGCTATTGTCCCTGGTTACTTTTGGTTGTTCTCGTTTGGTTTTTGGTTGTTGTACCAGGTTATTTTGGAAGGTCAGAAGGGCGACGTGATCTCGTTGGTAAGAACTTTGCCCTCTGGGAGTTTCAGTTCAGAATTTATATTCAAGGACGCCGATTACTGTCTATTCTTGATGGGTCCTCTACTGCACCTGCCGAGGATGCTTCGTCAAAAGCTAAGGAAGATTTGGCAGCAAATAATGCCATTGTTATGCCAGCTCTTCTTGGTTCCATGGATCCATGCATTTCTTTGAGCTTGCGTGGGTTCTCTACTGCCTCGGCTATGTGGCAGCATCTCACTACTTTGTATTCCAAAGCCAATGCCTTGAGGAAGTTTGATGTGGAACTCGACCTTGCCAATCTGAAGCAAGGTGATCGGGATGTGAGTTCATACTATTAGAAGGCCATGACTCTCTGGATAGAACACGATCTGTTGATGAGTTCGTTGGTGTTTGCTGCTGCCTCCGCCGATGTGATCCGTGAGCGTACTAGTTCTCATATTATGCGCTTCCTGATGAATCTTCGGGCTGAGTTTGAAAGTGTTCATGCCTCTCTACTTCATCTCAATATGGATACAATGGAGGAGGTTCTCGCAACGCTTCTTCGCGAGGATACACGACTCCGCAGTCAGTCCAAGCTCAACGTTCACGCTAGTGATAATGCTACGACTTTCGCGGTTCAAGGCGGCCAACCTCAGTTTCATCGTACTGCCAAAGGAGAGATCATATGTCACTATTGCAAGGAGCCTGGACACATTCAATTCCATTGCAAGAAGCGCAATTCTTGTAACTACTGTAAGCAGGATGGTCACTTGATCGGGGAGTGTCCTACCCTTGCTCGTCGAGGGCAGGGTCGTGGAAATAGCTCGCGTGGGGGGCCTCAACTGGTTGAGACAACGTATGCGATGGAGGCAGCCTCTCCATCATTGCCATCTCTCATACCTGATGACGTCTGCCGCATGGTCCAGGAGGCTTTAAAGGAGTCCCTACCCTCTACTCTCACGTCGGCATTTGCTACGGGTAATATATTTTCTTCTCCTGCTTGGCACATTGACTCGGCTGCCTATAAGCACATGACTAATTCCAGGACTTCGTTTGCACCTCTTAATCATTCGGTTCCTCATTTAGCACTTCAGGTTGCAAGTGGTTCTACGATGACAGTTTGTGGTGTAGGGTGTGTGGTTCACCCGAATATATCTATTCCTGATACGTTATATGTGCCCAAACTCTTTCCCAGTTTAGTCTCGGTGGTTCAGCTTACTGATGATGGTTTTTGGGTCATTTTTTATGCCGATGGGTGTACTGTGCAGGACACGAGGACGGGGAAGGAAATCGGGAGAGTGAGTAAGAATGGCATGACTTTCATGCTCGATCACTACTGAAACGACCCAATCCTTTTTGAAAACCAAACCATAACTCAAACCACAAACCGGTTACTTCGGAGCAACCCAAACAACTTTTTAAAATAAATAAATCGACAATGTTTAAGAATTTCAAACAAAAAGACTGAACACTTGGGCAAATGACAATCCCAATACTTAAGATGAAAGAACTCAGAATATTCAGTTTACACTCCTAATCATGTAACAAAGAAATTAAACTATTCTAGCTCTGACACTTCACGAGTTCCTTAACTTCTCATCAATGTCGGTGCAACTATTCGCCTTGCCTTGCCTCTGCTCGATATCCGCCTCTGCTAACCCTTCCTCGAGCTGGTGAGTGAGAAGGAGTCAGTCTCGTCATTACTTCCTAAGGTCTTTGCTCTAAGCAAACTTTCTACTATCACGTTATTAGAGTTTCCTTCCTAGCACGAAAGCCATTCTCGCTTTCTGCTCATAAATAATCATCCTTACAAAACACACGTTATTTGGGTTCTTGATTTAGAAAAAAGTCATTCTTGCTTTCATCCTTTATACTTTGTTATATAACAGTCCATAAGAGATCTCTACTCGTATCTTATCTTTAGAATTTTCTTACTTATATTCTTAATCCATAAACACCAACACTAGGGACCATCGCGTTACGTCTCGTCGTCTGGTGTGCACCTTAGTATGCCAACCGCGTTATGTCTCGCTGTCCGGTTGCATACCCAAACTCGGCAATGACACTGCATTATGTCTCGCCGTCCAGTCCATGCCCGGTCAACTACTGCGTTACGTCTCTCCGTGTAACACCTCGAGTTTTGGGTTTAGGTTGAACCGATAAGAAATTAGTGGAATTGGAGTTAACCATTAATTACATGAACTCGAACCAAAGCTAAACCACATTTGGGACAAGATCATGGAGATAAGGGCTAATTTAGTTCAGCCGTTAAGAGGCCTTCTCGGTGGCCTTCCAATATTTTTAATGACAATTTAATTGCTAATTGTTAGTGAACGGAAAGTATTAGATGGGGATTAGGGCTAGCGAAAGGAGCATGTTTAAAGGAGGGGAAGACGAGGCGGTCACTCTTCAACCTTGGAATACCGCCGCCTACCCATTCCTTAAACTCCCTCGAACGACCTTCAGCGCACAAAAATCGTCTTCGCCACCGCCAAAAGAGATTTTACATACATTGTTGTTGCTGTTAGAACCACAAGGAGAGAGAAGGGGAAAGCCAATTGCAATCGTCAACATTATCAAGTGAAGAGTGGGTAGCTGGAGGGAGTGCACCTCGTACAGATCAGGGGAGCTGATCAATGCTCCGGTCTGCGGATTCGACGGATGATGAGATCGGAACGAGAAGGAACAACTCGTCCATGTCGGCGGTACAGCCGGGTTCGGGCGACCCAAGCATGCTAGGATGACGAATGCAATTGAAGCAGTACCCGTACATGGACACTATGTCATTGACCAAGCTGGACAGCAAATCAGCTACGGTGAGATATACATGAAAGGAAGCTAGAGTGTTCTTGGTCAACGACATGTCTCACGTGGAAGGTTAGTGCTTATTATATTGTGAAGTTATTACTGGTGGGATGGGTAGTTAAGGACCTTTAGGAGTTTGATAAGGGTCAGGTCTCGGTAATGTTTGAGGGGAGCCTTGGAGGAATCGGTGGCCTGGAAGTAATCAAAACTCGTATAGGAATTTTAGAATTATGCATGTACGTATTGGACCAAAGGGAACTAATTACCTTAGAAGCAAGCGCTGATTTGTGGGTGTCTAGTAGAAGAGTAATCAATATTTTAACTGAAGGAGGTGGGATTGCTAATTCAACTAGCAAATGTAGGGAGGAATTTAGATAATGTAAAAGTGAATGGGTTATAACCAATGGGATGGTCGTCAGATTAATAAGCTAATGGAATGAATTTTGGGACCTCTACGAAGAGCTATTCCTGTAAAGTATGCGCACATGGAGTTAAGATGGGAAGGTGTGAAGTGTAATGACGGATGATCTCAAGCATTGTCGAGAGAACTGCACGATGAGATAAGGTGAGTGTAAAGGGGGTAAATTCTACGCCTTACATGTTCAAGTATTTGCTTTACGTGAAGTGTGTGTACACTGTTTGATTTATGATTGTGTTGATTATGCATGCTTCGATTTGAGTTATTCTTTGGAGCATTTCAATATCTACGTTTAAGAAGTTAAGTTTATGTTTTTACGATGATTAAGAACGAGTATTTTTAATGTTTCATCGTTTACTAAGTTATGGCGTCAAGAGTAAGACAAAGTCACGAGTAAAGATAGATAACCTCGCTTAGCTAGCCACTAGCTAGACAGATCCCCTACCGGACGGTGATAAGTTCCGCGGTAGTTGATCAATACTGGATGGTGATACGTTCCACGGTAGTTGGTCAAGCGTGGAGCCGGACGGTGATGAGTTCCGCGGTCTCCATTGCCTAGGTTTAGGTGTGCTACCAGATGGTGATACGTTCTGCGGTAGTCACGCCGTAGTTTGACATCGGATGGTAATTCGTTCCGCGGTCGTCAAACCCATTCGAGGGGCACACCATTGTGAGGGTAGTCATGTTTAAGAAGTAAGAAAGTAAGTAAAGCTAGTAGTGGCGCCAGCTAAGTCGAGGTAGGGGCCCCCAATAAGATAAAGGATGAGATAACACAGTTTTAAGAGTTAAAGTTTAAAGGTAGAAGTACAGGCAGAAGTACAAACAACTTCCATAAGTTTAAGTAATTGTTTTAAGCAAAGTGCTCAAGTACTAAAAGTAATAAACGTAAGGGCGTAGACTGACCCCATCTCACTCACCAGTTTGAAGAGCTAGAGGAGCTAAAGGAGCAGTTAGTGAGCAGCGAGTTCGAGGGAAGACAGCTAGAGGAGGGCAGTATAAGCGTCACAGAGGATGCTTAGTCAAGGTTTTTAGTAGCAACAACATTAGAGATTATTAGTTATTTACATTTATGATTATGAGTATAGAATGGAGATCACTTTGAGATTTTAAGTATTGAGTTTGCCCATGTGTTAGGGCATTGCTTGAGCTACAAGTGTGTGTTTTCAGTATTTTATCATGAAAATTTTTCCCGCAGCAATTTTAAGATTTGAGTATTTCATTTATCAAGGTCATTTTAGTAAAAGTAGTACTCGACCGGGTTAGGGTGTTACACGCCGTCCAGTAGTGACCCCAACAACCACGATCAACTGCTGCATTACGTCTCGCCGTCCAGCAGTGACCCGACCATCTACCGCGTCAAGTAGTGGCCCAACCGCCCGGGGGTTCCTCTTACCATTAACCAACTATTACAATCATACATCCATACATTCATACATAGCACAACGCGTGCCTCCACCCTTACATGCGATGGGGTGCCTCACACACATATCGCGCATTACTCAAAAATTAACTAATTAATAACTTGAAATAAAGCATAAACTAAAAGACCTACGACAGAGATTTTACCCCCTTGATAGACCGTTAATTGCACATGTTTTTACCCCTATTCTTGAGCCGTTTGAGATGTTGATTCTCGTGTTTTAGGCTGATTTCACGCTAGGTTGTGCTTGTTTGTGATATTTCAGGTCCTAGTACGTGAATGAAGGTTTGGGAGCGAGTTCGGGGTCGATTGCACGAAGATCGGGCGTGTAGCGAGTCGCTGAGGAAGCCACACGGGCACTCCTAAAACTGACATGGCCGTGCAAGGAACCAATGTGGCCGTGTGGGATTTAGCAAGGCTGCACACGTGCATGATAGAGACCCCACACGGTCGTGTGTCCCTGGCCGTGTTGGAGGCCTGAAGTCCAATTAATCGAAACTAGGCGTTTTGACTCTCACACGGGCATCTGGGTAAGCCACACGGCCGTGTGGCCTTCCTGTGTGATCGGGATTTTCTGGTTTTTACCCAATATCGAACCACAAGTGAGAGATCGACTTTTCAGAGCAAAAACAGAGCCCTAGAGAGAGAAAGTGCGAATAACACATCCTAGAAGCGATCTTGGAGCTGGGTTTTATCAAATCAAGTTTGGAGATCATCATAGGAGTGAAAATCATCATCCCAGAGCAGATTCTTCCCATTGTTATGAGTATGACTGCTTTGTATTCTGTTTTTCTCTCTCTATGGAGTATAACCCTTCTTTCACTTGGGTATGAAGAACCCTAGTTCCATGTGTTAGGGATCATGATTGTAATGACTTGGGATGATTATACTGTTTGGTTTTAATCGAATGATGCATGATTTATTGAATTGATTGAAGTCTGATCAGGTTTTCTTGATTTCTGCTGCAACCTGAGATAGATAGAATCTGATTAGGTTATTAGAGCTTCATCATTCGTTAGTAGTGGATTGGTTATACGATAGTTAGCCAATCTACTGCTTTGTACTAGAATCCCATTCCAGTAGTGGAGTTCTGTGCTTATTGCTTCAGCTTTCTATCCCGGTGAAGACTAGAAGTCTGCCGGGTAGTTAGACTGAGAGGGCTTGGTCAGCTTAAGAGATTCCAAACTACTGTCGGATCTTCCGCAGTCTAATCAACAGTAAATAAACCCAGGGTAATTACAACTGAGACCTAACTAAGGAGCTAGGGGGACTCATTCCCGAGTGACTCTTACTTTGCTTGAGAAAACCGAATCAATTCCTGCTTTCTTTCTACTTTCAGTTAAGACCAAAATCAGTCGACTTAGTTTGCTAGATAATAGATAATCTCGGAGTAGGAAGTAGATCTAGACCTTAGGTTGATAATTAGACTTGCCACTTTACTGCATTCCCGGACTGCGATTACACTTGGTCGCATTTTGGTGTTGTGTCGTAGCGTCAAGTTTTTGGCGCCGTTGCCGGGGACCCTCTAATTTATTGGAGAAACGTGACAGTTTGTTACTCTAGCTTTTTCTTTACTCAATTTTCTCTCTTCCACCTGTGTGACTTCACGGGTTGCTTCTGCTGATTGTGTGCAGGTAGAGCATGACCCGTAGCCAATCGGGAGATCTACTACCATTAGACCAGAAGCTTGAACGAACTTGCAGGAACTTCAAGCGGGCTCTAAAGGCGCTACTGGCTGCGGAGGAGGCGCTAGCACAACTGCAACTCGCCGACGAAGAAGAGATGGGTGATCCACAGGACCATGATGTGGTCCTTCCCGAGGAGCAGACCATGGGATACTACTGGACAGCCAGGGCCGCGGGCATGAGGTCGCTCATTCAACACCCTCATGTGCCAGCAAATAATTTTGAGGTGAGCACCTCTGTCATAACCATGTTGTGCGGTTTGGTGGTTTTCCATGGCAAAGAGGGGGAGTGTCCCCGATCACATCTGAGGCGATTCCACGAGCTCATCGATGGGATCAAGATAAATGGGGTCCCAGCTGATGCCATCCAGCTGAGGTACTTCCCATTTACCCTGGAGGGGCAGTCCAAGGAGTGGCTAGACACTCGACCTTCAGGATCTATCACCACGTTCGCCAACCTGGCGGACAAGTTCCTCACCCGCTATCATCCTCCGTCAAAAACGGTGGACTTGCAGAAGCAGATCACCCACTTTATCCAGGATGAAGATGAGACCATCCGGGACGCATGGGAGAGATACAATAGTCTCTTCCTGAGGTGTCCCAATCATGGTTTCAATGATGCTTTCAAGGTGGGCACCTTCTATCACGCCCTCTTCCCGGAAGACAAGCAGCTGATTGACTCGGTTTGCGGCGGGAACATACTGACCAAAACACCGCCACAGCTGAATCAACTCTTTGAGGAGATGGCAGAGAACGGATATGATTGGGGCACTGCTAGGAGGTCAAGGAGAGAACCAAGTCGAGGTGTACATGCTGTGGGAACCCACTCCTCTGATTTGGTGCAGGTGGTGTCAAAGCTGGTGTCAGCCATCAATCGCTCTAGGATGATTCCAGGGACCAAAAAGCAGTAGGTGATGCTCTGCCACTGGTGCGAGAGCACCCATCACACGGTGGAAGATTGCCAGACGATAAGGGAGTCGACCACACCCTAGGAGCCGGTGAACTTCATCAATAATGCTAGGCGAAATGACCCCTATAGTAACACGTACAACAAGGGGTGGCGCCAACATCCCAACTTCTCTTGGGCTGTGGCCAATCCTAGACCACCAGCCTGCCAAGGACCGCCAGGCTTCCAGAGGCCGCCATATCAGCCCAGACAGAGGCAATTCCAGCAGCAGCAGTCTCTCTACCAGCCCATGCTGGGGCATGCTGCTCAATCACAGCCGCGACCTTTCCAGCAGACAGGGACATTACCTGCAACCCCAGTGCAGAATGATCCGATGGCTGAATTGCAAGACTTGGTGGGTTCTCTCGCCAGTTCTAGTGCTCAGAAATTCAACACTATCGAGTTGTTCATGGAAAAGGCCTCCGGTAAATTCCTAGCTCTTGAAGCTAGCCAGAGGATCACTCAGGCTGTCTTGCAGGATATCCAAACCAACTGGAGAGCGTGGCTCAAGCAGTGGCGCAAAGGGCTCCAGGTACCTTGCCAGGTCATACCATTCCTAATCCGAAGGACCCGAATGCCCACTGCAATGCCATCACAACCAGGAGTGGCAAGATGACTGCTGATCCACCTGTTCGGGCACAAGAGAGAGAGGCCCTTGCCTCGGCATCTCCAGCGGCTGAAGAAGAAGCGGAGCAGGAGGTTGAGGTGCCTGCGCCTAAACCGCAACCAGTAGTGAAGGAATATATCCCTCAACTTCCCTTTCCCTACTCAGTTGCACAACGACAGGCTAGAGGTAGAGTTCGGGAACTTCATGTCCATGCTTAGGAAGCTGAATGTCCAAGTACCTTTCCTATAGGCACTATCTCAAATGCCTAAGTATGCGAAGTTCCTGAAAGATCTTCTCTCAAAGAAGCAGAAGCTGAGCGAGCTGGCCACTGTGGAGCTCAGCGAGGAGTGCTCGGCCATTCTACAAAACAAGCTTCCGCTGAAGCAGAAGGACCCAGGTAGTTTTACTATCCCGTTCTCTATAGGTAAGTTACATGTAGAGAGGTCATTGGCGGATCTAGGCGCTAGTATCAATGTCATGCCATATCAATTGTCAAGAAACTAGGTCTAGGTGAACCCCGTGCAACTAGGATGAGTCTTTAATTAGCTGACCGATCTATAGTACATCCTAGGGGCATAGTGGAAGACCTTCTGGTTGAGATTGGCAAATTCCTTTATCCTGTGGATTTTATTGTCTTGGACATCAATGAGGACACAGAAGTGCCCCTTATACTGGGAAGGCCTTTCCTGGCCACCGCCAAGGCTCTCATAGATGTGCATGATCGGACCTTAGTTTTGAGGGATGGCGAGGAGCGAATAATGTTTTCAATTGCTAATACTCTCCCTGTTTCGTCACCTTTGCATTTTGTTTCTCACTAGGAGCACGAGTCTGTCGTGTATCCTTATGTGCTTGTCATTTTGCAGCATCCCCCTCCCATACCTTCGCCGCCACTCCCGTCCACTCCGTCACCAAAAGAACAGATCAAGGAGGAGTGGCAGCTGAAACTGCAGGCAGCTAAGCCTGCTCAAAAGAAAGCCGGAGACCACTATGAGCTGGTCCCGCCCCCTGAACCTCGACCAACTTGGCCATCCGAGTATTCACTCGCTTGCATCTTGCCGGATGGCCAAGTCGAGTTGGCGAGTGCTGGTGGGCACACCCGCCGTGTGCATGGCCATCACCTGAAGCTGTACCTCAAGAGCGATGTGGATCCGCTCTAGAAGGCACCTGCTTCTACACTTCTCTAGCATCCACCTACTGCGTCCATCTAAAAGACGGTAAAGAAGCGCTTGTGGGGAGGCAACCCCACCTAGGTTTGCATTTTCTTACCTTTTTCTTTTTGATTTTTTGTGTTTTTGAGTCTTGAGGTGTAGTCCAAGAATCGTATGTCGATTTTGAGTGAAAACAGGTCAAATTCGGAGTTCTGGCATATAACACCCCGACCCTTGGGTTTCGGTTCGACCATAATACGTGAACGGTTGGTTTAACGAGTATGTACGAATTACGATGAGTTGCAACCGGGGATTAGGAATAATAATAATAATAACTATTATTACTATTATTATCATTAGTATTAGTATTAAAAAAAAAGTGGGCAAAAGAGGGCCGAGCCCTCATTAACCCAACTTCCCCACGATCCCATCTCTCTCTCGGTTTCCCTATCCCTACACTAAAGGAAACCTAAAACTAATCCCGGTGGTAAGCGGTCGAGAGGGAGAGACAGCGACGGGATGCTGTGGAGATTGGAGGAGCCCTCCCTTGTCTCCTCGAACTGAAACCCGCCGCGCGCACCAGTTCTAGGAACGGCCTCTGTTAGCCTCACGTTTCGCCGTCCTTCTCGGTGCCGCTTCCTACGCATCCATGTTGATGTATAGAGAATCAGGAAATTGGTGGGTTTCATCCATGGATGACCTATATGAAGTCATTGGGAATAACAGGATTGAAGATGTGAGTTGGATATGTTCCCTCTCCGAGCCCGAGCTTGATCTTCTAATTGGCTTGAAGAAGCTGGCAATTCTGCGGGCAAAGGCTATTGGTCATGTGGAATTGGCTGAGAAATTTGACTTGAAGATGCTCCGAGCGATTGGGTTCGTTGTAATGGAATATTTCAGACAAAAGGTCAAAGACTTGCCACCAGTACCGGGCATGGACGAGACTAGTGCATGCATTAGGGGTGGGCAACGGGACGGGACGGGATACCCGTCCCGTTTTAAACGGGTACCCAGTACCATTTGGAGGCCAAAGTCCATCACATATCCCAAACTCATATGAAAAACGGGTACCCATTACCCGTACGGGACGGATAACGGGTACCCAAACTACCCATAAATACCCAAAGTTTAAACCACTCAAATTTTAACAAAAGTTTAAACTTAACTTGTACTTGCTTAACAATCACAAGACACAAATCATGAACAATCACAACGCATAGAAATAAATCATTCTAAGCACCAAATTATCAAATAAGAAGTTTCATTCAACACAAATCATGAACAATCACAACGCATAGAAATAAATCATTCTAAGCACCAAATTATCAAATAAGAAGTTTCATTTAACAAAAGGGAGTAACTGTTATCTGATTTGATATATGATCTTCCAACTCCTTTGCATTTCACATAGCGTTCTTTGTTTCTTTACTAAGAAAAGTTTCATCTTTGTGGTGAAGTGGACATTCCCTTTCTATGGATTAGAGTTCGCAAATGGGTAAAACGGGTACCCACATTACCCAAACGGGTATTTGCGGGTAACCCGCGGGTACCCATATTAGAAATGTACAATCCCAAGTCCCATCCATTTATAATATTACGGGTAATATGGGTACCCGTAACCCTTAAAAAACGGGACGGGTACGGGTATACCCAAATACCCGTTTCCTGTTGCCCACCCCTAACATGCATAGATGGTTGCAGTTTACTAAAATCCAAGCTTGACAAGTTGAGCATTGAAGAGTGGAAGTCATGTCTCGGTATGAAGAAGGAAAAACACTATTTTAAAAGACCACGGGAACAGGAAGGGGCAAAAGTGAAGTATGGATTGGTATTATCTTGAGAAAAAAACCAAAAAGAGTACATGGGTTGTCGAGTGTGGTCAAGTATGTGAATATTTGGTGTAGGAAAAAGGTTAACGTGGCCAGAAGTAATGAATGGGTTATTTGGGTGGGAATTAATTAGTGTGTTGGATTGAATTACAATTTCTTAAAGAGCTTTTGGAAGCGCATGGAGAGGTGGAGCTTCTGTGCATGTGTCAAGGGGGAGGTGATCCTAAGGCGACGAACTCTTCGATAGTGGTTAATTCTGGTCGATCGGCTAGAATAATGAGGTGACTGTAAAGGGGGTAAATTCTACGCCTTACGTATTTTTTTCAAGTATCTGCCTTGCGTGTTTAAGAAGTTGTTTTATGTGAAATTGTGTGCTTGCTTATGATTATGGTTGATGAAATTGTGTGCCTAACTAAGAGACTAAGTTTATGTACAAGATCGATCAACAAGAGAGACATGGAATGAGTTATATTAAAGGTTACCAAGGGCAAGCCACCATTGGAAGTTGTGACCTAAAACAACAACGAGAAGATACTCAACAGAGGTTGGTGACCAAATATAGTACAAGCAACAACAGAAGAGCTGTAGTTTGGTGGTAGTAAAAGTAAAGAAGCAAGAAGAACACCATGGGAAGTTATAGGAAAAAAAAATATGGGTGGCATCAACCTGGTGAGGTATGTGTCAAGGAAGATAGTTAAGACGGGCGGAAGCAGGAGTACAACCGACGACAAGAAAGCATTAGGTTGACTACCAAGTGAAGAACAACCGATCCGTGGGAAGTCCATAAAGATAATTCAGTCAATTTTTAAGGTGGAATCATGATCGTCAGGAATAGTCGAAGGGAAAAACCTTATAGGTCAAAGTACATAAATGAGAAGAGGATATAGGAACCTACGGGACTACATCGAGAGCAAGGGATAACTAGATCTAGCAAGGAACCTCAAGAAGAAGGGTTGCGCATAAAGAAGTAATAGGGTTATGAGTTAAGGGAACCTGGTGGAATACCCCAAAGTGAAACCAAGGTCGCCTATTATGGTGAAAGGTGGAAATCTCTTGGGAGAAAATTTCTTGGTCGGGGAAATCGTACGAGGAATTTCAGCTAGGGTCTAAGAGTAGCAGAATAGATAGTACGAGAATTGCAAATTCAAGCGACAATAAGTAAGTATTTAGTTAGGCGGCCAGTGGTGAACAAGCAAGCCAAGGAGGATGTCATGATTCTTGAAAGAAGCTTTAATTTGAATACAAGTTAGGGGTGCGATGCAATGGATGCCTCTGATGCATACATAAAGTAAAAGCGGTGGTACGAGGTCTCAGCGTTAAGAAATAAGTAACGAGGAGATGACCTTTCAGTTTATGATCAAAGGATAAGATGAAGTATCAAGGAGGAAAGTAAGAGTAAGAGATATAAGTTAGGAGATACAAGGACCTAGGTGATCGATGTGGTCAACCACCGACAGGTTACGTTAAAAGAGTTTTGCGATCGAACAAAAAAAAGGAGATCACGCTGCCATAAGTAATCTTGGGGTTCGAAGGGGTATTACCTTCTTATGTACCGAATAATGGAGATAGTTATTTTTCCGACATACGTCCAAGGTGCATAGGTGATGTGAGGGGTTAAGAAGTCACCACAATATTGAAGTTGCAATGAGTGGAGAGAAGAATTCATAGGTCATGTCATACAAGTTAAAGGAAATACAAATCCTCAAAGTAAAAAGGATAACCACAAACGAGGCTTGCAGTAGTCATAGTGGATAAATTTCGAAGGCCAAATTTCTATAAGTACTGGATAAATCCTCAACTTCTATTTAGGTTCAACAACAAGTACTGAATGAGTTCGACCAATAAATTGAGTCAAAATTTTGTCCCATCATGCCCCGGGCCAAGTTTCTTAGAATTAAAAGGGCAGTGAGTCACTCAAGTTACACAAGTGCTGCAAGCTAAGATAGAGTACTTGTTATGGTCGAGAAGAGATATAAGAGGAGCAGTTTCATTATGCGAGGTGAGCAAGGAGCACCATTGAAGCAGATATAGTGAAGATAATTTTTGGGGCAAGAGATTACAAGGCCAGTGTTAAAGGAGAGATGAGTTCCGAATAAATTTCGGGGACAAAATTTTTATAAGGGTGGAGGAAATGTAACACCCCGACCCTTGGATTTCGGTTCGACCATAATACGTGAGCGGTTGGTTTAACGAGTATGTACGAAGAGTTGCAACCAGGGATTAGGAATAATAATAATAACTATTATTACTATTATTATTATTATTATTATTATTATTATTATTATTATCATTAGTATTAGTATTAGTATTAAAAAAAAGGTGGGCCAAAGAAGGCCGAGCCCTCATTAACCCAAATTCCCCACGATCCCATCTCTCTCTCGGTTTCCCTATCCCTACAGTAAAGGAAACCTAAAACTAATCCCGGTAGTAAGCGGTCGAGAGGGAGAGACAGTGACGGGATGCTGTGGAGATTGGAGGAGCCCTCCCTTTTCTCCCTGAACTGAAACCTGTCGCACGCACCAGCTCTAGGAACGGCCTCCGTTAGCCTCACGTTTCCCCGTCCTTCTCGGTGCCGCTTCCTACGCATCCAGGTTGATGCATAGAGAATCAGGGAATTCGTGGGTTTCATCCATGGATGACCTATATGAAGTCATAGGGAATAACAGGATTGAAGATGTGAGTTGGATATGTTCCCTCTCCGAGCCCGAGCTTGATATTCTAATTGGCTTGAAGAAGCTGGTGATTCTGCGGGCAAAGGATATTGGTCATGTGGAATTGGCTGAGAAATTTGACTGGAAATTTCACACGGGCAAAAGGGGTCCTTCACACGGCCGTGTGAATTGGCCCCTGTCCGTTTGAAGCCTCGACAATTTCCACACGGCCATTTGTGCTTTTCACACGGCCGTGTGGAAATCCTCGGCTTGACCGTGTCGGCCCACACGGGCACTTGTGCACCTCACACGGCCGTGTGAGCTTGCCCGTGTGGCCAAGCCCAGCCTTTATAAATTTGGCCGACACGGCCGCGTGGTCAGAAATTTCAAATCCTCTCGCCGGAATCCGCTCCCCCTCGCCCGAAAACCGCGACTTTTCACCCTCTTTCGCGATTCTCGGCCATTTATGGTTGGGTTTTCACCAAATCACCTCCACACCCATCATTTTCTCCCCATTTTCGGCCTATCCCTCGACTTTGAGGCGATTTTGAACGATTTTGAGACGCCGGAGGCGATTTCCGACGAGACTCTGGCGAGGCTCCGACGAGCACTGCCGGGCAGATTTTGGCCTCTTCGTCGCTTCCATTGCCTTCCCCTCATCATCCCCTACACCTCTACCTGTGTCTCCAGGTTTGATTTTGACCTTAACCTTGTGATTTATGGAGAATTGGGTGTTAGGGTGTATGTTTAGAAAACCACTTTGAATTTTGTGAATTGTGTCCAATTGGTTGAGGGGAAAGCTTGGTTTGTGTGTGAACTGTGTTGGGCAATGTCCCCCATGCTTGTTTGACCCCTTGTGTGCAAGAAATTTGTCAATTTCATGCTTAACTTAATAGTGCACACAAGGTGTTCGGTAAAATGTTTTTTTTCGTACCATTTTGTGGGAGCCGGTTGGGGCCCTTAATGATGTGCTTTCAGGGTGTGTTTGCTATGGATGTGAACCTTGAGTTGACTACTTTTTCATGGATGTGCACCGCCAGCCCGATTATACTTGTTTGATCGTGTCTTTGACCCCCGAACTATGGATGAAACCATGGTTCAGCTGTTTTCTGTTCTTAAGTGTGGGGGTGTGATTAACCTTTCCTTTGGCTCTTTTGGTTCCACTTTGGGTTGTTCTTTTGCAGGACCATGACGAAACCCGACCTCAAGCACCCGTTTATTCGGGATTTGAATAGGGGCCCCCACCAGGATCGTTTTAAGAGCGTCCTGGCCTGCTCATTTGGGCAGCATCATTGCTGGTCCAGGCGGGAATTTGAGAAGCTGCACTGCTACGAGCACTTCTCCGCCATTGTCACCAACCGTCCCTGGCGCCGTCTACTATGCATTCGCGAGAAGGTTTACCACGAGCTCGTGCTTGAGTTCTATATGACCTTCAAGCACGTAGAGACGGAGGATTGGGCGAACGGTGAAGCCGTCAAGTTCAGGCTCGGCGGTGCACCCCACTCCATGACCTACCACGACTTGGGGACCGCCCTCGGCCTCGGCCTGGCCGATGATAGGGACTACGTCACCGAGCTCACCGAGCCAGAGTGGGTGAACTTCAAGACACTGTACACCCGCCTCGCTCGGCTAGGTCAGTGTCCCTTCATGGCGGGGAAGACGAAGGCCAGCACCTTGCAGCTCGACAACCGCATTCTCCACCACTTGCTGGCAAAGTCTTACACTCCAGTTGCGGACAGTGCCAGCGCCATCACCAGGAGAGCCATGTACTTCATCCAGTCCATGCGCCAGGGGGATCATGTTCTCCACTTGGGTTCTGTGGTGGCAAGAACCTTCGACAAGAGTGCTTCAGAGCTGAAGAGCCTCCACTGCACTCCCCTCATCACCCGCCTGGCCACCTACTTCCAGATATCACTGCAGGGGTGCACAGAGCAGGGGGGACACCAATGTCTTTGGCGAATATACGATCTCTCGCATGCACCTGCTTCGAGAAGAGCGAGGAGTCAAGTGGATCGAGGGGTTTCCTCAACCTCAGATCCCAGCGGAGGACCAGCCGGAGGTTCCTGAGGATGCGACTGATGAGGATGTTCACCCCGAGGATGTGGATGACGCTACTGCCCCCCGCCCCACCACCTTCGAGTACGGGGGTAGCAGTTCCACTTTCTCCGGCCAGGACTACTTCACTCACCAGTTCGAGCAGCTGCGTCTCCAAAATCAGCAGCTCTTCGACCATCAGCTCTAGTTCAAACAACAGTATTCGGCTCACCATGCCGAGTACCTGACCCGGATGGCTGCTTATGATGAGCGTCTTGATCAAATGGAGACCCAGCAAGGGGTGACCCTGGCTCGCATCGATAGGGAGCAGGCCCGATCTCGGCGTATGCAGGAGGTCCAGCAGCACCTGCTCCAGCTGCTACCGGGCGAGCAGCCATTCTGGAGGACTCCCTCGGAGGACTCTCCACTTCCACCTCCACCAGCTAATGATGATGATGCCTTCATGAACGACATCAATCTGGACAACCTTGGCGACGAGTAGGCTGTACTCGTCGCCCCTCAGAGTGTGTTTTTGTTTTAGACTTTTTATGTTTGCTCCATGTGTTTGAGGAGCTTGACCTGAGTCTGTCATTTGTTTTTGTCCTTTCGGTTTTCTTTTGTGGATTGTCATTTGTGTGGCCATCTTGGCCAACTCTGATCCTTAACTTACAGTATGCTAGTGTGTTCTTGTTATTTCCTTGTGCAGAACTGCCCGTTCGTTCCATATGATCCCCACTGACCGGTCCACTTCCAGTCTCCCGTAGTATTTCAATCCGGTAACATCGTTCCCCTTATCTCTCCCTATGCTCCATTGAGGGCAATGTCGTGCTTAAGTGTAGGGGGTGCTTTGTATCGGTTGGAATCTATATACGTGTGCTTGGAGCCTAGTCCGCTGTCCAAATCTCGAGATTTGAGGGCTCCAAGTACGGATGTTTGATCATATTGGCACTGTGTTTTGATTGGTGAATTGAATGGTTTTCGGATTAATGCATGACAACTGGATGGTGACTAGGACAACCTATAATGATGACTGAGACGTGCAGTAGGTAGCCATGTGAGATTACCAACTGTGACTTGGATGGATCACTTTTTCTTGACAGTCGTTTATGCATCTAGTTCAGGGAATCAGAATGAGAGATAGAGCATATAGGTATCCATGTGAGATTTGAGCCTGCTCATTTCTTTCTTGTGCGATAGTTCCCTCTTCCATGATGTGCAGCATTCACGTTGTCATTAGCTAGGATGATGGAGGCATAGGATTAGCCCACGACCAAAACTGACTGTCCTGGTGTGTCATACCCCCTAGTCACCCCTTTGAGCCGTGTGTTATCCTTTCTTTCAGTCTGCAATGAAAAATCACCCTTTTGCATCTCTTAGAAGGTTCCACAGAGTGGTTTTTACATGTTCTCTACTGATTCTGCTAAATATAATGTGAGGGTTGGAGGTAGTTCTTAAAAAGTTGGGCAGGTGTTTGAAAAATGTGCAGAGGTGGTGGCTCTCTTAAGAAATGAAAGAAAAACAAAGAAAAAATAAAATCAAAAGAGAGACACCACCAAAAATCTAAATAGTGCCCATTAAATAGTGTTTCTTAGCAGTCTGGCTTGGAAATACTAGCATTTATGTGACCTCCTTCGCTCTTGTGCTCTAGAGAATGTGAGTAACGCAGAATAGCAGAAAGAAAGTTATTGGTTTGATTGACTGTGAATTTGTTGGGTTTGGAAATGTGGAACCTTGTGCTATGAATACTTCCACCACCTAAAAGGCCTTTTCCCCATGTCCAAGACCCTAGCCAGTCATTTGAACCTGTGTCTAAGACCTCCGGATTAGTTAGTGATGACAACCATTTATGTGAACTCTAACATTTAGAGGCTGCCGTCATGGTGAAGAGATGTTAGGGATTGAGAGAATAAGTATGCGCATTTTTCGCATCAAATTGTCCTGACCCCACTGGTCGAGAGTGAGCGATTCATTTCCTTGTTCTTTACACTCTTTACCCCGGTGAGGACCTAGATGGCTCGGTCTTGATTCTGATCTCTTGAGTTTTATGCATGAGGTGACTGTCTTGAATAAGTGGTTCAGTGAAGTCTAGGTTGGTTGGTGAACAGAAGGGAGACTCCTCCTTTACTCGATTTTGCTGCACTCAAATGTCCTCTGTGGTGGTTGTCCAGGTTGCTATTGAAGTTGTTCATGTGTGGATGTTTGAAAGCCAGTATGATTCACGTGTTCTGTGCCTATATGATTTGTCCCCAATGTTGGTATGATTGAAATATGTGAGCTTACCTTGTGTCTGACTTGGTTTGCTTGGGGACAAGCAAACAGTTAAGTGTGGGGGAGTTTGATAGACCGTTAATTGCACATGTTTTTACCCCTATTCTTGAGCCGTTTGAGATGTTGATTCTTGTGTTTTAGGCCAATTTCATGCTAGGTTGTGCTTGTTTGTGATATTTCAGGTCCTAGTACGTGAATGAAGGTTTGGGAGCGAGTTCGGGGTCAATTGGAAGAATATCGGACGTGTAGCGAGTCGCCGAGGAAGCCACACGGGCACTCCTAAAACCCACACGACCGTGCAAGGAACCAATGTGGCCGTGTGGGATTTAGCGAGGCTTCACACGGGCATGATGGAGATCGCACACGGCCGTGTGTCCCTAGTCGTGTAGGAGGCCTGAAGTCCAATTAATCGAAACTCGGCATTTTGACTCTCACATGGGCATCTGGGAAAGCCACACAGCCGTGTGGCCTGCCCGTGTGATCGGGATTTTCTGGTTTTCACCCAATTTCGAGCCACAAGTGAGAGATCGACTTTTCAGAGCAAAAACAGAGCCCTAGAGAGAGAAAGTGCGATCTTGGAGCTGGGTTTCATCAAATCGATCTTGTGGATCATCATAGGAGTGAAAATCATCATCCCAGAGCAGATTCTTCCCATTGTTATGAGTATGACTGCTTTGTATTCTGTTTTTTTTTTCTCTCTCTCTCTCTATGGAGTAGAACCCTTCTTTCACTTGGGTATGAAGAAACCTAGTTCCATGTGTTAGGGATCATTATTGTAATGACTTGGGATGATTATACTGTTTGGTTTTAATCGAATGATGCATGATTCATTGAATTGATTGAAGTCTGATAAGCTTTTAATAATAATTGTTGTTATTATTATTATTATTATTATTATTATTATTATTATTATTATTATTAATACTAATCCACGATTGCAACCTTTAGTACGTAACCATCAATCCAACCGATCATGTATTAAGGTCGAACCCAAACTCAAAGGCCGGAGTGTTACATTATTTATGGTCGAACCTATAATTATTTACGGTCGAACCGAAATCTAAAATACCGGGGTGTAACAACTACTCTCGTTCTGGTGACGGTGGCGATCGTATGCATGGTGGCGATGGTGTGCATGGGAAGGCGCTGGAGGGAGGAAGCTAACGTGTGGAGCTTGTGACGAGGAAGAATAATGGTGATAGGAGTGGTTTGATTCGGGCCTAATTGCACATATTTTGCCCTCGGTTTGCTTAGATGTTTGTACCAAATTCGCTCATTAAAAGTTGGTTTTACGCGAGGTTCTTCGTGTTCAAGTGCTTTTTAGGATTTAACAGGTGGAACCAACCTCGAAGTCGAAGGATTGGCGAAAAGGATCGAAAACCGGGAGAAGAGGTGAAAAAGCGCAAGTTCACGGCTAAAGGCAGGAGTTCACGGTCGTGCAGGACTGTTAAGAAGGGGAGTGGAGCGTGAAGCGTAAGGCGTCCAGAGACAAGTTGAAGGTTACTGACGCAAGGCGAGTTCACGGTCACTAAGACCGTCAACACAAGTAGTTGCCCGTGAACTGCCGTGATCGATGCGGAGCGTTTTGGCGCAAGGCTTGTGTTCACGGACGCGTTTGATGGTTCACGGCCGTGAACTCAGGTCATGAACTCAGCTCTTCTCGGGTTTAAAAGCTGAGCAGCAAGGAGGAGAGAGGGGATAGCCACCTTTGTGAGAGAAACACCTTCTTTTGCATTTTGGTGAGAGAAACAGAACCAAAGAGAAGAAGAGTTAAGGCTTGGCTTCAAAGGAGGTTTTGGGAATATTTCCCCAAGGAAATCCCAGATCAAGGGTCTAAAAGAGAGGAGGCATCCCCAAAAGATAGTTCCCACCTTTCTCCCCTTTGTTCTTCCCACTTCTTCCATGGACTAGTCCTCCTTTCACTTGGGTGTAGTGAAACCCTAAACCCTACCATGTAGTTTTATTGTATGTGGTTTGGATAACTGATATTGGGTATTTTTCAATTTAATGTTTGATGTATTTTTCACCATGATTTTGCATTCTTGTGCTTAGCAACTTGGGGGTGGTGCATATTTTGTGCTTAGCATCCTAGGGATTGTGCATAATTGTGCTTAGCTAGTAATCTAATTTGCCAACTTAGCCTAGTTTAGAGAGGAAAATTCCCCTTTTTAAGGGAGACTCAATCGAGTTGGTTTTCCTTCCGATTTCCAAGCCACCTAAACTAGTTTGAGTTAGGGTAATCCTCACTATTGAATTGAACAAGTCGATTAATCATGGTTAAACCGTACGACCTTAGAGTTGAGTGAGGAAGTAAGCCGATTACCGATTGTCTAAACCGATAGGTTCGAGTGACACGACCTTTCATCCTCACCTCGGTTTAGAAATCGAGAGTGTGGTCTCCGACCACATACGCTTTCCTCTACGGTTCACGATTAACGTGCTCAAGGCAATCGTTCCAACCCACGTAGCATGGTAGTGGTTAGGGGGAAGCGAAACCCAAGTGACTTTCCCACAAAAGAGTTTTCAAACCAAATTACTTTTGCTTTCTTTCATTTAAATTGGCAAACCTTTAAACCAAAGTTTTATTGCTAGATAATGATTTCAACAACCGAAGTAGGGGTAGACTGACCGGCCCGGGTCGATATATATATACTTGCCCTATACTGCACCGGATAAGAATTTAAAAACATGGGCTTTAATTGGGGTTTAATTTTGGTGTAGTTTCGTGCGAGTCAAGTTTTTGGCGCCGTTGCCGGGGACAACGGTATGTTATTCAGAAAAAGTTGTTGGTTGTTAATCTAGCTTTTAATTTATAGTTTTGTAAGTGTGTGTCACGTTCTTTGCTTGTGCTAGACTTGGTGTTTTCCGATTGTGTGTAGGAGGTGCATGACCCGGAGTAACCCGACGCCCTTGGTACTACTTGACGAGGACATAAACCGAACTCTTCGACTCCTAGCAAGGGAGAGAGAGCTAGCCGAGGCAAGGAGAAGGAGTGAGAGAGGGGGACAACAATTGGGTTCCGGTGTTAGTGGAGAAGTAGTTGAAGAAGTAGAAGTTGAGCCCGTCATTGAAGAGGAAATGGTGGAGAAACAAAGGCAAGATGGAGCAGCTCAAGTCCGCCATATGAATGAGGAGGCGGGAGAAGAAGGAGCCCCTAGGACGATGGGGGTACTATATGGCCCTAAGGCCGGCCGACATTCAATCGCCTATCATACATCCTCCGGTGGCGGCAAACAATTTCGAGATCAAGCGGCTCTAGTGACTATGATACAAAACAATGCTCTCTTCCACGACCATGAGAGCAAGTCACCAAGAGAGCACGTGCAGAGATTCTTGTAGCTCGTGAGGAGCTTGAAGATTAATGGTGTGCCGGCCGAGGATTTGCAACTAAGTCTTTTCCCATACTCACTCTCGGGGAAGGCACTTAGGTGGCTAAACAACCGCCCACCTCGGTCTATCACCTCATGGGACGACCTCCTTAACAAGTTTATGGCTCGTTATTGTCCGCCTTTGAAGGCGATGGAGTGGAGAAAGAAGATTACACATTTCGAGCAAGAAGAGGACGAAACCTTGAGGGATGCTTGGGAGAGGTACTCTGATTACTTTCTTCACTGCCCCCACCACGGGTTTGAGGAACAGTTTCGGATTGAAACCTTCTACGGAGGCCTATTGCAAGAAGATAAGATCCTCATCGACTCCTTATGTCATGGCAAGGTGATGAATATGGCTCCGCCCCAAATTACCGAGATCGTTGAAGATATGTCCCTTAGGGGGTATGATTGGGGGTTGACTAGAAGTGGAAGAAGAAGCAATGAAAGGGGAGTGAGAAGCGTGGGAGCGAGTGCTCCGCTTGAGGCAAAGTTGGATAAGTTACTTGAAGTTATGCTTGAAGATAAAAGGCAAGGAAAACGGGCGGTAATGTTGTGCGACTGGTGTAACACCCTAACCCGGCCGGGTACTACTTTTACTAAAATGCCCTTGATAAAGAAAATACTAAAATGCTCCTAGAATCCACCACTTCCACCTCCAAGTTCTCATTGGTGATCTGATAGCATTTTTTGGCTTGTTGAGTGTTTCCCCTTATGCAACCCACGATGCGTCCTGATGGGAACTTCAGCATTTGGTGACAAGTGGAGGGAATCGGTTCGAAGGTTTCTATAAAACCCCGTCCAAGTATTGCATTTATGGTGAAGGGCAATCAGCAACATGAAAGTTTGATAACACCCAAATTGTACCAAGTATTGTGTTGTATGATGGACCATCCTTGCAAGAAAGAGCCTCTGATGTGCAACTACCACATGCTCCAACCGTACATCAAAGACAACTTGGCATCTAGGAGCCAATTTCTATCTATTATATCTATTTATTTTTAAATACATAGTATGTTTAATAAAATATCTATTTGAGGTAGATTAGTTTTTATATTTTGTTCTTCCTCTCTTATGTGCGTGCTTAAATGTTCATTATCTATATCAATGAATACCTACACTTGTTCACGCTACTCAACCCACAAACACCTCTGGTAACACTTCTAGAACCCTACCTTTAGCTCCCACATTGAGGACATTGCGTCTCTTAAGTGCCATGAATCATAGTAGCCTCCCTTGATTGTAAATGTAAGACATTGATGATTGCTTATGGGAGTGTACGCTATTGATTGATTGTGTTTTGTGGTATTGAATAGCTAAATGATAGTATTTTGGAACCTTGAATGCAAAACCCAAAAATTTTAAGACTGAGGGTTCCAAAACACCTTGTTTCTTGCAACTTCCTACGCAGTATGCTTTGATGTGTTGTGTTGGATAGGGAGTAGTTGCATGATTAGAGTACCTGTGTATGAGAGATTTTACTCTCTTCTTCCTCTTTGGTGAGTCGATAATATTTGTTATTTTAGGAAGAACATGTGTGCGGGATTCTTCAACACTTTTGAACTCGAAACTTACGCAAATATGTGCTCGACATTAAAAAAAAAGATCTTTTGAAAAAGAGGCTCCATGAGAGCTGAGCATAGTGTTTGAGTTAAGCCATCGAAGGGCTTTCTCTTGGCTCGGATTGCCATTTGAGGATGTGTTTGGGGATCAGATAACTTTCCCGCGTCCCTATCATCTTTCATTACTTACCATCCCCCAAATACCTCTCCTCCTAACGAAATCGTATGAAACTCCCACATTGAGGACAATGTGTTGCTCAAGTGTCGCGGGGGGGATGTGTGAGAATGTTTGAATGATTATCATGATCGGTTGAACCATGAATTGCTAGTATCCTCCCTTGTTTGTGAATGTATGAAATTGATGAATGCGTATGGGTGTGTATGCTAGCAATTGTATTTGTGTTGTGGTGATCAATGGTGAAATGATAGTTTTTTGGAACCATGAATGCAAGACCCAAATTTTTTTAAATTTGAGGGTTCCAAATCACCTTGTTTCTTGCAACCCCCTACTCAATATGCTTTAATTTGCTAGATAATTGATGTGTTGTGCTCGCTATGTGATAGTTGCATGATTAGAGTATCGGTGTATGGGTAATTTTAATATCTTCTTCTTCTTTGGTGTGTTGATAATATTTTCTATTTTAGGAAGAACATGTGTGCGGAATTCTCTTTTTGTTTGATATTTTAACTCGAAGATTTCAAAGATTTGTGCATATTAGAAAACAAAGAAAAGAGAGAAAGATCTTTTTAAAATGAGGTTCTCAAGTGAGAGGCAACAAATCCTCACGGATTAGGAGTGCCCTTTGAGGATACGCTTCGGGTTTGGATAGATTTACCGCGTCCCCAACCATCTTTACTACTTAACGTCCCCCAAGTATCTTTCCCCAAGTATCTACCAACGACACTGTATTTTTCTTTTCCTACACCGTTGTGAGAAGGAACACTGTGGTGAGAAGGAAAGACAACAAAGTGGAAAAGGACACCACATCTGTGTCTAGGACCTCATTGAATCCAAGTAATTGTGCGGTCATGTTTAGCCAACACAGGATGGATTTATTTTCACCTCGCCGCAGCGCTGCAGCAGCCAACAACACAGTTTGGCTAGGTTATGCCTATTTCCTTTGCCATTTTAAAAAATAAATAATAATAATAAAACATATCTAATAATCAGGCCACCTCGTGGTCGTGGAAAAAATCTTATTTCGGTCAAAAGTTCAGTGACTCGCAACACTGTTTTGATAGAATAAAGAAAAACAAACAAGTTGTCGAGAAGAGAAAAACAAACAACACAGCTTAAGTCCACGATTATGATTGGTCTGTCTTTACCCTGTGTTGTTTCCTCGACACGATCCCAAAGCTATTTCTTACTAAAACAGCTTAAATTTTTCAACGGAGTTGTTCCATCAACATTAAATATTTTTTTTGGTCAAGTATAATACTCTTTCTACTTCATCGGCATTGTGCCCCCCAACAAGTTGTTGAGACGAAAAGAAAAATAAAGTGGCACCACTTTGCCACGTGAACTAAGCCAAAACTCTAGCCTCTCATTCCTTCTTCTTCATATATAAATTTCAGAAATTATAATTAAAAATTAAAAATAAAGTAAAGCCTAATCTCCATCGCCATTGTGGGTAAGCTGATTGGCCATACTTGATAACTCTGGTCAAAATAAAAACCAGATAGCACGACTTCACTCCAAAGGTAGTGATCTTATTGGTGCAATGCCGTTAGTGCATGTGTTGCTTAGGACTTTCATTTACTCGACAGACTAGAAGAAAAATAGATAAATTGGCTAAGAAAAATGATAACAACATGCTCATATAAAATTTCATGATAATCACACGTAAAGTAATCTTTGAAGCCATTTAGAAGTACAATTAACTCGTACCTGTCCGATCCCGGCAAACTAGCACTGTTGGAAGTGAATCTTCTTCCGCGCCAAGGCTGATTTGTTTCCAATATCACCGGTAGAAACATGGTTCCTTCCTCCATCTTATGATCTAAACCCTCGTCATTGATTATCATCAGCAACACAATTAGCCATCAACATAGGCTCCATGTAAGCGAGCCTCCATTCACATTGATACGCGGCCAGCTTCTCCCGCAAGGCCATGATTTCGGTGTCCACTACCCGTTCTCGAGGTGGTTCACTCATCATCGAATTTTTCATCAGACTTCAGTGGACCATATAATGTAAACATCGATGGTCTCACAATCTCAGACAACGGGTTCAAGCACGCCTTACTCAACACCTTTGCGCTTGACACGATGATGTTGGACGTTCCTCCTTCACCGCTTCTAATCTAAGTGGTCCAAAGTCCCCATGGCACACATAAGCTTCAGCCACATTGGCCCCTATGGCAAACGGCTTTGGGTCAGCCTGTACCACTTCTACGACATCGTCTTTGTTCCAGAGCATCAAACACTAATGCAATGACAAAGGAACACACTTGTTGGCATGGATCCAATCTTTGCCAAGTAAAGCATTGTAGCTTATCATCTCATCCACTATGAAGAAAGCACTCATTTGCTTCTGTGATCCAACTCCCACGACGACTGAGAGGATTTCCCTGATAGAAGTAGATCTGCCATTGAAGCTAGTCACGAACTACTCTGATGGATTCAAGTCACTCGTACTCTTGCCCAGTTTCTTCAGCATCCTAGTTGGCATCACATTCACTGCGGCGCCATTGTCGACTAGGACTCTTGACACTGGTACATCATCTAACGTAGCCTTGATGTAGAGAGGCCTCAAATGGCACAACATCTTTGTCTCGGGCTCGTTGAAGACAACGACCCTGTTTGGTTCTTCATTAGTCGACCCTTCGTCCATAACATTTTCCTTCGATGCTGGGTCCTAAATAGAATTCTCTATTTCGTCGAACTAGGATCCCCACGAAATATGCTATACCGGCACACTTGATGAGTCTTTTGGGCTTTGGTACAACATGTAGTACGGATATCTCCCTCCATCTTCGCCCAGAAGCCCAATGGCATTGTGGCGAACCTCATACAGCTCTTTCAAGATCTGCTGTGAACTCTTGCTCTGCCTGGCCGACTCTATAGCCAGATCAATTCGACCACTTGTGCAAGCCATCATTGTACTCCATGGCTCAACCTCGACTGGCAAATCCGCAGACTCAGCAATTAACTCGACTGCGGCTGGCTCTTCGCTTTCCTCATCTAAAATTAATTGAGCAAAACCGCTAACCAACTCAACAACATTGACATCTTGAGCATCTTGGTAACTCTAGAACCTCCATCACAACCTCACCATCCCCTCCATAATTTTTCAAATCAATGTGGAAAATCAAAGGCAATATGTAGTTGTTCACCACCCCCTAAACTTCCAAACCGGATCGTCCTGGGGGCACCTTGGTTGTCATCATCATCACCCATGTCTTTTCGCTCAAACTTCAAATTTTGCTCATCCAACAACAGCATCTCCTCTTCGATGAAGGAGTCATCCAAACAATGATGTCGCTCCACTTCCCCAATGCGAGATTGCGAGCCTCCTCTCTTCGTCGCAAGAAATAAATCCCCCATCATTGTCTTTGTTTCCATGTTATTAATGGTATCTCAACCTGAAGATGTGAGTGAACCAATCTCAACATAGTTGTGACACTGTTTTTTACAAACAACATCGATTCTCGACCAAGCAAAGCCGTTGGATTCGCTATTTCGGCTTTGTTGGAAATTCAACAACTTAACCCACGACGTTGCTCTTGCCTAAACAACGTTGCTCCTTTATATCGCGACATTGTTTTGCCTTGCAGTTTTGCTCATTCATCAAACCCAAATGGTTTGAAACAAATGGCTTGAAACGTGTTTACAACGTTGTTAGAGCCAAACTAGCTTAGGCAAAACGACATTGTTGCTTACCTAGTCGAACTTGCAATGTCATTCCCCCCATCGAGCTTGCAACTTCGCCGAGTCATGACATGACCACACCCGGTTATCTCACGGTCTTGTTGAGTTTCTCTGATAAAACTCGTCAATGTTGTAGAACTCACGACGTTGTTTTGACCAAACAACGTCGTTGCTTTTCAAAAAATCTCAAGCTCGTCGAGTCTGCGACTTCGCCAAACACACACCACAACTGATTGTGAACCGCTATGAGGAGAAACAATGGTTAGAAACCACACTCTCAATTGCTAGGACAAGGAATGCATTATAGGCTACAATTGTAGCCTCTTGGCCCAAGCAATTGAGCATTGACTTACCTTCTCCCTCAAACCAGGGTTTGGACGGCTTAATCAAAATTAACTTAGGTTTTCAATTTGAGTTTGGAGGTTTTCCTACATTAACCTAGTTAGGAGGAATGGAATGCGCAAGAAAACCCAGCTCAATTTGATACTCTTACGATAAGGGGGTTTCCCTCTCTAAGTTAGGATAGAATAGCACAATAGATTGTCATGCACACACAATGCACAATCACCATGAAAAATACCTAAAATCTTAAATTAAACACCACCCAC